TATTTAAATGGTACCTCTATAATGGAAATGCAAGTACCTAAATTTAGATCTACTTGTGACCTTGTTTTACTCAACTCTAAATACTTTCTAAGCAATTTTATCATGGAAATAAAAATATATCTTTTTATTAATACTGATTTAGCATATTTTATCTAAAAAAAAAGGATTTAATCTCTATCATTAAGTACTTTATTTTAAATCATATATACAATTAATATTTTTAGTTTTCAATTTAGACTTCTTAATTAATAACTGTGATTTTGTCCTTCACGAATCATTAATTCTTTGTTTTGTCCAAGTGGATGATGAAAAAGTTTAAATTATGGTTATATAGAATCTGGAATATCAAGAGTATGTAAAATATATTTAAAATTGAATAATTTTCTCTTTTTGTATTTATGCATGAGTTATGCACCTATCTTTTATAAATATAACAATGCATAAAATTTTCTTTAAAACATACAAAAAAAAGTACAATGCATTTTCTCTGTCTAAATGTTAAGAATTATGAGTGAAAATTCTTTTTTGAAATCATTTCTGTTTCAACATTTATCTTTCGTTGAATTAATTTTAAAATTTTTCTAGTAATATTGATATTTTTTATTTTTGCAGTCTTTCATATTTTATTTTCCATTACTTTCTTCTGTAAATTAAGATTTAAGTCATTTTAATGATAATATTAAAAATATGACTTTAGATTATAAAATAAAATAATATTAATATTTTTAGTCATACATTGGAGCTATCAAAATATATATAATACTAAGCTTGAAAGACTCTGTCCATTACATTTATGCACTCATATTTTAAGATTTTCTTCTCTTTATATTTTACTTACCATTAATTCTATCATTAAAAAGCAATGTCATAAGCTCTTGAATATAAATAATAGCTTTCAATCAATACATTTAAAAGCTTAGTTATTCGATTCAATTTTAATATTATTGAAGTTTATTTCACTTTTTATATAAAAAAATTCTATTTCAATTAATTCCTGAAATAACGAAAAATTTTTGAATCAGTATTCATGAATTGATATTATTGAGTATAATTGATAACGTTCAATAGATCATTAATCGAGTTGTTCATATACAATTAGATTTAATATCTTAATCAAAAAATACTTTTTATCTTTTGTAGATGATTGACAAAAAAGTTTATATCAAAGCTTGAATAATAATCACAATAAAATTAGTTTCTCTTTACTTTAAAGAAACAAAATTGTAAGTTTTTTTTTTCTTAATACAACAATTTAAATTAATAAATAAAACTTTTTCAATTCTGTTTTAATTTAAAATAATAACAATGTTCGATTAAATTTTCTGTTTAAAAGTAAGAAAAAAGATGAAGGAGAGATAAAAGTTTATTACATAAAATCAACAAAAGACTGTAATTATATATTTATTTAAAAGTTTATTAATATTTAACTTTTTATTGATAAATATATTAATCTGTTATGTAGTATTTTTGAATTCTATGCTAAACTATCAATTACTTGCTCTAATAAATACATATATTCTACGTACATTGAATATTATACATCGACGTTATAATCTTTCTAACGTAGGTAGTAGACACATTTATATTATAGCTATTAATAGGTTTTAAGTTTTAACAATACAGCATATAAAGCACAATCGACTACTGGCATACCTATAAAGATATATGTATGTGGTTATATTACAAACTACATAATGTATATACACATATTTTAAAGTGACGTAGCATCAGAAAGGCACATAAGCTTACCGATAATATGCTGCTTCGTTACTTGCGATCGGATATTGTAGCTTGGAGACCCTGTGCTGTTGGTGAAACGCATTATTCATTGTATGATATAGATTAAAGTGATCTGATCAACTGGTTGAAATGTCAATTAATTTGATTACAAGTTGATTATCGTGAAAAATCATTATCGACCATGCTTGTTTATTATAATACGTTATAGGATTTATGTATAATAGTTGAATAGCTGATTAGATTGTTATACTACATTACTACGTTGTTGTTAATTCTATTATTAATAGTTATTATTATTTTTATACCACAGTTAATTGGGTACTCCAGTGGGATTTGAACTTGATTGCAGTAGCATCTTTAGATGAATTATAACAACCAAGAAGAACATTTACGTTTTCATCTGAAATTTTATTATAATCTAATATTAGATTTTAGCTGATTGAAATAGATTTAGAGCATATTGTTGATGAAAATATAAATATGTGATGATTGAGAGAAAAATTCTTTCTTGATCAGTTTTATATAAGAGTGATTCTTTTTTTTTTATATATATATCTTAAACATTGTTATTTTTTTTTAGAAACTAAAACTTAAGTTTTAATAATGAACTAAAGTTTTATGAATTATTTACAGATTCAACAGTTGAATAAATATTAATAAAATTCCAATAATTTAGCTGATTTTTTTTATTTTCAATAATGATTTTGTATTAAAATTTTTGTACTACTTCACCAATATATATTTTGATGTAATTAATATTTTATTAATAATGAATAATAATCCGATAACTGTGGTATAAATGTTCAATATGTATATATTATTTATAAAAGATTTGTAATAATAAATATAACAAAAACACAGTCAATTTTTAATAATAAAAAATTGAGAGATTAATTTTCTTCTCTAAATCAATTTATTAATATTTACATAAAAATTTGATTGTTTATTTATAAAATTTATTAACAATGAAACTTTTACTTCAATAGTTGCTATTTTATGTTGATATAAAAAATTAAAACTGTACAAAATATAATCAATAATATAAAAAAACTTTTTTACGTAGATTTTCTTAATATTATTATTATCATTATTATTATTATGTTAAATAAAATATCAAACTTTTTTATGATCAAAGAAAGCTCAACATAAGAGTTTAATATGATTAAATTTAATACAAGCAAAAAACATGCACTTTTATGATCTAAATATAGCATACCACAGGAACTAAGTAGAAGAGATTATTTTTTTCAATTTTAAAATCTGTAAAAGTAGGAAATCATTCTTTGTATTAAAGTGTTTATTCTACGACAAAATTTTATAACTGCTCTATATATATATATATATATATACATAAAATAATGAATTTCATAAACATCACATATCGAGAGTAAATTTTTTAACTCAATTACCAAGTTAACATTCATTTAGTGTAGTTTTTAATTAACTTATTTGAAGATATTTTCAACAAAAAAACTCATATTATACTTCGCAGTTGTTTGTGATATCTGGTCTGACTTAATCCATAATTAAGTTAATTAGTGTCAGCAGAATTCACCCTTGGAATTATTTCAACAAAGGAATTAAACAATGAATATTAGTTTTCCTGTGATTTATTATTAGCTGATCAAGTTGGATTGAAAAATATTTTTACTTTTAATTCATTACTGAAAATAATACGTCAACATAAAAGAATCGTTCTAGTTGTAGATTTGATTTAATATTTTCATATAAAAGTCTATATATATAATAAATACGTTTGATGTATTCTCAATAAATCCAAGTAGAATATCACTAGTTAAAATAAAGATAAGGAAATCCGTGAACAAATGTTTTTTGCTTTCTTTAGATATATATTTTTCCTGAAATCAACTATAAAAATTCATACTACTTTTACCTTCAATTTTCTTTTATTCTTCAATGATTGTCAAACAACGTTTTACAATTCTAGTCAAGTATTCTATCAGTTGTGAATAATAATAAACAATAAAAGGAATAAATTTTCAGGATTTAATAATAGATTGTGTGGAAAATAAAATTAGGTCATTGATCATTTTTTTTATTTTACAATATATTTCTATAATATACCATATAATACCTACACTGCTCTTATGTATCCGATAATAATAGTTTGAAAATTGTCAATAAAATTTTTACTCAAACGTATTAACATGAACGTCCATAGTTTTCTACTGGGAATTTAATAAAAAAATATTAAATCTTAAGATTATAAAATAAAGCGAAATAACGTCATGAAAAATTAGTAAAACTAATTAAAATAAAAAATTCAATTAGAGGCAAAAAGTGACATCTGGTTAGCTCAAATCTTAGTGACAAACATAAAATAAATCAGTCAAATCAATATATAAATATAACTTCAAATATTTTACAAATAATATATGCGATTATTATTTTATTCATTACCTAAGTTTTTATTGTATTGTATTTTATTGCATTTAATAAATCATTAAAACTAAACTTTTTTATCCATCTCAATACAAAGAATCATTAAAAAACATAATGAATATAAAAAAAATAATATTTATCTCTCAAATACTATTAATAAGTTCTCATAAATATTACTCTAGACTTGTTTTCTCATGGATAAGAAAGTAAAATAAATTTTTATTATTGCCCATCAGTATAATATTCAGCAATTTTTGCTTCTTCTTTTGATAACTATGTAAAAATAAGTATGGAATTTCGAGAAGTGAAAGAATAAATAAATTATATAAAAGAATTGTAACACACTTGTATCCACTTATGAAGTACAAAATATATATTAACATAATAACAATTCTTATTCAAAATTATGTAATGACGTCAAAGTATGTATCAGACATTAGTTTCGAAGCACTCAATTTTTGATGAGCCACCCCATCCGATACACTGCAAAATCGCATGCGCAGTGCCCTGAAAGTTCACGAAATTTACCATTAAATTAATGGAATTTTATTGGACATCGATTGCATTCCTTGTTTTTATTTTCTTTTTTATTTCCTTGAATATTTATATTCATTGGCCATCTATTATCTTTTAATACATATATCATATTTTCTCTTATATAAATCTTTATCCACTTAATTTTATTAATATTGTATATAAAATTATACTTTATTTTATAACTTATAATAATTTTTTACTCATTTGTCATTACCGATTAGAGAACCAAGTGTTGCAATATTACATCCTCTTTACACATACATATTTCATTTACTCTTATTCCTTTTTATTTTCTATCAATGTTTTTATTTTTGTTTCAGTGTACGAAGTGTGATGCACAAATATCTGGAGAAAAAAAATGAAGTCAACTTTGATAAAATATTTAATCAAATGTTAGGTAAAGTATATAAATAATTGTGCTTTATTACAAATTTTATCTAGATATAATTTAATAAACAAAATTTTGTTGCTATTTTATGATTTAGTTACATACTTCATCAATATTTATATTATATTTCAATATTTGATTTGATAAAAAATCAAACAATGCAACTGCATCAATAATTATTCATCATTTTTTTTTTCTTCTATAAAAGTGAATAAACAAGTATTTGATCAATTCTTTCAGGATATCTTTTATTCAAAGACTTTTGTGAAACTGTGTTAGACGAACCAGTTCCTGAACTTAGGTTTTATGAAGAGGTAAGTTTTGTCATTATTCTTTATTTTTATTCCACTCTATTTTATACTTTCAAACTATTTATTGACATTTATATGTAAGTTTATATGAATGAAAAATATATATCAACATTTATGCCAATTAAATTTAGATAAAAGCGTACGAGAAATTGGAATGTCCAGATGAAAGAAGAAAACTTGCTCGAGAAATCTACGATAACTTCATAATGAAAGAACTCCTAGCACATTCACATGTAAATATATTTATTTATTTTCCTATGAAACGTATTTAAATAAATTTACAACATAATGAAATAAAATAAAAGTTAATGTGACAAAAAAAGCTCAGTGGTCACGTGATTATGGATTTCTTACGTTTTGGAACTAAACTAAACTCTACACTTGTCATTATAATTTATATCTTTCAATTATCATATAAATAACTATTTAGTTTACTTTGTTCTTTGTATTTAATATTTCACAGAATTATCCTTCAGAGGCTGTATCACATGTGCATAAATTTCTTATGAAAAATGAAGTGCCAGTGAATTTATTTGAGGTAAATACAATAATTACAATTAATGAAGACAAAAACAAAAATATATTATATTTTTAAGTATAAATGTAAATAAGTTTCTAATAATAATATATGAATTATTTAAAATAGAAAATAAATTAATTCAATGGAGAATATACGTCATACCGAGTGCAATTGATATGATTAAAGCGAACTTTGTAATATTTCATTGATCAAAATTGGTCTAGCTAGAGAGATTGTAGCACCTACGGATAAATTTATACATACACATATATACGTACATACATTTACTGGTTATAAGTATTTGGTCATCCTAAATTATATCTCATTTACCTTAATTGTTTCATCGTAATTGAGTATTATCTATTGAATGTTATAATAATAATAATGCTTTTATATGTTGCTCTAATTGAGCTTACATTGTTGTATTTTATTTCTATCATGAATACTTGTTCTTGCTAGACTAGGATTTAAACGATCAAGAGTGAAATTGTTTGGAACAATCTAAAATCACCTATCAATTCATGGTAAATCCACCTATTTGAGGATCTTTTTTCTGCAACAAAAAATCCTCTTAATTGATTTCACATTAAATACTATTCATGAACTAAAAAAAAGTTATTTTCACTTTTAAAACACTTCTAAGCATTTTAAAAGTAATTCCAAAATTTTTATTGTTTAAAGATAATACATAGCATCTATGTAATTATTATAAATTATTTTTAAATAGAATTATCTTTTCATAACTATTTCAAATTATAGGTCGTTTAATAATTAATAATAAATTATGTATTTACAGATAACTAGGTACTTTATTGTTACTTATTGTTTTTATCAGTTTCTAAAAATAATAGTATAGAACTAACTTTGCAATTACTATTTTTATTGGCTTTTAAACACTAGTTTCGATGCAAATATTTACATATAGACGATAAAATATACCATGTTTTAACAATAAAGGTTCAATAAAAATGGAGTATTATAAAAGAGAAAATAAGTGACAGATAGTAAGATAAAACTTCAATTCTCTGTTATAAGTAGAACAAAGCTGTCTATAGTCAGCCGTTACAATTAGTTTATTGTATTTACAAGAAGTAAAGTATTTTTTTTTTTTTGGTACAATATTTTAAAATAAACTATTTCAATTGAAATTATGTAAAGGCAGTATTTGTCTTCAATTTTCTGTTAAATAATTGATATATTTTTAACAAGTAATTAAACATAATAAGATTTTATTTATAATAACTCTTTATGAAATTAAAATTAAATCTATTAAACCAGGATTTTTATTCAATCATCTGCAATGGTGAATAATAATTGTTTTTTTAATGTGAAAACTACTTACAAGTTTGGCATTAACGAAATTTTTTATGAAATCAGTCATTGTTTATTGAAAAATTTTTATTTTAAAAAAATGAGTTAATAATAAAATGCTTAATCTATTGTGTTTCATTACTTCACAAAATACCATTAATTTCTGGTATATAGAAGCTTTCACAATGATTTCAATGAAATGCAAATGAATTTTATATTTATAAAATTATTTATTGTGATTTATAAGCATTTTAACAATTATCCTTCATATATAATCCTTTTTGTTTTTGTCTTCAAATAAAATTCAGCTTTCATATTTGTAATTAAGTCCATGTGTAGTAGCATCAAGTGCATGCAAGTACTACAGTTATGGAGGTCAAAAATAAATATAGGAACTTTGTAATGATAATAAAAACATGAAATAACAAGATGGACATTTGTTATAGCCTTACATTGAAGAAATCTTTAACCACTTAAGGGGTGAACCGTTCAAAAAGTTCCTGGAGAGGTAAGAAAAATATGACAAGAATTTTTCAATATATTCAAATACCAAAAAAAAATACTTGGTTATAAAACTAAATATTATTTCAGTGAAAAATACACTCGTTTTTGCCAATGGAAAAATCTCGAGCTGAATATTCAGGTAAGCGAGAGACGTTTCTGTGTTTCCATTCACGTTCCTCGAGGGTATGTTCAATAATCGATAGAACTCGTCAACGATTTGCCATTGTTTCTCCAGTTGACAATGAACGACTTCAGCGTGCACCGCATAATAGGAAGAGGTGGCTTTGGAGAAGTTTACGGATGCCGTAAGGCTGATACAGGAAAAATGTACGCGATGAAGTGTCTCGATAAGAAGCGTATCAAGATGAAGCAGGGCGAGACACTAGCACTCAATGAGAGGATAATGTTATCTCTAGTCAGCACTGGGGTAACTTTTATTTCCATTTTTCATTTTTTTATTTACACTTTATAAGTATGATGCTTACATTCAATTTAATAAGATTAATTAATCCAAAGATTGAGATTAAATAAATTCATTTATTATTGTTTCTTTTTTGACATAAAATTCTTTTCATTCCAATCTTAATCAAGATAATTGTTTTTATATAATATTTTTTATTTTATCTTGATTATAAATGAAAAAATATATGATTTCAAAATGTACAGATATGAGGATTAAATGTGACTATGAATCAAATATTTTTCCTAATCCATAGTATAAACATATGTGAATTTCATTCTTTTTACTCTCACTTTTCTGCTGTATTTCAAGTAATTTATTCATTACTTTTATAATGGATTATTTATATACATAAATTAGATTGATATTGATATTTACAACCTAAATATAAACTAACAACGAATGATGGGTTTGCTCTTTTAGAACTTTGATGCAATATTTTCATTGCATAATACATTATTCAACTACAAGTATGGTTATTAATTATTTGAAATTTTTTTTTTTATAATCTTTTAGTTACTGGCAATCAAATTAATGAAAGGAAATATTTTAATTATTATTACATCAAATAAATTTCAGGTGGACTGCCCTTTTATTGTCTGTATGACGTACGCTTTTCATACTCCAGACAAACTTTGTTTTATTTTGGATCTGATGAATGGTGGTGATCTTCATTATCATTTAAGTCAACATGGAGTTTTCAACGAACTGGAAATGAAGTTTTATGCTGCTGAAGTAATTTTAGGACTTGAACATATGCATCGACGATATATTGTTTATCGTGACCTCAAACCAGCAAACATTTTACTTGACGAACACGGCCACGTCAAGATATCTGATCTTGGCCTTGCCTGTGATTTTTCTAAAAAAAAACCACACGCAAGTGTGTAAGTATTTTTTATGACTTCAAATTTATAAAAAAAAATAACTTCAGTATTTTTGATTTTCTATATACTTAATCATGTTGATCTTATTCCAGGGGCACCCATGGATATATGGCTCCTGAGGTGCTTTCCAAAGGTACGACATATGATTCAAGTGCTGATTGGTTTTCCTTCGGCTGTATGCTGTACAAACTACTCAAGGGCCATAGCCCATTTCGACAGCGTAACATCAAAGATAAAAGCGAAATCGATCGAATGACGCTTACAATGGTTAGTGATGATGTTTATAAAGGAATAATAAATATCAGAGATGCTCTAAATAGCTCCACGATAGGTTATTCATTTATACTATCAAAGACTAATAACCTAATATCTATTTTATGACTTTGATAAATTAGTAATCAATATTTGTATAATGGTAACAAAAATCATTCATTAACATTATTATTCACTATAATTATCAATCAATAGATTTTTCATACATACGAAAGTAGACTATCAATCAGTTCTTCATTAGTTTTTTTTGTTTCATCTGCCGTTGATATCAATTTCTATAATTATAATCCATGCATTTGAACAATTAAACTTGAAAATAAACATTTATTATTATTCAATAAAAAGATTAGCTGTTTTATGAACTTTAATTGAAAGTTTACGAATATTTAAAAAAAGAAACATCAGATAATGATAAGTCAAGTGACGTTAAAAAATTCTTTTATCATTAATTGTTGTAGAATGTTGAGCTGCCAGATTCATTCTCTCGAGAATTACGATCACTTTTAGAAGGCTTACTCCAACGTGATGTGAATAACAGACTCGGTTGTCGTGGTGGTGGAGCAGATGAGCTTAAAGTGCACCCATTTTTCAGTGGGATCGATTGGCAACAAGTTTATTTACAGAAATATACACCACCATTGATACCTCCTAGAGGCGAAGTTAATGCCGCTGATGCTTTTGATATTGGTTCATTTGATGAAGAAGATACCAAAGGAATTAAGTTGACTGATGCTGATCAGGAACTCTATAAAAACTTTCCGTTAGTTATTTCGGAAAGATGGCAAGCTGAAGTGGCTGAAACTGTTTTTGAAACAATCAACAATGAAGCTGACAAGGTACCACTTTACTCAACCACTCAAATATAATTTGTTAACTTTTTCTTCTTCAAGCTTTCATTAACATAAATTTTCCGTTTATCATTAGGTGGAAAATAAAAAGAAAGCAAAGCAAAAGTTACGATTTGATGCGGATGAAAAAGGTACGTTAAAGTTTTAGAATTTAACACAATAGTTTTTACAATTAACTTGGAAAAAAACTAATTGATTTTTTGTTCATTTAATTCTAGGGTCAGATTGTATTCTTCATGGATATATAAAAAAACTTGGTGGTCCATTTGTTAGCGCATGGCAAACTCGTTATGCAAAATTGTATCCTAATCGACTTGAGCTTCATCCGGAATCTACAACAAAGCCAGAGCTTGTTTTTCTTGATCAAGTAGAAGAAGTTAGTGCTGATCTTCAGCATGTGAAAGGAGAGCAGTGCATTGTCGTCCGTACTAGAGATGCAAAGATTGTGCTGACTAATCCAGTAAGTTGAATATTCTTATAAAAAGAAGAAAAGAACGGTGTATAAAGAAAATAGAATGACTAAACTTCATTTAATTCATTGATAACATTGTTTTCATTAATCTCATTCAATTAGACTAATGCTAATTAAATTTCTCTCTAGGATGAAATTAGTTTAAAGGAATGGGCTCTTTCGTTGAGATCAGCGCACAAGTATTCCATGGAGATGTTGGGAAATATGGCGAAAAAAGCCGGTAAAATTTATGGAACTGAACGTGATGCCGTAATTCCGTCAATGCAACGATCAACAAATGGCAACTAGCGCTTTCTTCCTATAGATAAACTGAACAATAATAATTAAAAAATTAAAAATAACAATGCATAACAATAAACAACAATTAATAATAAACATAATTATTAAACAAAAACGAAAACAAGTTAATGGCAATGTTGAAAAAAAAATAGACAAACAGCGAAGAAATAAAAAACTACGATTCACTGTGACACTGCCTCGCAGCAGCGATATCAACAGATGCAAATTTTTTTATACCATCTAAGTAAAGATCGTAAAAAAAACATAAAGAAGTCATTAGTAAAAAGGAGAATAAAAAATCAGAAAACATTAAAAAATAAAACAAACTTACACAAGACTATTGGACTGAGATAATTGTTTTAATTTATAGAAACATGGATCACATGATTGATAACATGATGCAATGTTATTTTTCTTGTTCGTGCATAGTTAAAATTCAAATAAATTAATAAAAAGATGTCCCCAAATCATTGAAAACGACGGTTAGCGTCGCGCTGTATAGAGTTTGTAGGGTGTAGTGGATGTTGCATTATGGAGAAACTGTTTCCCAGAAGAATAAAATGTTATTAAAATAATTATTACAATTTCTTTAATAGCTAAATACAAATATTTACGTAAATCTGGGTGACAACTCCCTAATGCATCGTACCATGTCGTTATATTTGTATGTTAGATATGTATGCGCAAGTGTGGCATATAGTGATTAGCAATTGAGCCACGTTATATTTAAAACAAAATTAATTAAAAAAATATTCAAGAGATATGAATATTTAAAAGAAGAGAACGAATGAAGAAATATTAAATGAAGACAAAAATAGTGGTATTAGAAAAATAATATTATGAAAGAGAAACAAACTCAAATAATAATAAAAAATAAATAAATTTATAATTATGCACACAACATTAGTGTACTAATAATCGCCGCAAAAACATAAATCATGAAAAAAATTCGAGGTAAAATCCATAAACATCTGTATTATGAATTTTCGAGTATCTGATGCGTGAAAGAAAAACGTAGTGAAGAGCAAGAGTGTGAGATAAAATGTAAGTGTGATAGAGAAAAAATTGTAAGAGAGAATGACATGACATACATATATACCAATTGTTTTTACTTAATTTATTTTATTAATCCTAAACGATTTTTCTATTTCCCGTAAAAAAAAATACATGAAACGGAAAGCGAACGATAATAATATTAATAATAAAATACTAATAAAATGAATAAATGCTTAGGTAAAATAAACAATATTCATTATTATTTATTACGTTAAATACTCATACATTATATTAAGTATTGACAAAAAGAAAAAAAAAAAGAAAAAAATTAGTAAAACCAATCGTTTGTATATTGACAGGAAAATTAATTTAAAAGAAATCTTAAATACTGATAAAACTATGTATGGCCGATCCATTCGACCTGGCAATAAAAACAAATGTGCAATCAATCCAAATATTATGTTGTATTCGTTAATTAATTCCTTTGTTCTTTGAGCCAACAAGGACGATCATTAGGGCAATTGAGCTAGAAATAAACATATTTGTTAATAAATTTTCATCAATCAAAAGTAGACAAATTAAAATACATAACATTATTGACTGTCTAATTAATTACAGCCTTTCAAAATTTACTTTGACTATTTATAAATTGATAAATAATTAATTATGCCTTCTATTTGTCTATTATTACAACTATAAGTGTAAATGTAACTAAAGAATTACTTTCTAAAATAAAAATAATTAGGTATCGATTGTAAATTTACTTACAGGTTCACATTTATCGTAGCAATAATTAACATCACATGTAATCATGATGTTTCCATTGTCGGGAAATTTGAACGCCTTAAAGTTAGCTTGCAATGAATGTGATTCATCATGCCATTCCCATTGTCCGAAATTCTGTACGTCGGTGGCACAACCATGTTCATCAGTAACCAAGTAATGGTCTGGATGACTTTCATCATTGGATTTAACTTCACAATTTTTTACAGTTGCTTTATAGAGTTTTGGATGGATAGAAATAATTGCAACTAATTTATCTCCTGGCTTGGCATTTTCGACGGGTGTACCATCAAGAGTAGTAATATACATTTTGTGAGTAGGATCTGGCACCATGATACTTGTATTTGTGCTTTGTCTAGATGATGGTGCTCTATCAACGATCAACTTTTTAGCAGCAGTTCCATTTTTGGATGGATAATAGCAAGTAATATCATGAATGTTTGAATCTCCGTTATCAATTACATTGTGTCTAAGCACCATTAAATTATATCTAGCTTTATTTCCAATCAATTCTACCCCACATTTGCCAAAGTTTACTTGAAAACTATTAGTAATAGAAGGGAATGTTTTTTTGCACTCTGGATCATCTCGGTGGCCTTCAACGTAGAGTAATGTATCATCTGTTCCCTCTTGATCAACTCTAATTTCTATGCTCTGAGGTAAGCAAGCTACATGAATACTCACTTTTCCTGGACCTAGAATATTTTTTTAATGAATATTAAAATTTTTTTTTCAAGAAATAAGAAGTAAATCTTGAAAGACAAGAAAAATTAAAGCTATTGGAAGTTAATCTAATAATAAATCTAATAAATAATTCATTAAGTTTTTTAATAAGAAGAAAAATAATTAAAATTTGTAATTTTTTTATAGTAAAAGTATTATTTTAATTACGTAATAGTGTTAAATTACCTGAACAATCTTGACTTGGAACAAATGGCTCTATTTGTGCTGCAAAAAGAAAAATTTACTGATTAGTAAATTGAAGAAAAAGGTTTTTGACTTTATATCAAATGAGATATTTACTGTTATAAGGTTGATCTCTTTGTAATTCAGTATCTTTGTCTTCATAATCATCATCGAAATCTGCAGAAATATCAGAAGAGTCTCCCTATAATGAAAAAAAATATTAAAAATCAAAAAACAACTATTCGAATATAAAGTATGAAGACTTACAGTAGGTTTAGCCGATATCAAAGCAGCAATAAATAATAAACACAAATTGATAAATAATAATCTTTTAAATAACATCATATTGAATATTTTTCTGAATTAAATTCCAATATTTCAATGAGAAATAAAGAGTGGAATGATGACTGTGATGAAAAAACGAAATATTTTGCTTTTATATACTCCCTGGTTGGGATATCCATGTTTCAGAAATCATATACAAAACGTGCTTTAAATGTAAACGCACTTCCTAATTCCGAATCTAAGAAATCATCAACAAAACGATAAGATAAATGAATGAATTGAATGGACCGCGGAAATATGCGTGAATTTTATCGTTTTTGGTGATGAGCAAAGTATTATAAAATAAATCAATATTTATATTTGTTTGATGTTTTAATAACAAAATTTATTTTATTTTAATTTCCTGTAATAAGAGCATCATAGCATTAATTGGCCAACGATTGATCGTTACAAATTTCATTATTACGATTTTTTGTCTTATTTAGAATAATAATTTTCATGAAAATTAAAAAAAATAAATTTTCATGAATGTGAATATTAATAATCTATCATCAAAACCTCTGAATGTTTAATATTAAGCGCCATTTGCAGTTGGTAAAAATTCAGAATAACTATTATTATTATCAAACAGCTGTTCTGCAATCAACAGAAGATAATAGAAAAAAAGGTGTAGCGATTGACAGATACCGCTTACCGCTTTCTCACTACTTTGAAGGCTAAAATAATTATACAATTCATATATTTTTTATTTTTTCATTATATAAAAATACTATTTAGGATAATAAACATGAGTTTTAATAATATATTTGTTTACAAATAAACTATGATCTTGAAATATTAAATAAGAAAAGGTTATTAACAATTTTCACTGTAGTGTAATATTGTTATCAAGTTAGAAACATGAATGAAATTAGCTGGTAAATATTGAACACATTATTTATTCTGATAAATAATAATCAATCAATTATTCATATTGTTCATAAATCATAACAATATATGTATTTTTATTGTTTAGGTTATCATACTCTGTGGAGTACAAAATTAAAAAACCACTCCCATCAGAAGAAACTTCGGAGCATCCTTTAAAACCTTCAGTAATAATTCCTGCAAGTATTTTATTTTATATTAATTTAATTTTGAACGTCTATAACCTCTAAAAAGTCATCGACATTAAACAGTGCCATCATTTGACAGATATTCGATGGAAAATATGGAGCAAAAAGAGGAATATTTCGGAGTACAAGTACTAGTACATCAAACAGTACTCCAACACCTACTCATACTCCTGTTAATGCAGGACTTGCTTTATGTGATCCTCTTTCTGAAGCAGCATCCGTATTTGATGGGACTGATCCTCTGAGTCAATTTGCAAGAGAAGAGTTAGATCCACTCTCTAAAATGGCAGCTGATGAAGTATGATTTAAATAATTTCAATAATGTGATTGATTGTAAGTAATTGAATTTAAATAATAATGTCTTCTAGTGGGATTATTCATCAAATGTCGTCACTTCAAAAAAAAAATCCAAAGATAATACAGTGGATGAATTAATAGAGCCTTGGTCAGTCCGACGAGCTGTAATATTAAATAAATATACAACTTCAGAGAAGCTTACAATAGTAACTAGTTTTCTAACTGGAGGCGAAAAGGGTTATTAATTTTGTTAATTTTTTAATTTTTTATTTTATTCATCAATACAATGAATGTATTTATCTTTTGTAGTAGTAAAAATTCAACCTAATAATCTTGTCGATAAAGTTCGTAATCGTTTGGAGCAGCTAGATGATTTTGAAGAAGGATCAGTGAGACAAATGCTTGATTTATCGCAACAAGAATATGTATCAAGAATAGAACAATTAAATAATGAATTAGTACAAGCTTGGCATTCAGATCAGCGTGTAAAAGCTCTAAAAATTGCTATACAATGTGCAAAATTATTAGTAGACACTTCAGGGATGGCTTTTTATCCTAGTAAATTTGTTTTGATCACTGATATTCTTGATATATTTGGTAAACTTGTTTATGATAGATTAAAAATGAAAGCCGATTATTACAAGTAAGTTTAATATTTTAATTCCTGCGTTCTAATTATAGAAATGAAATATTAAAAACTAATAATTTTTCAGGCCAGGAAGTAAAATTCCAACAAACCTTCCAGATAATTTTACACCAGACATGGTACCAGAAAATGCTAAAGAAACTTGTAGAAATTGGTTCTATAAAATAGCGTCTATTAGAGAATTAGTACCAAGACTTTATGTGGAAATGGCAATAATTAAATCCTACAGCTTTTTAACAACAAATGAATTTAATATTGCTCTTCTTCGTATAACAAAAATGATTCGTGGGATTGGTAATCCATTGATAGCCGTTTATGCAAGATGTTATCTTTGTCGAGTGGGTTTAGCTTTAAAAACAACGGATTTAGAATTTGTTCGAGAAAATCTTTATGACTTTTTACTCACTTACCATCAATTATTCAGTCAATCAATGAAAGCAGAATTGGCTCGTCAAAACATTTCATTTTTTGTTTATTTAAATCTATACACCCCAGCGTTGGATTGGATTTTGCAAGTTATGACAAAAGTAGCTGATGAAAATACTCTAACAGAGATATTAACAAGATGTAAGCAACAAAACCATGGTGCTCTTCTGTTTAATGCAATTCTTACAGCTTTCAAGCCTTCGTATGTAGCTTCAAGAGCCATGGAATTTGTTCATTTGATCACAGATTGCAGTGATGATACTGCATTCCCACAATATATATTATATCGTAATCTGGGTGAACGATTGGTCCAAGAAGAGATGCCTAGAGAAGATTGTCAAGCTATTTTCGAAATTGTTTGGAAGTATATAATTAGTTTACAAGATCCAATAAAATTCATGCATTGTGCTGAAACTTGGATTCAATTTGTAGTGATGCACTTTTCTACTACTGAACTCAATGAATTTTTAAGAGAAATAATTAATCATTTAAGTCCTGATCGTTCATTTGAAAATTATTATTTACAATTGCAAGCTATAATTGAGAAAATTGTCTCGAAAACTCAAGATTTTGAATCTTTATTAACTATGGAGAATTTTTTACCTCTTATTGATTTATTTCACAAAGAAAGTGTTAAAGTAGATGTTTGCAAAATTATTATTGAAGGATTAAGTGCACAAAGTGGTCCAATAACTGATCCAATAATTATTAATGCTCTTATGTACATTTCTAAGATTATGCATGATTCAGTTAATGCTTTAACTGTTGATGATGAAAAACGACAAATTGGAGTACTCATTTGTGGTCTTGTCCAACGAGTTGATTATGGAAGAGATTTTGAGAAACAATTGAATTTTTATGCTGATGCTCGAGCTGCTTTTCCAAACTTAGACTCAGTTCATGTGCAATTAGTACAATGTGTAAATAGACAGGCTGTGGAAACGAGGAAAATTGTTCGAGGTCATCACACGAGACGAACTGCAGCATTTGTTCGTGCATGTGCTGCATTTTGTTTTATTACAATTCCTTCATTAACTCTTGTTCAAACTCGATTACAACTTTATTTATTGTCCGGCCAAGTGGCTCTATTGAATCAATGTTTAGGTCAAGGTAAACTATTCCAAAACATTTTTAACTAATAGTTAAAATAATTTAATTAATGGTATTTTTTGTTTGTTGTAGCTGATGCTTGTTTCAAAGCTGCCTTGAATCTCGTTCCAGAAATGCCTAAAACAATCGAAATTGATGGTAGGCCTAAAACTTCTGAGCCCTACATGTTGTCATATCTCTCTAGCTTCCTATCTACTCTACTTATAGTGCCGGACAGCCCAGAACATGGAGTGTTATATTTGATTAGAGGACTTCTAAATGCAGTTCAACGATTTTTTGATGAAAATAGCTCAGTAAAATGTACTCTTTATCTCAGAGTTTTAGATTTATTATCTACTGTAACTTTAGAGACTTATCCTTACCATATTGATAAGGTAATTATTATTATTCAATAAAGTAGCTATTTTTTTACTTTTCATTTTGAACATATTTTATTTTCAAGGTTGATTCCAATGACAAACTTTACGGAAGCGATGAAAAATTCATTTCAGAAGTAAACAAAATGTGTACAAAAATTCTAGAAGGAATTTTAAGTCATCTAAAATATCTAGGTCAATCATCGCAATACGATAAACAATCTGCACTTTCTACAGAATTATTTATGCGATTGATAATACGTGCAGATCTTCGTCAACCTTCATTGGCAAATATGGCTATTAGTTTATGGAATTTATCACAAAAGCACGGTTATGCTGATGCAAAAATACAGGTAAATTCTTACTAAAATACTTACTAATTATCTGTAAATTAATTATTGATTATATTTATTTATTTTTTCAAGATGAAGACACTAGAATACATAAAGAGAAAAAGTTGTAGTCCAAACTTTGAGCATTTAAAAGAAATTGTAAAAAAAATATCAGCATGAGTATAGTCAAGTGAACAAAATTTTTTTAATAATGTAAAAATAAAAAGACTTATTTAGATAGTTTTTATTTATTGTCTCATTTTTTTATTATCATCATTTAATGGAAGACAGCGATTTATTTTTACAATGAATAAATAACATCCTCGTAATTTCTTTATTTTTATAAACAACTTGATCTTCATTTGGTAAACTGATTGTGGACGAACAATGAACGGTATCAATCTCAAATATACGGCAAAAAATACATCAGCAATAAGGAACATAATTAAATATTAACATTTTCACACAATATCAAAGTAACTTTTGTTTATATATTTACAAAAATATGTAGAAGTTACTCTTAATTATGAATAGTTTGGAAGACTGTTGAAATGATGATTGTTACATTTGTTAATTATTACAAATATAGTTTATTCCTTGAGAACCGAACGAAGTGAATCTAAGAATATATCAGCATGATGTTGATCGAAGGTCAATGCTGGTCTTAGTCTAATAGAATTAGCACCACAACCGCCTGCTTGAATACCTAATAAATACGAAATATAATAACATAAATAATTAACATCATTAAACAATAATTATTGTAAAAGTAAGTTAAATAAGTAAATTTTACCTTTCTTTAAAAGTTTTTTTATAATACTATCTCTTATTTCAGGCGTTGCTCCATTGAATGCAATGAAAGTTCCTCGACCTCTAGAGGAGTTAATGATATTTGAATGCTCTTTTTCAAGAGTCTCGAGTTTTTCAAGAGTGTATTGACCAACTTTTGATACTTTTTCTAGCAAATTATCTCGTTGAATAATTTCAATAATAGTTTCCAGTAGAATCAACTTGCTTGGATCACCCATCCAAGTGTTAAATACTCTATAGCCTTGTTTAGGTCTAAGCAAAATATTAAAATAATTTTAATTGTTACTATTTTTAATAAAAAAACGTTTCGTTAGATTATTAAAAAGTATCAAGAAATAAACTACCTCAGTGCTTTGGTGTGATAATATCCTCCCATTTGCATCTTCTTGCTGAACGTCACAACATCTGGTGGAGTTTTAAGATTAAAATGTTCATGACACCACATTTTTCCAGTTGGTCCACCACCAGTTTGCACTTCATCAATCAATAAAGCTACTCCATGCTGCATTGAAAATTTTTTATCAAATAATGCATAATTTTAATCAGAAAATATTAATAAATTAACAATGAAACCTTTGTAGTTAAATCTCTAAGTTGTTGGAAAAATTCTGGAGAAGCATGGTTATCACCCCCTTCTGCTTGAATAGGCTCAATTATTACTCCAGCTACAGGTACATTCTTTTCTTTATCAAACTTGACAATCAAATCTTCAACCTCAGCTAAGCAGCGTTTATCTTCTTCTTGATTTTGTCTGATATTTTCTTTCAACGGATATTTGTAAGCTGGGAAAGAAGCGATTGGCCAATCGAAAGCAGGGACATCAATTTTATGAATATATTTACTGTGAGTTGTTGATAAACATCCCAAAGTTCTTCCATGAAATGCTCCTTGTATGATAAAACCAAAAAAATAATTTCTCATAAATTAATTATAAAATATTGATTAAAAATATCACCTTTAAAAGATAATATAGAATAACGTGGGGATCCAGGAACTTGATTTATCATACAAGTTTCCATTTCTTCTTTCGAAAAAGATTGACCGTTTCTTTGTTTATCAGCATACCACATGAAAATATTTTTAAAAGCATTCTCGTTAGAACAAGAGCCACACATCATCGTCGTTATGTGATCGAGACCCGACGGAGCAACCTAGAATTATTCCAACATTTTATTCATAAATTATTTAACAAACAGATCAACATCATTTTTTAGACCAATAAAATTCTTACTCCTGGTTTCAGTAGTACACTTTTGAGCTTCTTAGGCCAATCTGCACCAGGAAATACCCCAAGAGCTGGTCGATTGATGATTGTCCTCTGAAAGAAGTCTTTTATTGTCTCTAAAAGCTGTTAATGCCACTTGATAAGTGAAAAATAGCGATGCAACATACTTGATTGTGGGGATTTGAAAGAGCTTCTAGCATTGCTGGATGATTGTAACCCAACGGAACTGATGATATTTGCATGTAGACGTCTAACAATGTATTTCCATCCACGTCCACGATGTAATTTCCGGTAGACTTGTCGTAGTCAGCGAACAGCTGAACGGTAGCTGCTTGCTATAAAAATTAAACGACACATTTATTTATTATAACTTGGATTACAGTTTTTTGTTATTAAATTATTAAATCAATGAATTACGAGCTTGACAATAAGTTTACTTGATATTGATTAAGTTCATCGAGTAGCTGACGAGATTGTGGTCCAGGAATATCAGTCCTTACGGTTGGTCCAGAAGGTTCAGAACATGATGCAGTGGTTAAAAATTTCTCCCATAATTTTCGATCTAATTAAATAATTAGATACCGTTATTTTTATAAACAATACGAACAGATAGAAGAAATAAAAAATTTTTTTTTTTAATTAACTTTAAATTTACTATGATTGAACTCTTGAATATTAGTGTTATTTTTATAGAATTATCATTTGTTTTTTAATTTTAAAAATCTATTTTATATTTAATAAATGCTTCATATTTTTCTACCGTCATATATCCGTCATAATCAGTTTATTACGAAGCGAAATATTTTTATTGATATCCGGACGACATAATATGTAAAGAGATATGTCTGTATTTTGAAATTTAATTAATTTACAACATACAATGCAGATGTCGTTTTCAGATTTAAAAAAAAAATTCGCGCTCTTTATTTCAATAACAATAAAAATAACTCCAAAAATAAATAAAAAAATATATATAAAATTATTCGTTAAAAAAAATTTAACATAGCTTTGATTTATGTTCAAGTTGATTTATTTTTATTGATGCCACTTAAAACTAAGTGGATGAATAGCACTGGATGATACTCTCCCTAATTATGTTGTCTATTAAATCTAAATTCAATCATTTACAATTATATGTTGTAAAGTAAACGAAGTAATATTGATAATTATTCATATTTTCAAAAAATTATAGTTAATTTGAAAGTTGTTTTGAATGTATTTACATAAAATTTAAGATTGTCAACACCTGGTTACAATCTATATTATCAAGGTCATTATATTGTGACATGATAAGATAAGTAATTTGTCTTTGAAAATATTTAAGCACTTCAATCGGTTAATAGACGAGTGGTTTATGACTTAAACTTATAGTATTTTTAATAAATTTTTACTTTGATAATATATTAATAATCGACTTTATCGTAAAAAAATAAAAAAAAGAACGTACCTTTGACAGCAGCACTTTTAATGATTGATCGTCCTTTTGTAAAGATGTAACATTTGCTCATCATTTTCGAAAACTTATTGATTCTAAAATAATAAAAAAATTACAATTATATCTAAATTGTCAATTAAAAATTAATTATTCACTAAACTTCTATTATTAATTGGAATAAATTAGTTAGGGAATATTTCTATAGAATAGTACGAGCAGTATACAATACTTTTATGACTGAAAATTAGGAGATTTATTATTTCGACGCAGTATTCTCCCAAGTCCCAACAAAAGTGATGATATTTAGCTTAGTTACACAGACCAACCGGTTCTGTATTGAGATGAAAATTTTGTGTATATGCGCACACTCCGTTTCATCTCGTCAATAGACATATATATGTTCCTTCCTTCAAATTCATGTTCCTCGTTTATTTATTCTGATTCTTACAGTTTCGTATTCTTTTGGTATCCAAAGAATTTCAACAGTGAAATAGATCAAGCATGACTAAGTTTCGATTTTCTAATTAATTTACAATCGAGAACTGTTCAAATTTAAATTGGAATAATTCTGTTGTTTTTCATTCAATATTTTAAATAGTTTTACAAAATTTCTATTAAAAACATTAACATTGGACAAAAATATAAATCTTGAATAATTGAATTAATTATGCAATACAGAACATAATTAACTTTAGTTGAATTATTTCATTTAAACACAACATCATTAGTGCAAATTATTAACTTGATTTGATATTTATGTATATTTTTATTTACTTATAACGAATTCAAGTGAAAAGTTTAGTAATTTTGATAATATTGTTATTGTTTATTATAAAAATGCATACTTAAATAACTGATAAACTCAGTAAGGAAAAAGGAATTATACAAAGAAATAAAAAGTATCGTCTTTTTCATTTTCACTTTCTCTTACAATTCTTATTTTTATTCAAATATGTACTTCATACTTTTCAATTTTATCTGAAAACTTATTACTACAATTTGAGAATAATTATACAATGTGGTTAAGCCACTATAACTGGCACTATTTTCTTTTTTTTAAATATATTTTCCCAAGTATTTGTTACTTTTTAAATTATTATTATTTATTAGCAGTATGATACGCGTGCGTAACGAGTGATTTACAATGTTTTTTATGATTTAGTGTATGTGGATAATTTTATAAAATATTGCATTTTAAAATAAACAAATTTACACGAATAGTGACTTATTTAAATTCTAGTTAAATTGAGATTTCAATTTATTTATAAGATTATTTTTCCATTAATAGAATAAACGAAAACGTCTTTATTTAAAAAATTTTCATTTGACAAAACTACGCTCATTTTATTTATTATTCTTATATTTATTTTACTTATTAATTAATGATTTTATTTTGTTACATAATTATTTTGCCAGGTATTGTTTACGAATCTGAATAAAAAATACTGTACATGTTTTGCTAATACCTTGGCAAAAGAGTTTTAACAAACTATCTTAATTCTTTTTTTTAATCAATATTTGTATCATTTCCCGACATTTCAATACTCCCTAATTTAAAAATGAATGACAGAAATTTTTATCCTATAATTAATCATAGTTTCGAGTAATAATAATAATAATTAATAAGAATAATAAAAAATAAATTGTCTGGAAAAATGTAATTTCTCCAAGATAAAGGTTTATTCTGTTTAATTAATTATATATATATTTTTTACTATTATTTATTTTTTATTAAAAAGACATTGAATGTCGCACCAAAATGAAATTACAATCTTTCAAGTTATTTTTGTTACGAAATAAAGATAACTATTATGTTTCTTTATTAAAATTGCCATTCTTATTGATTATGATGTTGATCGTAATTATAATAATTTTCTTTTAGTTCGTTTGTTTTATGGTTGTTTAAAATTAACTATTAACAATACTGCCTCATGTGTAATAAGCTTTTGATACGGGGCACTTTTTCATTTGCTCTTTTTTCTTTTAAAAGATCATTAATCAATCTGATGACAACTTCCTTATCAACTAATTATATACAAAGCGGCTTATATTTTACTTATTACTTTGTATTATTATTTATTTTGCAATTTAATCATTTTCTTTTTAAATCTTAACATTATATGTCTTCGTTTATAAACAACTTTATAGAAAATTTCTTTAATGAAAATAACATAAACGTTGATAATTACTTATGAGCATAATAAACAAATTTGTACAATTTGTTATGCGCATCCTTATAATTATTTTTAGTCTAGGATACGAATATTTTTGTTTGTAAGACAAATCGTTTTTTAAATTCAAATGTATTACACATATATTTTATTTATCACTCAGAGTTATCTTAGATGTCATTCCATTCTCATTTTCATGTTCACTTTTTTCACTAATTTTTTGTTATATCATAACTAAAAATTAGTATAGTCATGATTAAAAATGTTTGAGATGACATAAAAACTAATACGTAAAGTTATAATTATCATTATTAATAATTTTATCACGTAAAACCACTGTGCAAAAATGATATACATTATTCAAGGGGCCATGTAAATAGGAATATTTAAAAATAATATTTTGTGTTTTTGTTTTCATTAACAGATATTAAAACTAAATCGTAGGGCCTAATAATCATAATGATTATTTAATAAGCATTAATAGCCCACACGATTTGAATAAATAAAACTATTATTTACGAAAACGCTTGAAAATTAAAATCTAATTGAACCATTTCAAAAATCACTGTTCATCATGGATATTTTTTTTTTACAAGTTATGTACTTACGTTTGATCATTATTTTAATGATTATTATTACTATTATTATTAGAATTATTAGTTTTCTTTCTTGTTATATTATTCTAATTACATTATTTCCCCTCCGAAAATTTTTCTCGTAAGCTCTTAATTTTGTGGACGAAATAAGTTTCAAGTGTTTCAGCACATTTGAAGAATGGCGATTCTTTTGGATTATAATAACGGCAATTGTCGAATATTTTAGTCATATCGCCGATAAATTCACTTAATTTCTTGTATGACTTGTCATTTATCCTTAGCTCAATTGTTTGCAGGTCTGCAGATAAATGATATTTATTAATTTTAAGATAAAAATTATTTAAGTTTACGAATATTTTACGAATGAATTTCATTTTACTCCGAAATTAATTACATTTATTATAAAAAATATTTACCCATAGGTTCTTTAATAACTTTATAATAATCTGGAGCTTCATTTGGATCAACAGGTTCCATAAATGGCCAAGCACTTTTGTGAGCCTGAAGTAAATCAATCAACAATCAATAATTTGTTTATATTATTCATTTTAATAAAATCAATTTATTTATTACAATTTAACACACCTGAATTTGTTTTATAAGTTTCTTCAATAAATCTAAATCTTTTGTATCAAGATTTTTCATGTTTGCAAAATTGACAGAGGAATTTCTCTGACAATTAGGACAAACATATTCATCAATATTGTCAGCTTCGGACTGGAGTATTCCGACGCAACGGCCGTGGAACCAGTCTTGACATTTGTCACAACAGATGTAAAATCTTTAAAAGTAAAACATTACAATAATAGAAATTCTTATAAAAATATTCTTTTATTATTAGAAAAATGATATAAAATGGAGAATACATATTTACGGAGGTTCACTGGCTGCATTAATTTTTAAGATAATTTATTGAATTAAAAAAATTTTATACATAAAATTTTGATTTGAATTTACCTAAAACAATATCGCTTATAATTAAAAAAAAAAAGGGAACAAATAATGTTCAATAAAACGATGGAATAGTGTTTGACATTACGAATAACAATAATTGAAAAATAGTTTACAAAATGTGTATGTTCAATTCAAAATAAAATTTAATTTTGATAGTCTAAGATAATGTGTACAATTATAATTTTAAAATGCATAGTATTCGTTAAAATATTCATAAATAAATAATACAATTTTTCTACAATTAAAAAGCAGTGAGTGAACCTATTAGAGATAATATCAAAACGTATAAAATAATAACTTACTGAGATTCATCATAAGGCTGTTTACATAGACAGTAGAGTTCCTGAGTGTCTCTGGCATGTCGACATTCAGTACATACAAACTCTGAAAGAGATTTGCTCATTTCTTCGGTAATACCAACACATTCACCGTGAAACCAATTATTACAAAGGTCACAACCAACGTAAAATTTTGTTTCATCATACGGTGTTCTACATAAACAATAAAGTTTCTCCTTCCTAAGCCGATTAGCTGATGCAGAAGATCCACCAGGTGGTGTATTACCCTGAGACCGATTTTTCTTTGCCTTCCCACTCCGACTGGTTGGACTTACTTGTTGTGGTGTCTGTGCATTGGCTTTCCGCTTGGCACTTCCAACCTTCACCTCATCCTGCTTATGCCTCTCAGCTTTCGTCCGGGATGTCAACTCCGCAGAAAGATCCTTCTGAATGTCAATCTGCAGCTCCTTTTCCAACAGCGCACGTTTTTTCAAAATATCCTTTTTTAGAAGTTCTTTGTGTCGAAAAAGCAGAACCTGCATGCGAGAATGTACCTGTTGCTTCCTTCGAGCTTCCTGAGAATCCTTCAGCTTCGCCGCTCGACTCTTTTGTGCATCATTGATTTCCTCAACCTTTGGCGTCTTCGGTGATTCCTTTGGCTCTTGTTTAATCGTCACTTTTTTACGTGGTGGCTCGGACCAGTCTTCATCTTTATTGTTAACAGCAGAAGTATCCTTCGTTGTCGTTGGTGTATTTACTGTAACGTTGACATTTACTGGAGCAGGTCTTTTACGAGCTGGTGTTTTAGTTACTGGAGTCGTGGGAATTTGAGACTGATTACTTGTCACTGAATTGTCTGTACCTTTCATTTGTTTCTCCTGATAACGCTGGAGTTGTAATAGTTTTTCTTCAATGTCAGGAGTAAGATTTTCTTGTTTTAACGCATTCTTTATCGTTTGCTGAATATAATCTGGTGTTACAATAAATTTATTTTGTCCTGGACTGGCATCTTTTGAAGTTTGTGCTGGTTGTTGTCCATTAGCTATACTCGTACGTTGTGGTTCATCCTCAGAAACACTCGTTCTGCTGACTTGCTGAACAACAACCTTTGGTTTGTCTGGTTGAACAGGTGTACTAGGTACTTCAGTATTATTATTTTCTACTTTAATTGATGACGTCAATGTTTGATTTTTTTGTACAGGTGTTAATGGTGATGAAGTGATAGCATTAGTATTAGAAGCAATTTCAGAATCAACTGTTGAAGTTGTGCTAGTATTTGTATTAATGCTTGTAGTATCAGTAGGTGTATTATTAGTAGATACAGCAGTATTTGTTGTGGTCGTCACATTTCCAGAAGACTGAGTTATTTGACTTCCTGGCGCGGGTTGAACTGCTAGATATATTTTTGTGGGGCCAAGAACTCCCAACTTTCCAGTTAATGCTTGTGCTTTTACTAATTGTTGTTTTACTTGTTGCTGAACCATTGCTAATTGCTGTGGAGTAAAATCAGCACCTTGTATGCCTTGAAGAACTATTCTAGGGCCGTCTGAGGTCTGTATAACTTGTGCTGTGACACATTTTATAATTGTTCCAGGTGGTTGATTTGCCAGAAGTGAAGCTTCCATACTTCCCGGTGCTGGTGTAGATTGAGCAGATGCTGTTGGTGTCGATGGGGTCATCACCGTTGTTGTATTATTATTTATTGTGCTAACTGACGGTGTTGTGGCAGCTCCTGTTGAAGATGATACTGAAGTTGTTGTACTAACTGTTGGTGTAGTTACTGATGGAGTTGCTATCGTTGAAGTTATAACATTAGAAGTTGCTTGTACTACTGCGACTGGAGTTTTTTGTTGAACATTAGTTTTTAAAACTAGTCCAGTACCCGTCGAATTTAAATGTGTTAATTGATTACCGGGAGATGCACCTTTGATAATAACATGCTGACCCCCAACAGTGGCTAATGCAACTTTTCCGGCGGCCAATTGTTGTGCAAAGTTAGCATTATTCATAACTATTGGACTTGGATTAGCAACTACAAATGTATTTTTGGATGGTGTAAACACTGCTGTAGCATTAGAAGCTATTGCAATAGTTTGTTGTTTTATTTTTGGTGTTTGAGGAGTGGTTACACTCTGAGGATTTGGAGTAATATTTTTAGTTGGAGTTCCTTTAGCTGGAGTTACTTTAGTCACAATGGTCTTCACATTAGATTGAGATGTTGCAGTGGGCGTCGATTGATTTACTGTTAATGTAAGTGGTGATGCCGAAGTTGTTTGACTTGTATTTAATACATGAAGTTTGCCATCAGGCAATTGTACGAGCTGTTGTCCTGGCATAAGTCCTCGGACTTGTAATTTACCATCTGGACCACGTAGAATTTGTACTCGTTGTTGTACCGGTGTTAATGGTGAATTAGTTGTATTTGCAGCTTTTATCAAGGATTGTTGATTGGCATTTGTTTGATTCAGTGATTGGGTTTTTGGAAGAATACTAGTTGATCCAGCAACCACAGTTCGTGGTGCTATACCTGATTTCGTCATAAAAATACGTCGTGTACCGATAAAAGTTTTATTTTGCGTTGGAGTTGTTAAGAGAGACGTTAATTGAGATTTTCCATGTGGAGTATTTGGATTCACTGGTATTCCAACTTTAGTTACAATTTTGAGAGGTTCTGTAAAATAATATTTCAAATTGAATTGGTTATTGGAATGATAATAATGATACTAATGATATTTTTGATAAAAAAAAAAAAAATTTTTTTTGTAATAAAAATCTCACCTGTTTTGGGAGTTGCAACTTTAAAAATTGGTGAAGAATTCGCTTGATTCTTCATTGTATTTTCAAGAGCTCTTTTTTGTTGATGAGCAGCTCTCTGAATTCTTAATTGTTGTTCAATTTTTTCTTTAATTTCTTCAGGGGTAGCTTTGCCACTAACTTGATCACTTGATCCAGACAATGAAGTTCGATTTGCTCCAGCCATAATTGATTGTTGAGGTCCACCTGATCGACTCCTAGTAATAATTTGGGCATTAGCCTTTTCTAACCTAAAGAAAAAGACACGACGAAAGCATTGTGTTAGTTGTGAAAGGTGTTAACTGTGGATGGGAAAGCTAGAAAACCCATAAGCTAACAATAATATTCTTACCTGTCACCATACTGCTTGATTTCCCAAAGCTCTAGTTTATCTTCATCAACCCACTCTTCACTCACTTGAGGTTCGGTACTTTGCGGTGATTCAGGTCGTTTTCGTTTTCTCAATCCACTTCTTATTGACGTCACTTCTCGAATTTGTTTCGGAAGTTCCAATGGAATGACAACTTTTCGTCGTAAATATTGAGTTCTGTCCATAAATTGACCAACATGTCGATGCTTCAAAATCTCCAAAGACATAATTTCAGTATCAGTAGTAACTTGATGTTTTCCATCAGATGAAAGTGGCTTTGTAGCCATATCATCCCATCTTAAACAAGCCCAAAGTATTCTCAATTGCAATGCAGCAGCTGCCAAAGATTTTAGTCCTACAGTACGATATAACCAGCATGTTTTGAAAAGAGGCCTTGGACAGGGGTAAGGCCACACTGACATATTAGCCTGCCAAAATTATCAATTAAGTTAATTTAATCAAAAATATTATGTAAAACATAGAATGAGATAATTAATAAAATATTTACCTTAGCTAATTGATGGAATCCTTGAACAGATACTCTTCCACCACCTCTAGCAAGCTTTCGTAGTTCATTTTGTGGAAGTAATAGTATACTTCTTTGCTTCGCTTTAGTACAAAAGGTTGAGCATAACGGATATTTAACGGGCGTACGTTTCTTTCTTCGATCGGCCAAAGAGATTGCAACTTTCTTCAAATAAATTTTTCCTTCAGTACTAACAGTAGTATAGACTCTCGTCGTCCCATCAGCACTCAATTCAGTAGCCATCGTACTTCTTTGAACTGTTCTTCCTCTCCGATTAACAATCGTCACCACTGTACTACTATTACTATTAACTGTTTTAACTTCTGTTGAATTTATTAAATTTTTTGCATTCTCACTTTCTTGAACACTTTTTACAACACCATCTACAGTCTTTACAGTTTTTGATGTCGTTGTTGTTGTAGTTGTGGTTACAGTTTTTGTTACAGTACTCGTGATTTCAACTTTCTTATCTTCTTCATTTTCTAATTTTATTTTTTTGACAATAGGACTATCAATATTAGCTGCTGCTGCTTCCTCTGTGCAATGAGTTGCTAAAGCAACAGCAGATTCTAAATCTCTCTTGATAGCATCTTTAGGTTCTTCATTAGGTTTTTTAGTTACGGTGGTTATGGCTGGAGATAATCCAGCTGATGTTTGATTATTTAACGCATTTGCTTTACGAAGGAGATTAACCAATTCTCGTTTGAGTCTAGCTTTCTGTAGACAAATTGGAGAATAACAAGTCGGTGTCAAACTTTGATTAGTAATCAAGGTTCTTGTCGGTGTTGTCATATTACAGTAATTAGAATAACAACGATTCCCTTTACCAAGCTTCATGATATTTGCATAATGTGTTCTCACCTGTTGAAAACGTTTTGCAACAGGGATCAAAATCTCTTTCACAGCTGGAGGTAAAGATTTATTTATTGTTTTACCAGCTAACATACTTTGAAGTGATCGATCATCATTATCTTCATTTTCAGCATCAGTTCCACCATCTTCTTTTTTAATATTCGATTCTGTAGATTTTTCATTCTGTGAAAAACGACGTTCTTCAAGTATTTTTAAATGAGTTCTTCTTGCTAAAAAGTCATCTATTCTGGTTTTTTTGGCGATTTTTGGATAATGAAGACGTCCAGGTGTCGTCAGAGCTTTCATAATATCAATTTCTTCAAAACGTTCAATTGGAGTGAAAACTTTTTCTATTTTCATTCCAGCTAAAAATGAAAGATTTACTTTTTTATCTGGTTTTACATCTTTTTCTTCTTTAACTTCGGATTTGACTTCTTCCTTCTCAACTTCATTCTTTTCTTCAGGTTGCTCCGGTTCTATTTCTTCTTTGATCTTAGGTTTTAAATCTTCTTGCTTAACTGCTTTTGACTCACAATATTCTTGAACAAGGAATTCATATGTTGGTGGATCCAAAGCTAAGATTTTAATACCTTGTTGATCACGAATTTGAACCATAATTTTTTGTGGTCCTGCTCGTAAACCCACTTTAGATGTATCTCCAGATTTGTATCGACGACTTGCTGATATCCAAAGCCAACCCCATTGTCCATGTACTCGATATTCTTCACCTTTTTGCTTCCACACCTGATGCTTTAAACCAAGAGAGTATTTAACAAAGTTATAAGTTAATCGATTTCTTTCTTCTTCATCTTCTTTCTCCTTCTTCTCTTTTTTATCTAATCTTTTTTTCTCTTCACGCTCAAGGGCTGTCACTCGTTGTAATTTTACATGTCCCAGCTGATCATGCCAAACATTAGCGAATACTACAGATTTGATACAGGCCTGTAAAACAATTAATGCACGTGCGAAGTCTCTAGGATTGACACAAGCACCAACAGCTGTTGTCCAAGGTTTCTTCAATAATGGCCAGTTAGGATGCATAAATGGTGTTTGAATGTTACTCTCCAACTGAAGAATTGTTTGTCTGATTGTACTTACAAGTAATGCTCTCGTTCCAGTCAAAGTTCCAACCCATTTGAACTCTGATGCTTGAGTTAGAGAAAATTTATGGGATAAATGTCGTTTTTTATCACGTTCTTCATTTCTTTGAGCCTTATTTAAAGCTACAGGATTCGTCGTGTATTGATTAACATACGATTTATAATTACTATCCATTCCTAGCTTGAACAAATGAGTACCTGTAGCTATTTGATGAGCTTTTTGCCGAGTCAAACGACCGTTATCACCATTATCTTCTTTTATATCATTTCCTGTTCTTTTCTTTAAATCATCCATGTTAAAAGTTCTTGGGGTTAATGAGCCTGTTTTTGATCTTGTTAAAATTGTATGCTTTTTACCATCTTTACCAATTTTTTCTTCACCATCCTCATCGTCACCTGCTTCAGAAGATGATGAAGATTTTGGCTTATCTGATGATTGACTTGGAAACACTTCACTATCGCCAATTGTTTCTTCAGTATTTTCATTACTTTTTTCCTCAGATTTTTCACCACCACCTGATTCAATATTATCAGGTTTTTTATCATCTTCGTCATTACCTTGACGTTCTTTTTCTTTTTTCTCAGCTTCTTCTTTTTCTTTCATCTCTTGTAATTCTTTTCTTTTTTTTAATATTGCTGCATTTTCTACTTCAAAGTAAGATTTTTTATTGCCTTTAAATTGATTTGTTAAAGATTCTGTTAACTCCATTTGACGAATAATTTCATCTTTATAATCGGATAATTCTCTATACAAAGCAACTTCCATTTCATTTTTATCTAAACTGTTCATTAGCTCTTCAAACTGTAAAGGTGTACTATAATACCATACTTCACCAGCTTCGCTTTCAACGAAAATACGTCGTACTAAGAACCAATATTTTCTGCCATGACGATCAAATCCCAAGTGTTCTTGACGACAAAGTAATCCATTTTTTTCTACATCAGGCACACAATCAACAACACCAGTAACTTTATGAGCTTTACAGGTACTACACTGCCAATCTTCCGTAGGTACATCAACTAGAGGTGGATCAACACATTCTAAATGAAAAACTGCTGGACATGTTTCGCAACATAATAAATCTCCAAGACGATGACAAACTCTACAATGATCATCATAATGCATATTACCTTCATGAATTAAGTCTTCACGTACTGGGTTGGTTATGAGAAATTGGTCAGTAAGAAACTGAAGAACTTTAAGACGATTTTCAATGGTAGTAAATGGATATTCAGTATTGGTAAGAATATTTAAAATATTTTGATCAAATTGTTTATCACTTTCTACGTAAGATCTCAAGATTTCAGGCCAAGTCATGGAATCAACAAAATATAAACTCACATTAACAGAATCTTTTTGATCTAAAGGACCAAAATGTGTTTGTTGAGAATCTTCTTCTCTCAATAAAGCTTTAATTAGCATTATATGAATTTCTGCAAGAAGGTTAGTTTGATCTTCACAATTAATAACGGCACAAAAGTCTTCAAACCTAAAGCTCGATAATCGTACAAGTGATCTAAAATGCCTCAAAACTTCATAGATGGATAAGCATGGCATAACATATTCTTTAGCTATCAAAAGATCATCTGATGATTTAGGAAGTTCTAATGGCGGGAGTTCACGGTTTTGAAGCCAAAGAGGTTCTGGACTAGGTGGTCTTGGTTGACCTAACAGTGATTTTCGTGGAGTCCCACTAGTATTGCTAAAACTAGATAACGAAAAATCACTATCACTAGAAGGATCTGGCTCTTCAAGTGTCTCTGAGGATTCTTCATCAGTTTGGAGTGGATCATCATCAATGTCACTTTTTTCACTAGATTCATCACCAAAATCAGATCCATAATGATACTCAGAATCATTGTAATCAACATTAGTATTATAACCTCGACGTGAATAAGGGCCAGCATGTCCACCTTTACGTGATTTACCACCTCGAGGTCTTCTAGTCCTGGTACTACGTTTGCTTCCATCACTTTCGACTGGAGATGCTGCTCTTGATGCAGTAGGCGTACTTGGTTGTGAACTTGGTGTTTCTGAATCTTTTTGTAAATATTTAGGCTTTTTCAGCATATGAAGTTGAAATTTTTTCGGTCTCTCCATCACCACCGACTTGGGCGGTCGTCCCCGCCGTTTACCTGTTCCTCGTCCAGTCATTTTACGTTCTTAACAATATCAATTAGGTATACAGTCAATTACACTCACGTCACGTAACACGTGGCTTATGAAAGCCCGCGCTTGTAAACAAATACGCTTGATATCGCGGCAATAAAGGATAACCCATGTTTGTACTCTGATCTTTGCGCCATTTTTTTGCACATTTGTCATGTGACCAAACAGAGTCTTTCCATGGTGTCCCGTACTTTTAGAAGACACTATTTTCTAATAATTATCTGTTCACAAGGTCTTGAATAGTCTAAAAAAATTTCAGACGTCTCACTAACGCACTCTTTCACTTCTCTTGTAGCTCACCAACCGAGACAAAAACGAAATTAACGAGCACTCACTGACGCGAGGGAAAAGCGTAAAGGGGGATAAGCTAAGGTAGATTGACGATTGCTTTAGAGAGACGATCTCTGATTGGTCAACGGAAACGCCGCCATGTCGAGTGTTCACAATTTCTGCCGGCTCACCAGATACTAATAAACAAAATTCATTCACTATTAATTCACTTTAGATATTTTTTGATTCGAAAACTTCCAATTTTTTAAGCTTACGAGTTATTAGGTTAATCCAAAAATTTATTATTCACGTAAAACCGTGCTGCTGTTGAGTACAAGCGTCACCCAATCGTCGTCGACGACTCCTGCTGGGCCTCGAGAATTCGCCTTGATGCGACTGCAGGTGGCGGTAATGGCGTTTCAACTGAAAAAAAAAAGTAATTCTAACCACACTTCAAACAACAAATATATGATTATTATTGTACAGTTCATTACCAGAATCACATTTAATTATTATTTCTTATTTTGCAAATAATTAACAATGTTTTTATTGACAAAACACAACTTAGTTTACAGAGCAACAGCTCATTACCGCGAAAAGACGCACATCTAACCTTAGTTCTATTCAGACCTCACAAGAGGACACCACTTTTTTCTGTACCCAATTGCTTTTCGAGCAGTTTTTACATTTTTTCAATTTTCAAATCATTTTCAAAATCATTTCATTTACTTATTCAACTTTTCTATTAATTTATTTTATCACTTGTTACACTATTGTTGAGAACAAGGAAATATTATCGCTCAAACCTTATTGTAAACTGCCATCTACTGTGAAAAAATAAAATATGCGATGTAAGTGAAAAGAAAAAGTTCAAAAATTCATTCCTTTTAGGAAAATTTAATTTTTAATAACTATTTAAAGGTCCATAAATCAAAATAAAAAAAATTTTTTAATTTTACGTAAACGAAATTTTAATTAAAAAAAAAATTTTCAAAATAAACTAAATTGTTTAAAAATTATTTACTATTATCTTCTTCCATAAATAAAATGATTTCCGGATCACAGTTATTGAAAAATATTTGTTGAAAATAAGCTGATAAAAAATTTGATTTGAATCATAATCAAAATAAATAATTTAATACAAGAAAATAATGTTTTAAACAATAAATGAATCACGTAGTATATCCGCACTTTTTTCTTCTATCACTCCAAAATGAATTTTTCATTCAGATAATTTTAATCATCAACATTTTAAGCATTATTTAGATCTTTATAATTTTTTCATCATTATTTAATAAAATCGAATTTTTAAACAATTTAAATTATTCAATCTAATTAGAATGATGTAAAAGTTGTCAATATGACGTCCATTTTAAAAAGAAAACATAGAATGAATGGTGGGGGCAAATCTCATATCACGCATGTGGTGTAATGTGCACATTTTAAATGGCTGCCGTGAAAAATTGAAAAACTGGAAAAGTGTGAAAAAAAGACGTTTTTATGTTGAGAAATTATATCAAGTGATAATAGTGAATTATATTAGAAAAAATAAATACAAAAATAATGGTAAAAATGTATAGCCTCAAACCGATAATAGATCAGGATATAACGATTAACCGTCCGATATGTATGTACGAGATGAAAAATATTCATGACGATAGCGACTTGAAACTGAAGTGCAGAATAGTCTCAGAGGTTACTGGCCACTTTATAAATTCTCTTAAGGTTTATATTATTTAATGTTCATGGCAAATATAAAGCTATCAAAAAAATTAGCGTCGAAAAATTCAAATACAGGTTTAATTAATAGACTTACACGTGGAGCTGCCATGGCTTTTTCCCGTAAAAAGATGAGTTCTTTGAACAACGTTGGCGTGAATTCTTCCCGAAATTTCAACGGTCACTAATCACTCGATCTGAGAGAATATGGTTCTCACTGTTGGCTTGATCGATGTGCTTCCTCTCCTTTCCCCTCCAAATTTTTCTTCTTCATTTCCTGTCATATAATATTATTTTTATTATTTATTCACATTTTAAATGTGAACTGATATTAATTTTTGAGATTTTATCTTAGAATACAAAATATATATTTGCTTACAAAAATTCTCACCAATATAAGTTTGTATAACCAAACATTAATTGTTAAATTAAATTATCTATCAAATACATTCTCATTTAAGCTTTACACATGAAAGTATATGTCAATTTTGAAGATTTGCATTTGTTTACTTTAAAATATTCATATTTTCAGACTCCATCAGCTGAAGTAACAGCGTTAGAGGAAAGACAGAAAAAAATTCTAGTACAATTAGCAGAACTTAAAAACCAAGTTTTAACACTTTGTAACGTTTTAAATAAGAATAACAATCAAAAAGTTCAATCAGTCACTCCTATAATAAGGTATCAGGTAAATATTCTGTTTATTAAATGAGTATTTAAACATAATCAATATTTAAAAACGAATATTTTAATATTACCAATGCTTTGCAGATTCATTCTGTTCCTGAAATAGTGCTAAATGTATCACGATCAAAACCTTGTTATTCACTTTTAGCTCTAGGCAGACTTTGGACTGATATAGACTTTAAAATATCACCATTCATTCATTCCACTATTAAATCTGAAATACCAAAAGGATTCGAAAACACTCGATCCAATGATAAAGCGAATTCAATTAATATAATTCTGATTTGGAAAGAAGGTAGTTTTTGATAGATTTATTTTTTGAAACTATTTAGTCACTAGAGGAATTAATCAAATATTATGTATCTCAGATATAGTTAACAAGTTTATTGCTCGATTTCAGTTCCCAACACCGAACTTATAATCTCTGGTGTTCAAAAATTTCCTATAATCGGTGAATCAAATTTTCTTCGATATCTAGTCCGATCTATCAATGATGGAACATATGAGAATCCTGAATCAATACAGGAGACAATGAAAATTGATAAAATTCTTGACCTGTCAAATCTACTGATCCACCAAAGTCAAGAAAATAAGCAAAAAACATTAGATGAATTGAACAGAAGCTTGAAATCCAATACGTGGTTTTCTGATCACAACGAACCAGGAATTTCTGATTTAGCAGCTTGGTCAGCAGTGAAACAATCTTTGGTAGAAAAATTGCCTTCCAATCTTGTAGGTTGGTACAAAAAATGTGAAAACTTATTCTTAAAATAACTTATTCAATATAATTGAATAAGAAATAAATGTACATAATTTTGATTATTGATAAATTTTTCATAAATTTTTTATTAAATGCAATATTGGTGTATTGAAAACATTATTTTACATTTAAAAATGGATTTCTTCCCTTTTTTATTATGACATCTTGAAATTCTTTGAACTTATAAGGTAGTTACATAGATCATTTATTAATTATAATATATAAATAATTCATGACATAAATTTGAACTAAAAATTGGAGTATAAAATATGCAAAATTCGATGCATATCCCCAATTGCCATTCTTTAGGCACTTGATTTTCATTATTGATAAATGCTTTTCAAAAGCAATAGAAATACATAAGAAAAGATAAAAATCAGACTTTTTAGCTTAAAACTTATTTTGAAATAAACTTACAAAAATACTTAAATACAAATTCTAAGGCATAATAATTAGCTACCAATATTTCATTATTAAAGTAGCATATTCATAATAATTAATATAAAAAAGTAAATATTAACTTCAGTCAAATAATATTGCGTATTTACAATAATCGTTTTAAAGAAAGTTTTTAATAAAATTATTTATTAACAAGCATTCGTCTTCGAGTACTCAATATAATTTATCATCTTCTATAACATTGTCAGTAAATTATTGAAACAATGATATGAATGATTTTATAAAAGTATGTTGTATATAAAAAAAGCATGATTCATTTACAAATGGCTAGATTCTAAAATTTCTCTTGAATATTTAAGATATATTTTTATACTCTTCTTAGTGAGAAATCTTTAGATGAGTTATGATAAAAAAAGTGGCACTAATATGTATTAATATTCATAGAGATCGCTTGCCTAACTTCTAATTGATATGAAATGACAAATTGTCAATGTATACATCCAGTGATACGTATATATAAAGCTTCATAATCCAATTATGGAAGTAAAAATATCTATCTAAAGCACTTAAATATTATCTTTCGTCACACTCTTGTGATTGATTGACAAATCGCTTGTATAAATTATTAATATTAATAATAATAATCTAATGAACTGTATCACAATATTGAATATTAACTGCTAGTAAATTTTTGTTTTCCTTAGTAATAAATAATTTTTAAACAAATGATGAAAAACCAGGCAGTGGAGCTCTCGATCTTGCCATATTATTCATAATAATTTGGCCACCATTGAGACTTACTACAGCACTTCCTTCCGGTTCTGAGTCTGTATAAGATGAATAATTTCGTACTGGTTTCTGACGTTTCCATGATTGACGTAATGAATCATTAACATTTGCATAATGATTGACAAACGAGTGGGGATCTGATTGAACACTCTCGTTCTCACTTTCCGAACCCTACAAAAAAATAATTAAAATAATTAATCAAGGAATTATTCTAGAAATATGTTTAAAAAAAATCATCATTCTATCTGAAATACCTGAGAATCTGTCGAACTAATTTCAGAAGGTTTTTCTGTTACACTACTATCATCTGGATTTTCATCGTAACCTTTCAAGCTTTCTTCATCACTATGATATGCAACAGAGGCTGGAGAAGGTCTTGGAGGTGATTTACCATGTAATGGTGGTGGTGGAGGATGCATTGATTTCCTTCCTAAAGTATTACGTTTACTTAAAGTTCCACAACCGTTGGCAATACTTAGACCGCCTGAAGGTCGTGTACGATATAAAGAAAGGTCAGATTCTTGGCGATCATCAATATCCATAGCCATTGATTCTTCTAGTGTTTTTTGAGCTTCTTGTTTGTATTTATAACTCTTACTCTTTACACAGAGAATTGCTACTACCATAATAATAATTACAATTGAAGTGGCAGCAAGTGTGACCATGAACCAGGTTTGACGATAAAATGGTCGATGTTGCAGATATGCATACTCTAAATAGAGTTTTGATGGCGTTAAAATTGTCTCTGATGAATATGCAGGATAACTAATGCCATATTTGTTATATGAAATAACTCGGAAGAGATATGATGTTGATGGAAGAAGATTTTGATAAGAAACAGTAAATTCATAGAGAAGTCCATTGGTTGTCTTTGCAATTGTTTGCCATCGAGATTCATCTGTGTTTGACAAACAAATAAATTATGTTAATAATGATTATTGTTGATAACAAGAGTTTTCTTCAATCTCATTAATCAATTAAATCTGTTATAATACGAATAAAACTACTCAATAACACACTCAAATTAATAGCTACTAATACTGTTAAATTAGTACACAAGGGGATATTCGTCTCATGAGAAAAGCTCATGCATCTTATGGTTAAAAAAATGTAATTATATCAATAATTCAATTAATAACTCAATCGAGGGTAATGTTTCACTTACAATGCTGCCAATCTTCCATGGCTGTGTCAGAAAAAATATGATATAGCAATGATTCCCCCATTTTTATTTATTTACTTCAAATTAAATATTATTAATAAAGTTAAATTATCTTACCTTTTCTGCGTGTTTCGATATAATATCCAAGAATAGGTCCTTTTCCAGAAGCACCATTTTTCCATTTCATTTCAACACTGGAAACTGTCTTAGAAATTTCAAGATGTGTCGGAGCCATTGGAGAACCTTCTTGAGGCCCAGTTGTGACATTTCCTGACACTGGAGGACCAAAATCAATTGTCAATGCTCGAACCATGAATGTATAAGTTACTTCTTCTTCTAGAGGTTGAACGAGAAGACTTGTTTCAGTTACTTTTTGTTTAACTTGTTTGCTAAATTTGTCATTTTGCTCTGCAGTTTCATAAGTCACGATGTATCCAACGATTTCACCATTACGAAGTTTCGGTGGATCCCAAGTAACTTTCATGCTTGTCATTGTAATTTCAGTAAATTGAAGATTTCCTGGAGGTCCGGGAATGTCTTGTGTAGTTCTTACAGTAATTGGTGGTGTTCTAGGACCATCACCAGCCGGATTGAAGGCTAAAACTTGAACTCTATATTCAGTATATTTATCAAGAAAAACTAAACTATGTTGGAGAGATGATGCAGGAACAACTTCAATCTCTTCTTCTTGTTTTTTCTCAAGTACTTGAGGTGAATCTGTCACTAAATAGAAAATTTTATAGCCCAACAAATCACCATTTTGCATATGAGCCTCTGGTGGTTTCCATTTAAGATAAACCTCGGTTGAAGAAATTGGTTTAGCTTCAAGATTTTGAGGTTGACCTGTGGGAACAGCTTCTCCAACATAAACAGTTACTGGAGGGCTTGGAGGACCATCTCCTTCGGAATTGAATGGTAATACAACGATTTCATAGTTTTTATCCTCCATTAAATCACTTAGAATCATTTTTGTTTTATTAATTCCTAAAATCTCTTGCTTTGGAGTGGCTTGAAGAGCAGTTGGAAAATCAGAAAGAGGTTGATAAACAACTCTATAACCTCCAGTTTCATGATCTCCACTCCAGTGTACCTCTTCAATCATGTCCCAATGAACTTCAATACTTGTTGTAGTTATAGGAACAACTTTAAGTCCTGTAACACCTTTAGAAGGAGCTGCTGGAAGTGTTTGAACTTGCAAAGACTCTCCACTCCAATCTGATGGTCCAATGTCATTTGTTGCTTGAATCCGGAATTGATACAATGTAAACGGTTTTAGATTGTCTGCTGTATAAGATGTTGAAGTTGGATCAACACGTTCGGAAATAGTTTGAAAAGGTCCTGAGTTTTCAGATTTTTGCACAGTATAATAACGTAATGGAGCAGATCCATCTGGTCCAGGATTCCAAGAAAAGGTAATTTGTCGACTCTGAACTTGTGATCGACTGATTTGTGGTGTTGACGGAGGTTGAGGTTTTTCACGATTATTTGTTGTAAGTACTAAAGCAAATGCCGTTTTACCCCAACCTAATTTTGTACGTGCTGTCACTGAAAACATATAATATTTTTCTGGCTCTAGACCAGTGGCAGTAAATGTTCTTGCGGATGCTTCTTCTTCCTTAGAATATTGTCTTTCTTGGCTACTATTCAAATGATACATCACTTTATAAGCCAATATTTCACCATTTGGATCTTCTGGCGTATCCCAGATAATTCTTGCTGTAGAGAAACTAACATCAGGTAAAGAGACATTTGATGGAGGTCCTGGAACATCTTCAAATGTTTGAACTCTAATTGGTGGTGTACTTAAAGCACCATCTCCAAGTCTTGTATACGCCAAGACATGAATTTGATACTGTACAAACTTTTTCAACTCTGTTAAAGTGGTCGTAAATGTTGTATTTTTAGGAATATTTTTATATTGAAACGGTGATTTTCCAATTGGTCCATAATAGACTTTATAGCCTTCAATTTGACCATTTTGATGTTCTACAGGAACTTCACCCCACTTGACAAGAATTGTCGTTGATGATGTAGCATTAGCTTCAACATTTGATGGGCCTACTGATGGTACGGATTCTCTAGTTCTTTCTACAGCTTTTGGACTTGGTACTGAAAATCCTACATCATTATAAGCTTGCATAATAATTTCATACACAGCATATTCCTCCATATCCTCCAAAACATAAGAATTTGCTGTATGATCTTCAATTGCAATACTTTTTGATTTATTAGTTCGTACTTCTGTATAAGTAACGTTATATCCACGTGGATTACCATACCATTCGACCTGCTGTAGAGGAATCCAACGTACTCGTAATTCTGTAGCACTCATGGCGCGTACCGTAACATTCATTGGGGGATGAGAGGGTGGTGCTTGAATAGTTTGAAATTCTTTCGTTGGTTCCGAAGGTTTAGAGGCACCAACGACATTGTTAGCAATGAGTCTAAGCTTATATTCCATAAATGGAATCAATCCTCCAACAGTGACAGTGCTAGCATCAGGATCAGAGACTTCATAAATATTGTACCAAGTGGTATTTCTCTTTGTTTGAGCTTGTACTGTCCATTTAATAATTGATGAATTTCCGTCAAAGCCTGGAGTAAACTGAAGAACGACCGAAAAAGCATCAATATTTGATAAAGCCAACTTTGAGGGTGGTTCTGGAAGTACTGGTTCAACTCCTGATTGAATTGTAGCAACTTTAGATTTTCCTGGTCCTTTAGATGTCCAAGCAATTACTTCGAACTTATAATGTGTTGTTGGTTGGAGATGTTCTACGTTACTTGATAATGTGTCTGCTGAATAATTCAAAACTTTAAGAGATTCCGGCAAGTCTTTGATCATATATTTAAGCTGATAGCCTGTTAAGACACCATTCATTTCACTTGGTGGTTGCCATTTGACTGTTAATGCACGATCGCTGATATTGTGGAATTGAAGGTTCTCTACTTCTCCTGGAACATCTTCACATGTTCTTACTTGAATGGGACTACTTCTTTGACCATCACCGGGATCAGTGAAACAAAGAACAGTTATATTATACGGCGTATATTTTTTTAAACCAGTCATAAGGGCTGATTGTTCAGCAAGAGGATCAAAAAGACTTGGAGGAACCTTCATTGACTTGTATTCATTTTCTTCGGAAAAATTTCCACCAGTCCAAGCTTGAATTTTATATCCTTGATTAATTCCATTTATTTTTTGAGGATTAGGAGGTTTCCACCAAACTTTAATTGCTGTTGAATTAATAGCTTCCACTCGTATATTCGTTGGTGGTGCTTCAGGAACACCTTCCTTAGTTTTTATTATTAACCCATCTGTATAAACTCCAATTCCTTTTTCATTATAAGCAGCAACTTGAACGATGTAATCCTTCCAAGTTATTAAATCCGATATAAGATAATTCTTTTGCGCTTCATTGGTGATGTTTTGCATCGTCCATGGACTTTGCTTGTAATATCCGTGAAGTCTATACCTCAATATATATCCAAGAATATGTCCATTACAATGTTCATCAAGGGGCGGTTGCCATTGAGTTATGATTTCAGAATCAGATCTCGCAGATCCAACAAATCCAACAGGTGGACCTGATGGTGGTTCTTGGGGCAATATAATTACATTGCTTGGTTCCGAAGGCGGACTTTCTCCTACTAAATTTATAGCAGTAACTCGGAATTGATATGCAGCAGCAGCTTTTAAATCCTTTAATAAACTCCATCGTAATTGTGCTGATACATTATTATTTTCTACTACCCAGTTGGACAACGAATCGGCAATAGGGCCAGTTTCCGGAACCACCCGACGTTCAACAACGAATTTTTTGATTGGACTATTGCCATCAAAACCTGGAACCCAGCTAACATTCACTGTTCTTGGCGATATACTTTCTACACGTTCAGCAATGACATTTATCGGAGCAAATGGTAGCTCTATGACACTTAAACGTGCACTACGAGTTTCATTACCTCCTGGGGATATTACGGAACATGTATATTCACCAACATCAGATGCGCGAACCGCTCCAATCTCTAGAGTGCCATCATGGCGTGTTTTTACTCGAGAACTTGCTCGATTGATTAATTGAGCATTGTGGAACCAATCAATGTCATAAGGTACGCTTGGATCATTAGATACTTTACACTCTAGCTTGGCTGTGTGCCCTAAAAGTACTGATGTATCACTTGGTGGTCGAATGATTTGAGTACGAACATGAATTGAAAGATAACCAGATCCATTAACAGATCCAGCATCGTTTGAACGTATGCAGGTATATTTTCCGGCATCGTTGACATTTACTGAAGATATTTGAAGATCCCCCGTGTCAAGAAGTCGAACTCTTCCGGCAATTTCAACGGGAATCGTATCTGAAAAAAAAATCAAATTATAAAACATGTTCTAAAACAAATGATCAATAAATTCTTTAGAATAATTTTAATAATATTAAATACCATTAAATATCCAGGTTGTATTAGGAATTGGTGCACCAACAGCTCGACACACAATTGTTGCGTCTTTGCCATCCAGAACAGTCAAATTACGAGGACTGGTTTCCATTATCGGAATAGATGCTGTAAAGGAAAAAAAGTGATTTTTAAATAACTGAGTGCTAAAATAGTCGAGTAAATGCCATGCGTGATATAAAAAGTGAACTTAAGTAGCTAAAAAAAAACATAAAATAAAACAGATGCGTATCCCAATGACTTCCTTGTCATGAATTGAAAAATGATATCTAAATTCATTTGTCAGCATTCCTGGATTTAAAACTACTCTAAATTGGATTAAAAGGACAGATAAATTATCTAAGGGATTTTGATGAACATCAAAAATGAGAAAAAAATTAAAAAATAATGCAGACAAAAAAATGTGAAAATGCATTTGATAAAAAAATAAACAAGCAAATGATTAAAGTGTTTTCGCACGATGTCAAGCTGTGCCTATAAGTGATAAAACATTTTTCTTCGAACGTAGAGTCTACAAATCGTGTTCAAACTAGGTCAAAACAAAAGCTTTATCTCTCTTTCAATAGCATGTTATCTCCTCATAAGCCTTACTCTCTGGATAGTGAGTGAACTCAAAGTGGCGGTCGGATTGACGAACTCTCACTATTCTGTAGCCGGAAACCCATCGGGCTACCCTCTTCACCTCAGGACTTTTGTTCACTGTTTTTTCAATAAAAACATATGTCAATTGCATCGTTGATGCTTTAAAAACGCAGGTGACAAGTAATCATATCAACAGATATCTTATTTCAGATGAATATTGATGTCTAGACTATAAACAGTATTTATATACTTTGTACTTACTTTTTACTTTCAACCATGTATAACTTGATGATTCGCCCGCATCATTAGATGCTAAACATTGGAATATTCCCGCATAATCCATCGTCAATCTGTCGATTATCAGAGAGCCATCATCTCCAACTTTATATCTGTAATAAATAAATAGTAAAAATATTCATACTGTATCATTTTACGGAACAAATATTTTAATGCAAGATAATTTACAAATCACTAAGATGAATAAAAAATATAAAAATGAGTCTTGGCGCACATAATGGACTTCACTGGACTACATATGCTTTCTCAGAACGTAAAGAAATGACAAATTTCAACAATTGACTTCATTACAATAATGTCCTAATGGAAAATTAATAATAATTTTCATACAAGAGTTTTTTAATTTACCTAGAGCCAATAAATGGATCAATTGACTCTGCATTGTGATACCAGCTAATTTTTGGAGTAGGTACGCCAACAACATCGCACGGTATCACTACCGTTGATCCGTAATCCCCATGTGTTTCTCGTTTCAGATCATTAACGAATGTAGGCTTTTCAAAAACATCAACCTTGGCGCTGGCATTAATCATTGGATAATCTCCACTACGAAGATAAACATGACATGTGTAGATTCCTGTGTAAGTCAAATTAGCAGAAATAAGCTCTAGAGTCCTGTTCCATAGGTCGTTAAGACTATATGAAATTCTTGCGTCTTCTATCGGGATCCCATCTTTACTCCATAAAACTTGTAACTCGTGAAGAGATCTGTTATTAAATAACAATCACTTAATTAGTATTAAAAAAAACGATATTTCTTCAGTGCGAGATAAAATAAAATATTACCTGGAATTTGCTATACAGTCAAGATAAGTAACAGGTTGATGTTTGATAATTTGCGTATCGTTCGGTGGAACAACAATAGTCGGAGCTATTTCAACATTTGGATCTCCAACAACTTTTAGTTTAAACCATGGACTGTATTCTTCCTTGCCAACTTGTGTATTCATAGCACGAGCTCTGAGCAATAAAATATGATATTGTAGTAATTCTTAACAATAAGTAATCATAAAAGAGCAACAAAAATCTTCAAGTTCTACCTGTATGAACGTTCATCTTTATCATCAGCACTTAAAATAATCAAGTTGCCTTGATTCGTTACGTATTTAATGTCATAGGGGAGAGGACCTTCTGGCGTTGACCAGGTGACGTCTGGTGCTGGATGACTCTCTATGGGTGGTAATTCTAGAATTGCTGCTTCCCCATAATTTACAGTAACTTCTTTTTCCGTTTGATTCTTGAAGACTCCCATATCTAATTATAATTAAATTTATTTTTAATAAATCATGTTTTAAAATGCGGGTTTGTTGATTAATAATATAATTGTAATTGGATTAAAAAATTAATAGCAATTTCATTCTATAATATGTGTTAATCATTACAAACGAATCAACAAGATTATTTTTTCCCTTACTTCAAATAAGAACCCTCTATAAATTATTTCAGAAGAAAATAAATAAAAATTACTCTACAAATTAAACATAGATAAATCATGTTTTTTATCCTCATTTTTTCTTCAGACTTATTTTTGGCATACTTATATTGTATACAAAATCTATCTCATTCGTTTGATGTATGTTTCAATAAATACACTGTCATAATAAATTTACAAAAATTTGTATGCGATAGTAAATCGATCTTTAAAATTATTTTTAAATTCATTTAGATTAAACTAATCTATCCAAGATGACCACCATTGAATGAGGTTAAATAGATAATAGACATTTACCAGCTACATATGTATAATCAGTCAATTGTAATAAAGTTATAATATTATGGTCTATAATTATCTACTAATAAATATTCTTTTAACTTTTATTTTGTAAAAATCGATAATTAATTATTCTCTATTCAATTTTATTTAATTCAAAAAAAAATTTTTTTAATTTAAAATTTAAAATTGAAAAACCTACAGGCAACAAAAAATGGAACACGTTCACTGAAGACAGATCCAACATCATTGGTAGCAACACAATAATAAACTCCAGCATCGTTCTTGCTAGAATTATAAATTCGCCAAACCAATTCTGATGTCAACTCATTGCTAAGAGCAACGCCATCCTTAAACCACCTGTACTTTGGTTGAGGATATCCTAAAAGGAAAAAAAAACTCTGTTAGTTTAGACTTTATTCATTTATCAAATTACAATTCTTTCCTCCATCACCCTTCTTTTTTTCTCTTGTCTCTCTAACTTTCAAGTTTTATGGCTTCATTTACCCTACGTCATTCGATCGTAGGTCGCTTTTTACGTATTTTCGTTCCTTAATATACAAATAATAACAAAAATATCGTCTATAAACATTTTCAAAGGGAAAAAAGAAAATCTATCTCTAGATATTTAGCATAATCATAGAAAATTATTTTTTATTATTGATTTTGACACTTACCTCGAGCTTGACATTGGAGAATCTTTGGCCTGGTCTCTATCAGAATTTTACTTATTACAGATGGTTGAATGATAAATCTTGGCTCTTGAAGAGATTCTGCAATATTGAAATAAACATTTAAATTTCAGAGTAATATAAAAAAAGTCATTCACTATCTTAAAAAAAAATTAATTCTTTTTTTCAACGGATATACTACATAAAAGAGACTTTGATGAATTTTCGCAGTATGAAGCAGTGAAAGAGGTCTAAATGATGATCTAAAAGAAGTACTTAATGGAGAGTAGTCAGATAAGCTGAGGAAGTGGGGAAAGACTCAGTAAGAAGCCGGACAAAGAGGCTATCAATACTAAAAGAGTTGATGAGAACGTGGCTTTTACTTGACAGTCCTATATAATAAGAAGTATTCAAGGTTGATACAATAAAATAGATTATTTGAATAATACTTTGTCCATCAAGTATATTAAATTAAAACGATATAATTTTATCCTGTTATTATTGTACATTTATTTTATTAATTGCAAATTTAAAAAAAAGCATTCATGCATGATGACTGATCTAGTGATAGTTAAAATGACTCATTTTCAATAACGGATCTTGACCGATTATTCTTTTTTGATGGAATACTTGTTACAGTGAGAGCCACAAATTCTTTTCTCCTCTTTATATATATATGTAGGTATATTCTCGTATAGTGTAACCTTCCCAATGTGTCCTTTTACTCTTACTCAACATATAGGCATCGTCGTGAGTCAGGGCATATTCATGAAGAATGGGAGATCAAAGAATTTAAATGACAGTTCTGTAGTATTTCTCTTTCATTTAACTTTTTAGATAGTTTCATATTTCTTTTTAGGCATGATAATAATACCCATGATTCGAAAGAAAATATTATTTACTTCATATTAGCTTTAATGATTTAATACTTGAAAACTTACATCTATTAAAATTGAGAAATAAAATATTTGATAATGATAAGTAATGAAAGAAACTGAAGAATACTGTTCTCCAAATTTGTTTTATGATGAAATAACTTTCCTGATGATTTTAGTAAAAACAATACATATATGGTAATCTTAATTTAATCACTAAAATTATTTTCTGATAAAATTGTTGTTGGAATTATTTCTTCAAATCATATCTTGGATCAGAGACTCTGTTAGTACTTTCAATATTACATCCATGTGAATGTAATGATGAAATAATAATTATCATCGAACATTTGTAGACATTTCAAGTATATATCATCAAATGAGAGTTTAAAATGAGTAAAGGTAGAAAGAATATTGAAAAAATTCGATATGTATTGATTTTAAACCCAAACTCCCTGAATGACTTCAATAAAATATAAAATGAGCAGCTATAAAACTCCAAATGTATGCTTGTGAACATAAACTTTGATCAATTTTTTGTTCATAAACCATTCAAACAAACAACTTGAAACATTTTATTGTTAAACAAGAGAATTAAGGTATTTCAATGTAATTGGTTTTCTTGGAATAACTTTCAACAATTTTACAATTTCATACTGTGAAATAAAAAACGATTTTATACCACAAGCTGTCCGTTATAATAATCTCCAATTTATATGGTTATATTAGACTGTTTGTAAAGGCAAATTGATGTCTTAAAAATATTTCTGTTTAGCCAAACGATTCATTGCTCTTTATAACTGCTGCCAGTTGATGTGGAGTTTGCTCAAGCGTTTGAAATAAATTTCCAATGAAGAGAAACAATTGAGCTTTAATCGTGCCCAATCAAAGTCACGTACTAACTGCACAGCCAGCAGTTAAAATATTGGCGCAAAGTGGTGGAAGGAAAGAGAAGAGAATTAGAATGAAAATATAATATATAACAAGAACGGCGCCAAGAAAGATGAAATTCAAGAGAGTGCTCTTGAAAACAACTTGAGTGTTCTATTCCTTCTGCCTTTTTATCACGTTTGCCAAGGCATATCGTCGGCTGTAATGTTATACTACCAGCCAATATCAGCATTACACCCTCCAATGCAGACCAACAGACAGCAGTCTGTTACTATATTTTTTCCTTGTGGTTATTCTATTTCTTCCTCGTCATTTTAATCGATCTATTCTGATTCTATCTAGGATAGGCTATCATCAGTGGTAAGCACTGATATAATACTCACTGGTTGAAATATTTCTTCATCATGATAAAAACTACATTTTTTGGAGCACAATCACTGAACATATGATACAGAAACATTTGATTTTGATCAATAATTGGAGTAGATTAATTAAATGAAGTAAATATAATCCAAATAATCATTGATGAATATTTGTTTTTGAATACCTTTGTGAATAAATGATAAATTATTACCAATTTTTTCAAAAGTAGGTTGAATAACAGCAAAGGGATCTATCACTTTGATCAAATATTAGTCATCACTGGACAAAAAATTAAAATCTTGTCAGCCAGTGCAGCTCTCACGTGTCTATTTTACGGTTGATATTTTTTATATTAGCACACTATACGTGCTTTTTTGATATCAAGTGGATTCTTCTATCACTCTCAACACCTGGCCTACCCTTTTTTAGCGTTGGGGTACTCAAGAGCCCTTATTGTAATTTCTATTTGCCACCCCACGAGTCAGAACAGCTGCAAACTTGAATTCCGTTTAAACTACAGGGGACGTTTGTCAGTTAGGAATCATGATACAGGGCTGGTAAACTTCCTAGAAACATTTCGATTTAACTTGGTTTCAAATCGATTTTACATTTGTTGAGATCATGAGAACTTACTTCATGTAATAGTTTGTTTCGTGGTCAATAAATTATCAATTTAAGTCTAATGAAAGCTAGGATGTTACTTAACATTTAACTTTCCATTTTAAACCATTACAAAAGTGATTCTTCCTGATAGATTTTGTTTCAAATAAATAAATCCAAACATTTTAAATTTTTTATTAGGAAGTTGTATTATATTAGATTTAAATAAATTTGTTGATAAACGTTAATTGGCATAATTTAATGAAGTAACTAATGTTCAGTGATAGCAAAAAGAGTAATCTTATTTTCAAGATTGATTCCAATCTTGCACAATTAGGTAATTAAACTGATGAGCTAATTTCCGTTTTTATATCAAGTATATGTTGTCGCTATATTCGTACCGGAATTGCGCTTCGTCCAACCTAAGCATATAGCACAGAAAGTTCTCTTGTTGTTTTTTCACTTTCTTGTGATTTAAATCAGCTAATAAATTCAATCATCGACCGAGAACACTTAACATATTTCAAAGATTCATTTTTGTAAGTGATTTCACTTCCTAGACGAAAAAACGTTGATCAATTGAATGTTTTTTGCCAGCAGAATAAATGGATATCAATCAATTAACTAACATTCATAATATAAATTGATTATTATTATTTTTTTTATATAAGTAAAAAAAAAATGAATGAATAGAAGCACAATTATGGAACATTTAATCGTAGAAGTCTAGGAAGTTCATTCAACTTACGTTGAATTCGATTAAGCAAACAAGTTGGCAGGAGAAATGCATAAAAAGCAACGTGAGGGATGTTTCAACAAAGATATAATGCTCGGGGGTATTTTAACCTTGCCAAAATACGAGAATAAAAGAAATAAAAGTGAGGCAATTGAAGTAAGATAGTGATAGAAAATAGGCTATATAGTTATATGAAATGAAAAGAAGAGAGGGAGAAAACCTCTGCAAAGCGTTGCGCATTGCGTCTTCTACTACCGAAAACTCGAGGATTGTGTGCAGAACTGGAATTTACAGCTATGTGTTAACTTGTGAATTTTCTGCATTCTAAAGGTGATCAACCTCTCTAATGTTCTGTGAATACAATTATTTAACAAACGTTATTTAATTATCGATATCAATTACTTTTATTATCCAAACATATATATATATTTTTAATTAACACAAATAATTAAATACCGACTTACTTTCAAATTTATATAGTTTTTTCATAAATTAATAAATAAAGTAATCTTCTTTTAATGAAAAATATTTTTTAGTTGGTGATAAAATATTGATACATCTTTTGCTTTTGAATATTAAATAGTTGATCTTAACTTAAACTTAACTCCAAAAAACAACTTAAACTTTTTTCAAAGATAATAAATTCATGCCCTTTTTAACACAACAATAAAAAAAAAACTCGTATTAACTTAACAGAAATATGTAATCTCCCTGTTATTTACCAACTTAGATTAAAATTCCAACATTCAACCTGTTTTTTACATTCTCCCTCCAATAATCTCATTTCGTTACAATTTTTTTTTCCAGATTGTAGTATGCATATTGAGAATGAACCTAGAGAGAAAAAAGAAAAGGACATATGTGTGTCGGTTTCACGAGCCATACTAGAGAAATAATAATAATGGGATGTTTGGGTTTTCTTTTTTTATCATTACCCAACTGTTAGTCCAAGTGTCGAGGGAACAAGACAAAGTGCATACGGAACGTGCCATCAACAGTAAACTATATAGAAGAGTATAATAAGTAATTTCCGCCACTTTTCTCTGTATAATCTGTTTTTAGATTCCCTTTACCCCACAATATATAGCATAAACTTTGAAACAAATTTCTCCGTCGATATTCTTGAACAGCCAAGTAATAAAATAAAGGAGCAATTCAGAATCTAAAGTCTAGACAAATGAAAGTGGCTTGTATCCAAACGCAGCATGAAAATTATAAGTGATTTAATGTTCATTTACAGTGCTGAGAATCCCTAGAGAGAATGAATTTTCTCACTGACTTGAATAGTTTTTTCTTCAAGTTTAGCTGCAAAAATAAGCGTCAGTTGGTTCACCTGTCTATTCCATAGTGAAGAGAGAAACGTGTGGTGACTTTGTGACCACGAAGACGTAGGAAGAAAAAAATTGAAGACTTGAGTAACAAGTAAGAAGAAGAGAGTAGAGTAGAATGTCTCGTGGTCTTGGGGCCACTGACCGCCCCCGGCAAGGCTCCTTAGTTCTTCTTCTTCTTTTTTCTTCAAGTCCCTTTGCTCCCTCATTCGTTTTTTCTTTCTTTCTCTTTGACTATTTCTTACTCTTTTTGTGTCGCTCTTTCGTTTATTTCTTTCTCTCTTAACCAAATGTCTCTCTTATAGTCTCTCAAGTATTCTTAATACAAAGCTTACGCAGCTTGGCACGCACGTAAGCTGAACATGGTATATTCCACAAGATTCAGTACTCGGAAAATATCGAAGATGGCGAACACGTGTGCTGCTGTATGTCTACTATTGCATTCCACCTTTTAAACTTATTGCTTTCTCCCACACTCTTATAGTTTACTCCAATACTTTCCAAACATTTCTTTCGACATTTCTCATTCGTACATTATATGCTGAATCATTATAACCATGTTCAATAAATTATCAATCAGATGAATATATACAATGTTTTAAGGATAAGTATTACTTAAATTTATTTTTAAAATGCTTCTTCAGCAAACTATGAAATATACATATCTTCCTGTAATCATCTATACTATGAATCATTTTACGCTTGATGATCAAGTGACTTGCGATGAACATCATTGACGACTAGTAGCTATAGGTACATATCTTCTATACTCATATCCAGTTTCCATTCACTTTTTATCACCTCATGATTTCTCATCCAAGACCATCTCTAACTATTTCTTTCCACCATCACATTAAAATCATCTTGCTTTGCCTTATTGAGATCTTTAACCCTTTTGTGAATCTTCAATTACATATTTCCAATACACTTTGATGTTCCAAGAAAACTTGAGGTAAACTCATGTTAGTGAACAGTGGCAATCATTAGAGATAAAATTTTATTAGTTAGATTAAAATTTTGTACAATTCAAAGAGTTGATATTCTTTTATTTTTTAAGTAGTTTCTTGAATTTACAACATTTTTCAATTTATTTATTTCACTGAAAACTTGATACTTTATAATCAATAAAAAGTTCGATTGTAATAGAATTTTTATCTAGAAAATTAACCCATAATTTAGCATCTTTTTAAAGAGCTTACATCATACAACCTTTTTCCATCAATGAACAATACTTGAAGATAACACTGATGCATAATGGAGTTGTGAATATCATTATTAATAGAATGAAATTATTCACTTGCTCATATTTCAAGTAAATTTATTGTTTATAAAATGAAGAAAATTACCCTAACCTAATGACATTGTTTCAACTTAATTATTTCTAAACGATAACCGCATTTTAATGAACATTTTATGCTAATCAAATACCCAGTGTAATTATAACATTCCAACCTCTATAATAAAAGCAAAAAAGAATTAGAAATATACATGAAGAAACTTAGTTTTTTTCATATCAAGTTAATTTTGCATTTAATTATTTGGATAAATTATAAATATATAGGCTTTAAATACTTGAAATTTTCCAATACTTAAAAAAAGCTGCATCATTTAACGTCAAAAATACCTTCTAAAATATAGGGAAAAACTATTCTATAAATACTTTAAATGTTTCATTAAAAAAGATTAAATTGACGTCTTCATTACCTTAAAAGATCTATAAATATTATCAGTTTTCCTTTTCTCATGGAAAAAAAAAAATCGGAAGCAGCATTTTCCGGGACAGATGTTCACAAGAGAGCAGTTGTGACAAGAAAGTGATCTTTAATTTGGAGTAAGGTTTAAAGTTTCTACATATTATATAGTAGGTATAGTTATTAAAAGACGTAGCAGAATAAAGTAAATGGTGAGAAATATACAGATACACATGAAGAATAGACCGCAGGTGAATGGTAAACGAGGCCGTGGCTTGAGAGGAATGGGAAATGTGGAGAGTAACATCCGGCGGACGCCACTGCGTTCCTGACGAGTTGTGAGGACGAAGGACAGGATAAAGGTTTCAAGCGAATGATTATAAAAGAAGGAATAGAAAGGAAGAGGGTAAATAAAATCACGTAAATTCTTCATGTATACATGCAATTGTGATACGAAATATTTTAAGTGTTTTATAAACTAATATAAATACAAAAGTTTCAATAGGTTGAAATACTTTTCTTTGTATTTAACAAATCACATCGTTTGTAAAATACAAATAATCTCTTCTTCTTTAGCTAACTATTTTCTCGTAAATCCAGTTCACTATTTCCTTCTCAAGTATTTCTCATTCTACTATTTCTTTACACGTTTTCATGCCTCAAAGATCAGGTTCTGATTCTAGATGATAATAGACGAGACTACGATGCTCTAGTGTGTGAGTCACTGAAGTGGATAGACAGGTTTGCTGCCTTGTCAATTAATTGCCCGCTAGAAGGATCGAGCAGACGACCTCGAGAGTATACATGTAATCTACGATAATAGTGAATCTTTATCGTTGCATTTTTCACTTTATTCAATTGTTTATTCAACTATTTTTCCAAATCATATCCTCTAAATAACCTTTATTAATGATTAATCAACAATCATTATTGTATCATCAATTTCGTTATAAATTTAACATTACTTCTTTTTATGATGTTGAAAGATTAAATATAGTCAACAATGAATGTAACAAATTTTATTTTCATTGAGTTTACTGAGCAATCAGAAAAACATTCATAAATAAAGTACTAGTTCATTGGCCTTCAAAAGAAAATAATAGGAAATGACTGACAAGTAGTGTATGGATGAAATACTCATAAAAAACTGTTACGTATTTTGATGGAGGAATCAATACAAAAAAAATTACACAATTTATTTTCTCTCAATTTTTTTTTGTAAATTTTTAACGAGCATCTATGATAAATAACTTAGCTCATTATTTCAAAAATGAGATTAAAATTACCACGATTCCTTTTTTTTTCAAATATTAAATATTAATTACAGCATTACGGTACAAAATGAATTCTTTTGAAAGTTCAAAAAAAATCTATTAGTTCAAGTTCTTTCAATGTAAAAGATAAAAAATGATATTAACTCCAATATAAGAATACTTTTGTTCGTCTCAAGAGAACGAACAGTATAAAATCAAAAGTATAAATAGGTATCATCATAGTATTACACAATTATATATTATTACAAAAGGCATCAATTAAAATGAGTACTACGTGATAATAATAACTATATTTAAAAATAAAAAAAAAACATCTGTACTTGGGTAATAAGCAAAACCGCATACCTGTAGTGTATGCTTCTTATCATGATCTTTTGTGAAGTAAAGAGCACAAGTGTCACTGATCCAGATGACAAACACTTGACAGTAGACACGTCGCATACGTTAGCGTCTCAACTGTCCAAACTAACGCCTACAGTAGAGTAGAGTGATCACCAGGTCAACTTAACTTAATTCACTTAATTGACCAACAGATTAACATCGTAATAAATCCTAATAAATTCCATCATTTCTTTGACTCCATTCCGCATTTATTCTTTTTCTTTCATCATTACTTGAGTTCATACCCTTAGTATGTAACAAGTAGGGAAAAAGTTGAGTTTACAGATGTGAAACACCTCATTAGTTACCGGTTCAAAGCTCTTGAATCGAACAGATGCACCATTGTGAACCCAAAAAGGTGTCAAAGAGGAATAATGTTGAGTGTGGTTTTTTATAAGGATTTAGGGGCTGATTTTATTTGAATTTGATTATCAACATTTTGCTAGGGGATTTATCTATTATGCCAAACCGTGGATAACGTTTTTATTGACTATGATCATCATAAGCCCAGAGATTTCGATGCCCGAATAAATATTTTTCCACCATACTTCTTTTCTTTATTACCTTCACAACTTAATTATGTACCTGATCTACTTTTTTATGAGAATTCATGGGAAAAAATTATTTCACTTTTAAAATCATAAATAAATATTTAGAAATCATGTTTATCATGTTGAAAATAAATTTTTTTTTTATTTCAACATAATAAATGAAAGAGTAAGTGAGTCGAGAATTAAATAAAATGATATTAAATAAATAAAATAAAAATGATAAAAAATAAAATGAAATAATAATTACTTACCGGTAGCTTTAACATTTTCTGTATTGCAAAAAGAATAAATTACAAGCAGTATCATGAGCCTCCTGGCTCGATCTCGAGACAATTTCATCCTGGTCAGTGTTTAAATAATTCACAACACTTGCTTTCTTAACTGATCAAATAACCTTTGATTTGATATAAAGTTATTATATCAGTTCAATACATATAATAAATGCTATGTTTTAGATGTGCACTTCCAAACTTTCACACGTTACAACGGTTCCACGAGATATTCTATTCATTGTCCACTATTGTTTACAACTTCCACACCACTAATCACACTATGATCTCTAAGTTGACTTTGTGGGAATGATGAAAAGTAGTCTAATTTATTTGTCACATTTACATATAAATTTCTTTTGTATTTTAAAATTTTAAAAACAAAGAAAAAAACAATAGCTTCAGTTGAAGGAAAATGTAATTTTTTTGAAAAAAGGAACATCAAGTATTCTTACGAGAAAAATATTGACGTTGAATAATCACCTTTCTCGTTTGTATTTGCGTTGCCTCATTGTGATAGTATCAATAGTCACAATAAACGACATTAATCATACAAAAATCACCCAATCCATTATGCTTTTTCTTCGTGACCGGAAAACCTTCAATCTGCATTCAAAATGCCTGTACATTTTACATTTTTTTGTGTTATTGTATCGTGAATATTTGATACACGCTGTGACCGTTAGTTTTACTAATTACAAAGGCTCCAATGATGTTTATCAAAATTTATTGGAATTCTAAATAATTATTATTTAGATTGAATATTGGAGAACCAAATGTTTTTAATTTTAAGATTTCTTGAAATAATTACCATACAATTGTTTATTTTGCACTCACTCAGAATTAAATAAATATTTAAACACTATACTTTAAAATTTTGCTCACGTTCACCTGAGAGACAAACCTGGCAACCCTGCGGACTCGTTACCTGGCATCAGGTCGTAGCATTGTAGTTACCTTATTGTCTCTAGCACTATTTTCACTTTTGTTTAAGTTAAAAATATGAACACAATTTGGTTATTTTTTTAATTATATTGATAAAAAAATTTATTGTATTTATATCATTTGTTTGTATTAATTATTAATCATCGGGTAAACGTACATAAACGCTAATTTTACCGAGTATCTATTCAAGACTCACTTCACGAAGAGTTGGAATGCAACTCGTATACAAACGGTGAATAAAGTAGCGATTATAGGTAGAAAATTAACCAATAAGAAAACAGAAAACGTGCGGCTTTTAACAGGAGTGGGAGACGTTTCAAGTTTTAAAATTCTCTAATGTCGCCATCTTTCTTCCGAGAGTCAACTCTCTATCAAAATTTATCGGCAATATGAAAATGTTTTGTTTATTATGAATTTTGTTAATTTTAAGTAATTAAAAAATAATTACCTGATTTTTGTGCATAACGAGAATAATATTTTTAATAATTTTATTATATACTAATGTAATTTACGTCGTTATTGTTTTGAGTCTTGATTAATTATTAGAATAAACAAAAATTTCTATATACTTAATAATAGCAAATACAATTTGCAAAACCATCCAGTAATCTTTGATACAAGTGATTTTTTATGAAAATATTTCTCAATATTAGAAATACCTAATTATCAAGTGCAAACCTTAAAACTACGAGTAAAAGTGCTACGATGAAAGTAGTTGGTAAAAGTTTTTGTATCAACGTTTATTGGCAAAAATATTTCCACATTGCGTTGATGCAAAGATTTTTTATTTATTTTTATAAATTAAAATTTAGAAAAAGAATCCAAGAATTTTTCCTCCTAGATGTTTTCTTCTCGCTTCTTCATGATCCATAATACCACCACTGGTCGTTAGAACAACATATCTATAAACAAAACAATAATTGTTTAAACCTAACTGACATATAACGAGATATTATTGTTATAAAATAATAATTACCCAAATTGTCGAGAAGGTAATAGATTGTTAGTCCATTTTTCAATATCTGTAATTGGTACATCGAACCTTGGAGAGATCACTCCACATTTGTTTAACCTTCCGGAAAGGTTTACGACAATTTTGCCACTTCGGTGATCATCAACAATTTCAAATTCTCCGATGTAACCTGGAAAAATATTATAAATCATAAATATCGCAATCGTAATTGAAAAATTAAACAATAAATATAACAGAAAATTTTATGGAATAATAAACAGAAAAATACTCACCATGTTTCATCATAACAGTAAGAAACTTTACAATAACTTTAGAGCAAGGTCTCAAGAGAACTTGTCTTTTACCACGTTTTTCAGCATTGTTGATGCTTTTAAGAGCATCACTGAGAACGTTCATTCGCACCATAGCTGAAAAACACACAAAATAATATTGAGTATGATAGAATGTCAGATCAAGGTAAACTTAACCTCACTAATGTATACAAACTTTGTATCAAAAAATAAATTGTAAAAAATTAATTAGTAACAAAAATATAAATTTTTTAATATTCACTGATATTTATTATTTAAATTATAATAGAAAAACTCGTATAATTATGAACAAAAACTCAGATTACCTGCGATATAAAATTTATTTATCGCATCAACAGATCACGCACAAACAGGCGAGCCAAAGGAAAGATGTGAGGTTAAAAACCAGAGGCCGAGTGGAAATCGATAAAGAAGCAAATTATCTTACCGACTATAAATTGAATAAATTCTAATTTATCTACAAGAGAGAAATAATTTTTTCAGAACGAAGGAACGGACTATTCCTGTGTTTATCTTCCATTAACGTCATCATGAAGTTTGCTGTGTATCTTAACTAGTGCCACGTAATTTTGATATTTTTGAGAAACATAAATAATAGTCGGCGCGAAAATAATAAGTTATTCTTGATGCAAACTTGTATTACAGTGCCTTAATTTTTCTCCATATCAAATATGGGCTCATCGCAAAGTATTGAGATCCCTGGTGGTGGTACAGAAGGTTACCATGTACTCAGAGTCCAGGATGGCTCACCAGGTCAGAAAGCAGGGCTAGAGGCATTTTTTGACTTCATTGTATCTATTGGAAATACTAGATTAGATCAAGATAACGATACCCTTAAGGAAATTTTAAAAAATAATATTGAAAAAGAATTACAAATGACGGTTTACAACAGTAAAACTCAATCTGTCAGACAAACAACTATCGTACCAAGTATGACATGGGGCGGTCATGGACTTTTAGGTGTAAGCATACGATTTTGTTCGTTTGAAGGAGCAACTGAAAATGTTTGGCATGTATTAGAAGTTCATCCGTCATCGCCAGCTGAGTTAGCTGGTCTTAGACCTTTTACTGATTACATTATTGGTGCTGATTCAGCGCTCCACGAAAGTGAAGACCTATTTACGCTCATTGAAGCTCATGAATCGAGACCACTTAAACTGTATGTCTACAATACTGTTGACGATGCATGTAAAGAAATCACGATTGTTCCAAATTCAACTTGGGGAGGTGAAGGAAGTCTCGGATGTGGTATTGGCTATGGATATCTTCATAGAATACCTGTTCGAAATATTTCTGAGGCTAAATCACACCATTCATATCAAGTATGATGAAATAAATATTTTTATTTTTTTTAGATTCACAATTGTATTTATTATAAGCACAGTTTTATGACAATAACAACTAGGATATTGTCAGTTAAATAGATTATCTAATTGATATAAATTACAGACTACCAACATAAAAACTCCAATTGCTGCACAATCACCACCAACGAATTATCATCCTTCAAGTAATCCAGTGGTTACGTCAATTCCACCAGGATTCACGATTCCTCCAAACTTTATTTCAACCATAGCCGATGTTTCTGCACCTCGAGATACTGTTACTACAGTCTCTGCTCCTAAAATACCTACAACAATACCATCTACGCCTACTCAAGTAGTTCCACCTTTGCCTGCTGATCCGACTACTTCTGGTGCTCCAACAACAATTGGTTCTGCGGCTAACTATTTTACTCCATCGTCTAACAATTATTCTCAAAGTATGTTTCCATTGTTCTTTAGGATATGTAATTATTCGAATAATTTTCAACTTTTTTTCCAGATTTCAATCAAATGATGTATCAAGAAACTCCAAATATTCCAGGGATGCCACAAGTGCCACCAATGCAACCGTTCTTAGTAGACACATCGATTCCTACCACTTTAAATCTTCAAAATAGTTTTAACCCTCCATTATATGTTCCTTCATCCAATTCTCCATTTGATTCACCTCAACCTCAAGTGGTTACTACTCCTATCAACCTCCCTGGAATGCCACCAATAACTGTGAGTGCTAGCCTACCCCAAACTACAGATTTTTATTCATTACAAGATCAAAGTCCGTTGAGTAATCCTAGTAATTCAACTTTACCAACTTCGACATCATCACAATAATTTTTTCAGCTGTTTTAGAGACTGGATAACGCATTTTCATTGATATCTGGTATAGCAAATGATCGAAAGAAATTGAAAAATGTACTAAAATAAAATTCGAATAAAATAATTTTATATCGAAATTAATGCAAGATTAAAAAGAAAAGAATTAATGAGTAATAAGCTCGCTGTAAATAAAAAATTAAAGTAATTTAATTCATGTCATTGAATGAAGTAATATCTACATTATGAAGATTAATTATTTTTAATTAATTTTTAAGTCTAGCTTTTTGTGAGTCTTGATAAATTCTCCAATTTATAATCAATAAATATATATTGCAGAAAAGATTGGTATTTGTTTTGTATAAAAATATTAGCAAGTAGTGTAATTAGAACTTTTATTAATTTCTCAAAAAATGTCCTAATGTTTGTAATAAACATAACATGAAAAATTTTATGAAGATATTAAAAGAAAAATTACAAAGAATACAGGAAATACATATATTCAATATTCACATGATTATTACACTAATTTTTCATATATATATCCTATAAATTGATTTAATTACTACCAATAATTAACAGTACTTTTCTTAAATAATTAAATTAAATGATAATTTCAGTATCTCCAAGCTCCTCATCTGTAGGCAGTTTAACTTTGGATGGATCAATATAGTTCGGGTCAATCAAAGGAAGTCCATGATCTTCTCTGTATCGTAATTGAAGATAGGCTTCTCGTTGACACCAATCAATTAATTTGTGGTCTGGTTGGTAAGCAAATACAAATATTCCACCAACAAAACAGAGTGAAACGACACAAAACATAGTTGAGTGGAAAAGGAATCTATCCATCCATTTATCATATGGATCAAAACCATAACATTGCCAGTATTCTACATTTTTATCTGTACTTTCTTCTATGGCTGTTGGAGTGATGGAAGAATCAGCACTTGCTTGAGTAGGTTTGGATGAAGTGTTAATCTGCCTCACTAAACTTGGAGCTATTGAATATTTGGTTTTTTTCGATGTTGATTGTACTAATTTATTTGTTAGCACTCGAGTTACACCAAGTCGAATAAAATTTGCCATTGTTGTTGTCGTTAAACAATTGTTTCGGTGTTTCAATAATAATCACCAAGCATTACGAAACAACTCACAGTCAAATTGTATGAGGCTGCTGAATGTAAGGTTATACAATATGTGTACATTCAATATTGCTTCAGTTACGACCTCTATCACACTAATTATTTGGCAAAAAATCATGAATTGTTATGCGAATATTATTTGAATAAACTAAGTTGAATATTAATTAATCAGTATTTAATTTAATGAACGCAACATTAACCTTAAAAGTTTGTTAATTATTTTTTCAAATAGTTTATTAAAGTCTAGAAATTTAAATACACTTTTTACTATGACAAATACAGTGAGTATTTTTATTTATTTTCTTACTTGTATGTATAACCGATCATGATTAAAGTGTTTAAAATCTTTTCTTCAGCGAAATTCCGTTGAAACACTTCAACAAGATAGTTTTAACAACAGAAAAGATCAACTGTTAAATTTGTTACTTCATAAATGTAAGTAAATTAATTGGGTTCCGAAGGAATGAACGTTATCAGTGTTTGCAAAAAAGCATCTCTATTGTTTTATATTTTTTTAAGTGATATTATATGAATATCTTTTCTTAACTTTAATTAAATTATTTCGAATTTACAGGTAGTAGAATAAAAAAAAATATGTATAAATTTGTCACTGAAGCTAAAATATATGAAACCATGAATGAAGTCTGCAAATATTTGTCGTCACATCCAATTTTATTGGCTGTTTGCCTTTCAGTTGCTGCTGCATTTATTGTACCGGTATTCTTATTCATTCTTTTTGCAGTAATTAACGTTGCATTTGCATTTACTGGTTTCATTGTTATTGAAGGTAAGTAAATAAAAGAATTCTTTATGAAAAATATTTTTTTAATTGTAAAATGACTTAAACTTAAATTGATTAAATATTATTCATATTCATAATAACTAGATGAAAATATATCAAAAATATTTGTTTTTCAGTGGCAATAATTTCTGTTGGAGCTACAGTTATTTGTTCCATACTTTTTTGTCTTCTTTCTACAATCATAGTTTTAGGCATTTTTTGCATATTTGCTTGGACCATAGCTTGTTATATTTTTTCACTTATCAAAAATATAACAACTAAAACGATTCCTCGTAATAAAAGTTTGTAGTTTATAGACTGAAATTAATTAATTATTAATCGATTAATGTATTTAACACGTTTTGTATAATGGTATATGGAAAATATATTATATCAAATAACATTGATATTATTTTACCTACTGATTAGGATTAGAATTCTCTTTGTGCTCCGATACATGTACTTTTTCAAGTTTTCCTGCACATCGTTCAATTTCTTTCCAAAGATTTACTTCTACTAAATTATCATTATAATCGAATTTAAATGGATGAACGTAGTTTTCATTGTTTGTGACATCTACTTTCTTTAATAAAGGAAAGTATAAATAATTGTATAAAATTAGCATTTATATATTTATTAAAAGGATACAGCCTTTAATAGCAGTTTTAAGATTTGGATAATCCCATCTGACGCCAGTTAAAGTTTTATAATAATCTAAAACTCTCCTGAAAATTAGTTTGATTAATATGGATAATTCCGTACAAATGACAATATATTTTATTTATTATTTTTTATCTCAATACCTTTTTCCGTCTAACATATTCTTGTCAGCTACACTTGGCTTTGAAAGTTTGCTTTGTAATTCCCTGTTAGATCTTTCAAGTGCATAATTTTCTGTCAGTAATTCTTTATGTTGGTTTCCTAATTCTTTCTACAAGTATTAAAATACTTAAGTAGTAAATTAAAAAATAGGGAATAAACATCAAATATAATTTATAATACTTACTAGTATATCATTGTGATGAGCTAAATCATTCATCAACGATTTCAACTTTTGATCTTCCATAAACAATTTTTCTTGTTGTTTTTGAATATGATCTTTGAGTTCTTTAATTCTTTTCTCTTCTTCTATAATTAAATGATTTAATCTTTTAATATATTTGAAGAATTAAATAAATAATAGAATTATTATTATTACCTGCCGAATACTCATTTTCTTGATAGCAAAACTTTTCAGAGCGTATTTTAAATGTACGGAATAATTGATGCCTTTCTTCACTTTCAGGCACTGATGAACTGTAATGCTTTTTTATTTCTAATATGTCATCCATTTTTGATAATAAATTAATAAGAAATTTGATTGATAATAAATATTTGTGATTTGATTGAAATTCTGAAAAACGGTTATAAACAAATCTCTGTTGTATACGACAACGTTGTTTTCCTAACCTTGTATCGCAGCGCCAGAAACTTTAAATTGCTCCCTCTATTCAATAAAAATCATTTGAAAACTACTTCTTTATCGAAATGAAAATGAAAAATTTACCGACATTTAGTGACATGCGTATTCATGTAGCGGGAAAATGTTTTCTCTGATATTACATCCTTCTTGATCTCGAAAGTAAAGAGGGACTCATAACTTGAGGCATTTTATTTTTATATATCCTCAAATAAAAAAATTGAAATAATCACCGTATGATTTCTGAGTATTTTTACTCCTTTGTATGTTCAGAATAACTTTGTATTTGCTGCAGAATATAAATAACATGTGTACTTAGCTATCAATAAAAATCTATTTGTTACAGCTGTTAAAATAAGCCTTATATGTAAATAATTGATTCAAATTTAAATTGAAAATAATCAATATTTCAAAATATACCATTGTAAATTATCGTAGTATCAAAATAAGAATGAGAGACATACATTGAAAAAAAAAATTTATTTTTAATTTATCGAAATTAAACAAATTTCATAAGAGTTGATTCAGTAAGTAGCGTCCTCTTCAAAAAAGGTCTTCCAGATGTTGAATGACGTCAGATATGATAATCCAGTAGTTCTTTAAAATGTATGTACTCAATATTATATAGATATACAATGATAATTAGTAGTTACTACTGTAAACCGAGAACATCTATCTCCTAATATAACTTTTTCTTCATGTTTATCAGTGAAACATTCAAAGATAGTGTTGAGAACCTCAATTAAACTTACCGGTAATGAGTGGGGATTGGAAAAACCACTTTACAAAACGAATTCTATTGATTAATCAGTCACGTTATTTTAGTGGTATTGAACTTTTAAGTTATGACTGTAAAAAGTTGGCTTATTTAACTCACATGCTCCAAAAATTTTAAATAGGACACCATTACATAAAAACAATATTCTTCAAAGTTTGATTGAGAAAAAATATATTTTATTGTTATTAAAATGGTTGATATGTCAACAGTTCCACTTGTTGCTTTATCACAAGAAACAAGATTTTTGCTATCGACATTATTGAATCCTATAAAAGCTCTTCCTACATCTGATGGGAAACCAAGGTAATAATTAATATTCATCATTTATGATATTTCAAGTTATATATAATTATTTATTACTGTAGTTTTGATTTCCTCTCTTTTCAGAGACTGGCGAGGACTAGCTGATTTATTTCTCATTGGAGGAGAAATGATACCATCAATTGTAACAAGTCCAGATCCAACAGGATGTTTATTGGAATTAGTAAAAAATTCTAAATATACTCTAAAAGATTTCCAAAATATGTTAGAAAATATTAGTCGATGGGATGTAATAGATGATTCTGAATTACTTTTCGGTATTTAAAAATTTAATGAAAATTAAATTTATTTGTTTAAAGTTTGGTAATTTTCATTTATTTCATATTTAAATTATTAAGAAAAAGATGCTGAACAATACTTTGAAAGGATGGAAAGAAACAAAGAGTCTGCTGACGTATTTAAATATGAAGTAGATAATAAAATGCTCACTATAGATGATCTTTATAGAGTTAAAGCAGGATTAAAAACTCAACATTATGATGCATTTCTTCTTTGTGCTGATGAAGACTTCACAGAATTAGTTATCAACAACTTGGAGCAAAAATACAATTTAAAAGTGAGTAGTAATCTTCGTAGCTCTGCATCTTTTTTTTAAGGAGTAATAATATTTTATAGCTAAAAATGAATTCTTTTTTATGTAGCTATGTATAAAAGATCGAGATTTAATCAGTGGTATAACGTTCGAACATGAGGCAATTATGGAGTTAATATCTGAACGTTGCAATAGGTTGTTGGTTGTTATTTCTCCGAATTTTTTAAAAAGCCCAGAAAATAAATTTTTTCTCAATTATGCTCAAGCTCTTAGTATTGGTAAGAATAGTTATTATCTTTATTTGTTAAAATTCATAAAGTAAAATGTATTAATTATGTATTAAAAAATTTATTTCTAATTGTAGAAAAACGTCAAAGAAAAGTGATACCTTGTTTGTACAAAGAATGTGACATACCTTCACAATTGAGATACACATTTATCTTAAATTACAATAAACCACATTTATATGAATTCTGGAAAAGACTGAATGAGTCTATAGAGACTGTAAAATCTGATTTACCTGTTAAAAGGTAAATGACATAGCGTTACATAATTATACAAGTTATTCATAAATGATTTATAAATTAAATGATGATTACTTTATTTGTTAATTTTCAGCAATTCTTGTGAAGAAATATTAAAAGGGTCAACTGACTGTGATTTAAATAAATGTGATTCAACATTAGATAAAGAAGAATCGGACAAAGAAACATCGAGTAAGGCAAAATTATTTTTTAAGACACCTCAGAAACGTGTGAAACAGAGCAGTGTTCCAGATAATAAATCTTCAAACAATCAAGATAATCCAATAATGAATCTTCCTTCATTAGAAGGTTTAGACAGCTTAGAATCTACATCTGTTAATCTTGACTCTCCGAAAAAAAACAAAAAAAAGAAAACATTTAAAGCGTATAAAGAGAAAATTAAATGTCTAGTTGGAAACAAATCTTAAATCATATATCAATGAAAATTTCATCTGTGATATTTCTAACGTAAGACACTATTTTTGCTGTAAATGTACATAATTTGATTCGATAGAATAAATTCATATTTTTATAAGCTAGACATGTTAATAAATAATTACTGAAATCGATTATTCGCCATTTGTTATTGTTCTGCACTCTAACCTTATCATTGTGTACCGGTATTAGAAAAGACTAAGCAGTCGTTTGTTTGTTTTGACAGATCAAGTTTGAAGAATAACAATCGAAGTATTATCCACAAAGAAATTACAAAATTCGTTAATAAAGTTTTTGTTCCTCAACGTAAGTATAGATGATTATTTTGTTATCAATCAACTGGTCAAGAAATATAAAACTAACCTTCCATTCTAACAAATATGTTAGTATATAATTTCAAAACTTAACAATAATCGATGAACAAATTAGTTTTTTAAAAATCAAAAATTATTAAATTAAATATATTTCAAGAATTTTTTCAGGGAACTATTCCGACAAAATGAGTTCAAAATTAGTGGCAAGAGATGATGGACGACATTACAGCAACCCATATTTAAATCTTTCTCCAGATAATGACAAAAACATTGTGGATTCTGGAAACAATGACGTAAATAATAACTACTATTGGATACATGAATTAATAGATAGTAGAGCTTTGAAAAATTGAATCCTTTTGGAATTAATTTCTAGATTCATGCTGATTTTAATAACTTATTAAAAGATAACATTCATAAACTAATGGATCACCTTGATAAACACAAAACAGGATGGTTAACTCGTGATGATACATCAATTTATACAGGAAATTCTGGTATTGCTTATATGTATTATTTATATGGCAAACAATTTAATGATGAATCTTATATAACAGTAAGTATGTTTAAATTTGAAACCAAATTTTAATAAAAATATTGTATCAAAATGTAAATTTTTAACTCTAGAAAGCATTGGAATTGATTAAAATACGTTCAAAATCAACAAGTAGAAGAGATATCACTTTTTTGACTGGTGAAGCCGGAAGATTGAGTCTTGGAGCAGTAATTTATCATATAACAAATAATAAAGCTGAGTCTTTAGAAATGATATCAAAGTCCGTGATAAGAAGTATGTAAAAAATTTTGATTGAATTCGCTTAGTTAACTATTTCATATTTTCCAGATTGCAAGCTATGTTAGATGAAGCAGTTATGAGTACATATGATGAATTACTCTATGGTCGTGTTGGATATCTTTACGCTCTTCTCTTCGTTAATAAAAATATTTCTCCTACTACTATTGACAGAGAAATAATTAAGAAAACCATTAATTGTATTTTAATATCAGGAAAAAAGTATGCAAAAGAGAGGAAAAAGACAACACCTTTAATGTACAGTTGGCATGATACAGAATATTTAGGAGGAGCTCATGGTCTTGCTGGCATTCTTTATATTCTTTTGCAGGTTGTTTTATATTTGGTAATTTTAATGGTTTTTCTTTTCTTTTTAATATCAGCGTAATTATTTGTTTATAGGCAAGAGAATACTTGACTGAAGAACAACTGAAAAATGAAATTCAGCCAGCATTAGAATATTTATTATCTTTAAGATATCCTTCAGGAAATTTTCCGTCTTCAGTAGGAAGTAAGACTGATAAATTAGTTCACTGGTGTCATGGAGCTCCATCAATGACTATGCTTTATATCCTTGCTTCTGAGGTAAAAATTCAACAGTTTTTTAAAAATAAACTAATCATTTTTATAAGAGCCCAAAGTATCACAATTTTATTAAATAACTTGAAATCATGATATAAACAAATGTTTGTTAATTTTTTTATTTTTAAATTATCAATAAAAATATTGTTTATCTTTAAGGTTTTTAATAATGAAAAATATCTTGATGTTGCTAAAGAATGTGGTGAAGTTATCTGGCATCGTGGATTATTGATAAAAGGCTGTGGCATCTGTCACGGAGTCTCAGGCAACGCTTATTCATTTTTATGTCTTTATCAAAAAACAAAGGTATGAAACATGATTACATAGTAATTATCAGTTTATTTTTATGTACTCTTTTATCTAGGATATAATGTATTTATGGCGAGCCTGCAAATTTGCTGCTTGGTGCTTTGATTATGAATCAAACCAATGTAGATCTCCAGATCGTCCATACTCATTATTTGAAGGTAATTTTTATTTTATCTTTAAATTAAATTGATAAACTTCAAGAACTAATTGAGTTATATGTTAATATTTCAATTTTAGGTCTTGCAGGAATAATTTATTATCTTATTGATTTGACAAAACCATCATTTGCTAAATTTCCCGGATATACTCTGTAAATAAGTCACTTTATTAATTATCACATTAATTAATCATCAAGACAATTCATAAATAATTATACAATATTAAGGTTTAATTTTAATCTTTTGAACTTTGAATATAATTCATACGTAATTAGTGATTAAAGTTTTTATTAAATAAAGGGGGAGTCAAGTAGCGTATTGAAAAAGTTGTTAACTTTTATTTCACAACTATATTCCAAGCTCCTAGCCCTCTATATTTTATCTTAAAAGTTAACGTTGAAAACTATTGTTATTTAATATTTAATAAAAATGTCATCACAATTTCGAGTTTTTATATCTCAACGAACAGTAATAGGAGATGAAATTTTGCCAGCAATCATTGTTGTTTATCAGGAAAAAATCGAAGAAATCATTTACAGTGAAGTAAATGAACAGATTACAAGTTATCTCGAACAGGTAATTTCCACGTAAGCTATGAAATTATTATTTTTTAATAGCTTACTTGTTTATAGAAATATCCTAAAATCGAAATTTTCAATTTCGGGACACGAGTATTAATGCCAGGTATCGTAGATTCTCATGTTCACATAGATGATCCTGGAAGAACACATTGGGAAGATTTTCGTACTGCAACGAAAGCTGCTGCTGCTGGTGGAGTTACTACAGTGATTGATATGCCTCTGTAAGAGTCTGAATACTTGATTATATGAAGAGATTAAATTGTTTTTTGGAGTAACGTATAGTTGGTTTTAGCAATTCAATTCCTCCAACTACCACTGTATCTAATTTGGAGATAAAAATGAATGCTGCTTCTGGGAATATTTATGTTGATGTTGGCTTCTGGGGCGGACTTGTACCAGATAACATTGTGAGAAAATTTATATTCAGTTCATTATTGCCATTTTATCAAATTTCAGATAATTAAAGAAAAATATATAATTTATCAAAAGTAATTATGATCTTAATTATACGACAACTAGATAAAAATAATTTTCAATTAAAGCATCATAATTGATAATAACTTATTGATTCCTAAAATTTTAAAACTTCTTTCTAAAGGTTATAGTTCAATTGGTTGGCTTGAAAAATTAATTCATCAATCACTTGACGAACAATCTATTAAATTTTCTAGAATGAACTTAAGCCAATGGTTGAAGCAGGAGTTGTTGGCTTCAAATGCTTCCTGATTCCGAGTGCTACTGATGAATTCAAACATGTGTCTGTGTTGGAAGTAGAAAATGCCTTAAAAGAGCTTCAATCGAGCCAAACTGTAGTAGCTGTAAGTAGTATTCAATAACTGAGTTAATGGCAGTTTCATTATTGAAGCTCTTCACTCAAATTCATTTATACGAATCAAATAAAAAATATTTGAAGAACAGAATTTTTCAACAAAACAATTATAATTAATTGAAATTAATTATAAACTTTTCATACATTTATTGGAATAATCTGAAAATAATTAATTATTATTAATAAAAATGAAAAAATTAATTAGTTAGTTCATTATTATAAAAAATAAATATAATAGTAGCTCGTATAATAACTATTTTATAATTAAAAAAGTTTTTCATTATCTAATATTTAATTACAGTTTCACGCAGAGTTCGAAGATAATATTTCTATCAAAGGCTTTGATCCTACTTCTTATAATACTTTTCTGTATTCTCGTCCACCAAGTATGGAAATTAACGCAATCAAAACAGTGGCCTTACTTTGTGAAAAATACAAGTAATATATTGTTATAAAAATATAATATAAATAATATATATATACATTTGTAATGTATATATGTATATTTTCATTTTCAAGAACCAGATGTCATATTGTTCATCTTTCTGCAAATGAAGCTCTTGATGTAGTATCGGAAGCTAAGAAAAACGGCGTACCACTAACAGCGGAAACATGTTATCATTATCTGACATTTTCTGCTGAAGATATACCTAATGGCGCAACACAATTTAAGTGTTGTCCTCCTATTCGCACAAAGGAAAATCGAGTTAGTACTTAGTGAGATATAACAACAGTTTCGAACAATTGTTGAATCATATTAAAATAATTGTAGGAAATCCTTTGGGAAGCTCTGAAAAATAAGGTTTTAGATATGGTTGTCTCTGATCATTCACCTTGTACTGAAGATCTCAAGAATAATAATTTTATAGATGCTTGGGGTGGTATCTCATCATTACAGTTTGGTAATTTTTAATATTTTGATGATAAAGTTTTTGGAGTAATTATGTAAAATATCAAGTTTTTTTTTTCATATGTTAAGATTTATTTAGAAAGTATTTAAATTTTCAGGACTACCTGTTATTTGGACTGAAGCTGAAAAGAGAGGAGTCAACATTAATGATGTTGCACGCTGGATTTCTACTAATCCAGCAAAATTGTGCGGACTGGAGAAATCAAAAGGACAGATTAAAGTGGGAATGGATGCAGATTTTGTTGTTTGGGAACCTGAAACAGAAATGAAAGTAAATTTTTTTTAAATTTATATTTTTATTATCCTCAATACTTACAATTTAATATTTTGGTATCTCACTTGTTTATAGGTACAAAAGTCTGATATTCTCTACAAAAATAAGGTAATTTAATTGATGCGTAACAAGAAAAATATTGGATTTATAATGAGATAAAAAAAATACTAAAAAACTAACATTTATTTTTAGATAAGCCCGTATGTGGGAAAAACATTGAAAGGTAAAATACATTCAACAATACTGCGTGGGAATTTTATTTACAAAAATGGTCAAGTTCTGGAGGATTTAAGAGGAAAACTGCTTTCGAATTCAAGTCTTTAACGCAATAAAAATTCGAACATTACATGTAAAGATTATAGAAAAAATAAAAATTCTTGGGTCAACACTTGTGACCTTGCCAACGTAAAATACTCATATGATGAGTCATTTCCTACACTACATTTTAGCAAACAGCATAAGGTGACGTCATCACCTGATTTTCCAGTGTTTTACAATTAAAAAAATAACAACGATGATGAAATAAATTAGAAGGGTCATATACATGCAGGAGCATGAATAAAAACAATTTATTATAATTTAAAAATAATGTTAAATGTAAAAGATGAAGTTGTAGATTCACCACATTTCTGTATGCTTCTATGTATATATGTATAATATGATACTTTCAAGCATTTAAGTTTTCTAAGAATATGTTTTTATTATATATATGTATGAATGTTAAAATATAGATATTATGTTCTCACATACATGGAGAATTATATGAATAAATAGTGGCCGATGACGTCATCGAGTGACGTCGACAGCGCTCCATTAGTACTCCCGGAAGTTCACGCGCGGGATTAAGACGATGAAACTGTATTTTAAATATTTCAAAATTAATACATATTTCATCTGTAAAAATAAATGTTGACAAGCGTTAATTATGATAATTTTTTAACTAACTCCTTTAATAAGAAAAATTAATTACAAGAAATTATTGAGTGCTAGTTCTATCCAAATATTTAGTAATAATAACGATAAATTTTTCCTTTGAAATGGAAATATAATAAATTGTATAAAAACTGAAAAAAATCAGTAAGAAAAACAAAATCAAAAAGTTGGAGCAAGAAGGGATATAGAATAGAGTAAAATAGATTGGTGGGGATTGAACGAAGACGAAAAGACAGTGGCTCTCTCTTTCTCTCTTTCTGGCAATCGCCATTTTGATGGTGACGCGCGGATTGGAGGTCGTGTGCTCCACCAGTGACGAAGCCACTGGAGTTTTGACGTGGCTGCTACGTACCTGCCCGCTTGCCCACTCGGATTGCAGCAAAGTTGGTGACGAGAAATACGTAACTGGTAAGTACACCAGCTGGAGAATAATAACAAGGAGGCATGGACCGTAGCGAAGAGATGGGTGATAGACTTTAATATCTCAACTAGTGAACGTGAATGTTTGTGTTCGATAATCAAGGATTAATGTATCTGCTATCACGTCATCTCCGTAGGCCTTTGATGCCGTCGAGAAAATTCGAATCGTGTTCGTTAGATTATAAAAAAATGGCGTCTGAGATAGTTTAATCAAAAACAAGCTTTAGGACAGTATTTGCAATTAATTGAATAAGCTCATAAGTGAATCCTGTTGATTATATTTTCAATAAAACAAGTGCTTCCTGATCATGATTATCATCGACAACCTCTCCGTGAGTTGTAGTTAAGAACAGTGTGTTTATTTTGCTTCGTTATAATCTCAAAACATGAAAAGTTTATTGTTCCATTATTTTTAGAACTGCTACTTATGTAAATGACGCAGTTGCAGTAGCATTCAAAAGGCGGGAAATTTTGAAATATTATTTTATCAATAATATTATAACTTTATCATCAAAAACACATTTTTTAACATTTGTTATTGTTTTTGTTAATTGAAAAATTTTCAATTTTTTAGGGCTCTTGGTCCCCAGGCTATGGAAAGTATGGTCGAAGAAAACGGATCAGCCGTTGACCCTTTATCTCCAGAATCCCACAGCGGTGATTCTGCTCCAGCAATAGCTACTTCGGTACAGTCCCTGAGTAGATCTCAACAGCAAACTCATCATCTGGTAGCATCTACCAGCATTGTGCAACTGACGTTACCCACATCGGGGACCACTCAGGTACACTCAGGACTTTAATCCTGTGTACCTTTACGCGATAATTTTTTTTTTCTCCCAAGCTTATTTTCCAAAATTGTATCTCTATATGTTTAATTTACGCATTCCTAATGGGTTGCATGCACACGTCACTTATTATCAATGCAGAATGCTGGTCTTAGCTAAAATTTTATTCAAAAAAATTGAAAATTAACTTTGAAATAACATAAAAGTAGCTAATTCATTAATTTGCGATGAATTAAATTATGTGTATAATAACTGTTAACGAGCTGTGTATTCGTAGGTACAATCTGTTATTCAACCAAATCACCAATCTGTGATCCAAAGTGCTACAAATATTCAACCAGTAGCTATTTCAAAAGGCAATGTTATTCTTGTTAGTAAATCTAACTCAGTCATTCAATCTGCTCAAGGCAATTTGCAGACGTTACAGGTAATATTATAATATGTTCTTTTATTGAATGTATAATATCAATAGAAATAACAAATTTATCAATATTTTGCGATATTTATATTTCAGGTTGTTGAAACCGGTAGCGACGAAAGCTTTTCAGACGAAGAATCTCCTAAAAAGCGACGAGATCTTTTAACAAGACGTGCTTCTTATCGTAAAATTCTCAACGATTTAAGTGCGAGTGAGATAACAGGTAAATCATTTCAATTGAACTTATTTTTTCATTTTAGACTGCAATAATATTATCAGTATTAAATTTAAATGGTATAAAGCAATGTGTGGAGTTTGAAAATTTACTATAATATAAAAATAATATTGACATTATTCAAGTATTCACTACTGCGGTAATTATAAGTCACGAAACGGTTTAATCCTTATGATTTCTATCATGTTAATCAAATAGTTACAGAGTGCATGTCAGTTCATACTATAAAAGATCAATTTTAAGTCATTTATCAACAAAAAAATTAAATATTAATGTGATTATGTAATACGAAAATTCTTAATCCTTAATTCTCTATTGCAATATTAAAAAATGTTACTTTAAAAGACGAATTTCCTTTTCAAAGTTTATTTTTATTTCCCGATGTGTTTTTTATAAATCACATGCAATAGAGGGTTAACAATAGGTTATTAAAAAAATCACGATGCCACACCAAGCTGAGGAATATGCATGATTTTATGCTTCATAACTCAATTATTGCACTAGCATGATGCTTTTTTCCTTATAATATATTATTATTTTAAAATGATTTTTATCGATTGATTATCTAATGAAAATGTGCTCTTTCTACTCTTCCTCTATTCACTCACATTTATATTACTTTCTTGACCAAAAACAAATATTGGTTGTCTGTAGTACAGTTGATTATCATGCAAAAAATCATTGGCATTTTACTTGCTTTTTTACACGTATGACCTGACTGCACAATTCTCAGCGTGAGCATTTATCTCGTGAGAATGTTGTCCGCAAAAGCGAATACTAACTATGAATAGTTTCTGTTTGAGTAAAGGATAATTAAAAACTACTTGTTAAGTATAATAATAATAATAATATTAACAACAATTATAGTAAAAATACTAACAACAATGGTAATAATAAGGTTAATAATAATGTTGGTGATGGTAAAATTAATAATGAGTTAAAAAAAATGAAGACAAATTAATCCGAGTCTATTGATTCGGTGTTACAGCAGGTCATTTGCCTCCCCTTGAATCCTCTTTAGAGTGTGACTCTAATGTGGACAGTGATATGTCTTCTCACTCACTCCAATATCAAACAACAGGTTGGTTTACTTTCTTATCTATTCTTCTATTTCATATTATTTTCTTAGTTCAATCATTATTTGCTTTGAAATAAGAAATTATTGCCATCTTTATTGCTTCCCAATCTTATGCATCCTTAAATAGGTAATCCTGTCCATGTGTAATACTGCCGATATTTTCATTTTTTTTTGCTTGGTATGGCATCTTCGGGAGTTCGCGATATTTCCAAAAATGAATCATTCATTAAAATTTTTATAAAGATTGAAATAATAAATAAATTACGGGAAAAAGATCATTCATAAATAATCCAAGAATACATTTTTCATGGGGAAGCTTTTTAATTGATAGAAATATTTTCCAGTAATTCCGGCGGGGACTATTCAAATTGCGACCCAGGGGGAGGGTGTGCAAGGGCTTCATACGCTGACAATGAGCAATGCAACAACAGCAGGAGGAACAATAGTGCAGTATGCACAGGGCCAGGATACACAATTCTTTGTCCCAGGTGTGCCCCGTATTTTTTTTTTATTTTTCACTTATTTATTTTCATTTTAAGTTTTTCTACCAACTATTAAGTACTCCTTTAACTATAAAATCTTTCTCTTCGAGATGTACAGACTTCTGCAATATTTCAGATAACTCAGGTCACGGTGTTGTTGTTGAGGATGCAGCTAAAAAACGTGAAATGAGGTTGCAAAAGAATAGGTAAGTTATTTTTTAGCTTTTTAATTATTGATTATTCTTTGATGCTCATTATAAATTGATTATGCTTGGATAAAATTTGAGATGCCTCGAGTGTTAAATAAACGAAATAAATAAATAAACTTAAAAATTTGAATTAAAAATCTAATTTTTATAGTATTTAGAAGTAAAAAATTATTTTGATTTATAAAAATAGGAATTTTCAATTAAAATTTTTTAATTTATTTTTCAAAAGGATTATAATAAGATGAATAAATTAGTGTTGTCTAAGGTTAATTGTTATCATCAATCAACTGCATTCGAATATTTTTATTTATGAAGACATGTGTGCAATAATTAATCAACTCTATTATTACTTGTTCATTTACTTTAAAAATTCATGTCATTAATTTTGTTAATTTAAGTCAAACTTAATGACTAGCTTTTATTAATTTTTGAATAGGGATTAAAATTGACATACATATATGAATCTAATAATAATGCAAATTAAAAAACTTTTAATGTTTTAGAAATATAGTTACTTTTTCTCCGGTATAATTAATTATATAATACAATTTAACATTTAAGGCATCTCAATTGTTAATAAATATTAAACTCATGTCCGTTAATAAATAATGGAAATAAATAAGTAAAAAACAAGTACGAGATTGAAGGTAAAGATTGAATAATTTTTTGTATGTAAATATAGAGAGGCAGCACGTGAGTGTCGAAGAAAGAAGAAGGAATATATAAAGTGTTTGGAGAATCGAGTAGCTGTACTAGAAAATAGAAACCAAACGCTCATAGACGAGCTTAAGTCATTGAAAGAACTATATCAGCAAAAAACTGACTGAAACTGACAAATTTTTTTGTCACAATGTCATGTAAAGCAGACCAATGATCAATCATTGATTCTATACATGTGGGAATTTTGTGTACCAGCATGAGGGACTAACCGTCCTAAAATTGCTACGATGATTTACGTATCATCGTTAAAAATTTCAAACAATTTAAAACAGTGAAAAAAAAAACAAATTCTCTTATAAATAGGTGTCTGTATCATATTGTATTTATGTATTGAGGTATGGTGATTAATGATGGTGATGATAATGATGATGTTGAATTAGAGGTTAATAACGAATGGAAGGATTAAGTTAAGCGAGAAGCCAAAGGTTTTTTTCGAATGAGCAAACAATTATATAAATCGAAGATTATACGGTTAAATTTATGTCTTTTGTCTCTGAGTACAGTTTTTCAGAAGTACATTACAAATATCTAATATATAGATTTATAAAATATCAACATTTTTTTACTATCATACGCATGAAATACATTTGATTTTTTAAAATTATTTTTTGAGAATATAATTGGGTAAGGAAAGAATTATATTAAATAAAGTTATATTATAGTTAAGAAATAATTTACAAAAAAATCCATTTTAATGAAATATATATTAGACTTTTCCGACATCTTTTTATTTTTTGCCTGATGTATACATCATGCAATAAGTAATTTCCGTTATATACTAGAAATACTGATCTTTATCCATCGACTTTGAAATAAGAAAAAACTGATAAACAAATGGGCGATGGAAAAAATTATACATCACCATTGTAAAATATAAATTGTATAATAATATAAGAAAAAAAAAAACATCAGGAGTGCCTTGAAGAATTGCAGTATATACATATATGTTTACGTATAGAAATTGTCATATGTAAATTTAAATGAGTCTAAATGAGAATTATATTAGTTATAATCACAGTTGAGATATAGAATTTGAAAATATTGATGAAAATATTTTTAATGGAAATAAAAAAAAAACGTACGTGTTTATTCGAGAAGTAATGAATTTGATAGTAACGAATATTAATGATATTCGTGCTTTTTACATACATAATTAATCAAGAAAATTATTAATTATGTTATGGGAAAAAATATTTACTTACCCATTGTGAATATTTGAATGTTCTTTAGAATCTTTATAAATGTGTTATTAAAATTTAATAACTCCAATATGTATTAATTAAAAAATCTAAATTTTTTTCTGTAGCTTTTTTTTTATTTCAATTTATAGGCAAATTTTAATAATAATTATTGTTATTATAAACTGAATAATTTGATAATAAATTTCTATATTTCATACTTCTTAGAAAAGATAAAAATATTTAAATATAAACATTGTTTATTAAATTTATCGTCACCCTTTACACGTACGTCTGTTGTATCATTGTGGTATCGGTTGTGTTCATTAAAAAATGAAACAACCTTACGCATTTTTATTCAATTAACGATCAAATCGAATAAAAATAAATGTGAAGTAAAAATGAGCAAAATATTATATGTATGATATATGTATATCTTGGTTGCTGCACCGATTATAATTATATATTATAAAGTATTGTATATAGATAATATATGTATTTTTACATATCATTGGCTTTCTTGAAGAAATATAGCTTGTAAATCTATTGATAATTATTGACTCCTACGAGTTTACTTCTCAGGCTTTTCATTATTCATTCTTAAATATTATTTAATTAGTTTACATAAATAGTTATGTTTATTATTATCAGATTTTATGTGACAAACCTTAATATTATTTTTATTATATAAGTATTAAATCAAGCAGTAAATTAATATTTATTGGCAAGATTTAAATAATTAAAAATTCCGTCTTTGAGCATTTACTTCCAGTGGCTAGAAACAAATGAAAAGAATGAAATATATACTAATTATACATGAAAACAATACGTTAATAAATTATTTTACCTTGTAGTAGTGTGATACATTTGTTTGTTTGCATTTTGCGAAGTTAAATGGTCTAAAATAAATTAACAATTGTTTTATAAATTTTTTTTTACTTATAAATAAGGATTCTATTCACCTTTGTGCTTAGAGTTACTTAGCCGAGTGTTTTTGCTACCACATATGAGATCGTTTATATAACGTGGTCTTACTTTAGTTTCTTTTCTTTTTATAGTAGGAGACAATTTCTCATTTTTCATATTAAACACAGCTGTACGATATACAACTTCCATCGGTTGTTTCTTCAATCTATAAACAAAGTTTATTTAATTCTAAATATATAAATAGCTTACATCTGCATCAAAATTTAAAGACAATACCTCGTCGATCTATTTTTAATCTCTTCTGATTCTTGTGATATTGATTCACGCTTTGGACTCAACTTTCTTTGAACCTTTAGATCTCCATTGATGTTTGAATTCTTAACGTCTTTCATCTTCATTGAGCCTTTTGAAGATTTTCCAAGGGATCCACTCCACGTTGAGAATCGTGATGAACTCTCTGGAGATCTTTTATCAGATTTATTCGAAGTTTTTACTTTATTTCTCTTTTTTTCTAATGAATCTTTCAGATGTGGAACTTCAGAGGACACTGGTGATGAATTATAAGTCTCTGGGAATTCAATAATTTCTTCAAATGTAGATTTAGATTCGGGCATGTGTGCATGATAATTTTCGTAAACAGGAGATCGACTATTGCTAACTTTAAAGACATTAACATAAACTGGATCTTTGTTTGAATTATTGTGACTATTAGTAATAATATTTTTTTTAGAATTTTTATCAATTGAGTCTTTTTTCTGAAGACTTGATGTTCGTTTCAGCCCACATTTTCTACGCAAAGATGAAGTAGTCTTTTCTAAAGATTTTTTCAACAATGGAATATTATCTTCAACTCTCGCAATAATAGGCTCATGTGTTGTGATAGCAGTTGATATTACTCGATTATTTTCTGCATCTTTCGTTACAACATTGTAATTATTTTGATCTAGATTTCTCCGAGATATCACTTCAGAGACTACTTTTGGTGATGCTAATTCTTTTGATTTTTTTAATTCTCCATTATCTGAAACACAAAAAGAATGTTCAAGGTGTCGCTTAGGTTGTATAATAAAAAAAATATTCACCTCTATCATTCCGTTGATCTGCGGGCTTAGCAAGGCTTACCATTGTCGCATGAATTTTGTGATTCCCTTCTCTTTCATCCGGATTTATCCAAAACTTTTTAGAATCTAAATCTACAACGCAGTAAGCACCAGAACTATCATTATCTATGTTTATAGGCTTTGTTTTATTGTCAGATATATCTGATCTAATAATCATACGTCTAGGAGAAATTTTACCATTAACACCAAATTCTACAGGTTTTGTAAAATTTCCTATTGTATTTCCAGTGGAATTCTGATTTTTACGTCGTTTGCGAAATTTATTAGTTGGAGGAGGTTTACCATCGGTTTCAACGATATTGACTTTTCCTGAATCAGCAGCAAAATGAACTTCAGTCTTACAAAATCCAACTTTTTTTATACCTCGACTAGGTAAATTAATTGTTCCTTCATCACCTGATGAATTGGTCTTTGTAAGTGATTTTTTTGTAGTTTTAGAAATACTATCAGATGGAAAAGAAGTTGGTAATTTTTCTTCTGTTGTTGATAATGGTGATCTTAACGTTACAATACTACTTTTTCTATTTCTTGGATCTTCAGTGAAAGATTCTGGATTCATGATATTAACAACAGTGACGGCGTTAGAACGATTCGTTGGTTGTAGAGATTGTGGAGATGATTTGAAACGAAGGGAACCGTATTCAGAGGATTTAGATTTTGATTCATTTCCAATTGTTATTGATGATGCATTTCCTGAAGTAGCCGATGATATCGTCGAATAAAGTTCTTTGTTCGCAAACTTCTTTTTCGTTTCACTGGCGCTTGGTACTGAAATAGATACGCTGGTGGGGATTTGTAATGACCTTCTGTTCTTGCAATCTCTGGTAAAAAAAGCTAAAGAGTGTTTGGATGATGAGTCAGACTCCATTAAACTGGATAAGTCGTCATCTGAATTACTTTTTTTTGATAATCCATATTTATCCAACCCATTAAAATTTTTTTGTAGAATCTTCTATATTTAGCAAGTTTAATTTGTCATTTTTGAAGTTCTCATGAATTTTTGAAACTGCTGATAAACTTTTTAAAGCTGGCATTTTCCATGGATCTGATTTTAAAACTTCGTTTATTTCATTTAATACTGAGTCATTCTGAAAAATAATCCGTAGATGTTGATACTATATATTTATTTAGCATAGATGCTAAATGATACTCAAAATATTTAATAAAAATAAATTAACGTTAAACTGTAAAAATGATCTTACACATTCTAACGGCATTTTATTATCCATAGCATAATCAGTAACTCTCGAAGAAGACCACTGAGATGCTCTAACAACTTGGACAGACCTTCCGGGTTCTTGACTTTGAAAGATTTCTACTTGTCTTTTGGCTTTTTGTATTACACTTCCATCAGCTGAGTTACGTTCTCTCTGATCTGTTACCTAAAATCATAATTTATATTATTAAATTAATTAATATTTATATATTACTATAAACTAGTAAAGCTCTAATTTCAAAATTTACCTTTCCATAAGAATGTGCAGATGCATCATTATTTGATCTCCACCGTCCAGTTTCAATTCTTGCTCTTTCTAACATCCCCGTCAGTCTATCTACTCTTGACCATTCTCTGACTTCTTCATTCTTAAAAGGTGTGTCATCATCTCCAAATCTTCCTGGAGATGATAGCACCACCTCCATTTTCATTATTTATTTAAGCTTCAATTAGGTATTTTTATGAGTTAATATTCCTTATTAAAACCTGGAACAATAAAGGATTAGTGTATTGCAGTTTAAGTGTTAATTACAAAAATTAGTAGAAACCATAAGAGTTCTATTCATTAATATCTGTAGCCTTGAGCTTCTTAGATAAGTTGATATCTGGTGTTCTTATCCAGGACAGAGACCTTGCGAAAATAATTGCGGGAAAAAATGATTTCAACAAAATTGATGACATCTCATGCATAATTGACGCCTTGATGCTTATGCAAACGTGTCGTACAATGTGGGAAGAGACTTGGGAATATTTTTTCAGTGATGAGTAGGCGAAGATCAGTAGACATGACTCGTAGTCGCGTGGTTGGATTCTCAAGGACGTAAATATCGTTCGCCCCCACAAGACCCAGAGATGATCGCCTTCGACTTGTTATTTATTTATTAATTTTTTTCAACACTTCTTTGTACCACTCTACAGTAATTTAATTTTATTGTTTTTTTGTTTTAATTAAATAATAAAATCAATTTATTCTCCACAGTAAACATGAAGAAAGAATTGTATATCCTCGTGAAGTCAAAAATTTATATGCGGTTCCGCTTTCAACGAGGGTTAATGAACTCACTAGGTGAATTATCTGATAGTAATACAAGTCTCTAGTAAGACACATTAGAATTAAAAATTTCTCTGACACCTTAAAATTCAATAGATTATGTAAATAAACATGTAGACAAATGTAACTAAAAATTCAATTGTTGTTTAGAACAATGCATTAATATTCTCTTATAAATACTTTTCACTTTCTCAATTTTTTTCAAGGTAAAGATTGTAACAACCAAGTAGGAATTTGCGTGAGCAATTATTGTGCTTGAATGTACTAATTTGTTCCACTAGTTTCACCTCAGAGTTCATCGAGAGTCAAAGATATACCTTTTATTTATCTCTTAATATTAACCATAGCTACATAGTTATCAGATTAATATTAAATCATAAAAATTAGCACATATTTTAAAGTGAAAAAAAAAATGAAATGAAATGAAAGTTGTCCGAACATTTGTAGATATTTATATCACCTTCTCTTTCTTACTTCCAATTCTATATACCCATGGAAAGTAATGCTTAGCAAATAATTACAGGTATATTTCGTAACTTCGTGACTAGTTCATTAGCATTTCCTGTCTCAGATGTCAAAATAATTTTCAAGAACACTGATACCATAATTTAATTCTCCAGGTGTGTCTAATCATTTTGTAGCTCAAATAACATAATACTGAAGAATAAGAAGAAACAGAAAATAAAGTATAATAAACAATAGAGTGAATTTCTAGATCAAAAAGATCAAGAATGGATGGCATTGCCGTAGGATTGGTCACTTAAACGCAGCGGTAAAGCCGGTTTCTCTGTCGATTTCGAGGGCACTCATGTAAAACATAGGTGAGAGTATTGTATCTTTTGTTTATTATACACCATGTCTAGAAGGTATACCGTTTATCCTTATTTTATCTTATTCTATTTTCACTATCAAAAATCATAACGAATAAATTTATTATTATTTTTATATTTAATTAACATTACAATTGGATGTTATGACAGAATAAAATCTAAAAACACACCTGGCCAAATGAGGTAAAAGAGTGAAAGAAACTTAAAGTGCGCCCACAGGACCAACACATGTACGAACTTGAACGCAGGCTTTATGACTCTTGATGCCGAATAAGGCCTTTCTTTCCTCTCTCGCGTGTGCAATCAATCGGAAACCGGTTGAGGACACATATCACTCGCTTTGACACACTTTAACCACGTTTCTCACAAAAATATTTCCTAAAAAAGCATTATAAAAATAAATAAAACAATTTTTCTTGATAAATTGACTGAATTTACTAATAAACATTTTTACTATAAATCTTACAATTATATGTGACTTGTTTAGTCATCAATCACTCATTCATCGATCAATAGACATCCAAGTGAGAGAGAAAGAGAGAGATAAAAAAGACTTAAGAATACCGTACTCCCGTTCGCCTCCAGCTCAAATCCTTCACTGACGCTGGACACAACAACGGATCCGCTAGTTGTACACTGAACGGGGGACGCTTCGCTCGTTGATCACGTTAGACTACGATAGATAGAAAAGACCAACTGCATGGTCGCAACATTGACGGTATTCTCTTCTACTCCTTTTTTCTTCTTGTCTTGAGACCACGTCATTTATGCAGATTTATGCGCGTATATTATGTTTATATTGAATGGGATAAAGAGAAGAAACCTTTTGTGAAACAGACTGACTCATGAAGATAGGAAGGAAACTATTGAGAAATATTATTAATAAAATTATTACCGTTAATAAGATTTATATGAAAATTTTTTTCTATTTTACTCAATAGTGACATAATCAGTTTTAAACAGTCGTCAAAGGATCTTTGTCCATTTTCGATACATTTATTTCAACGGATTCAGTTGAATGTTTTCTTAAAATGGTATGAAAAAGTTTGGCAAATTCATTCAAATATCCTCGTTCTGAGTTTGAATGTTTTGTTAAAATAACGTTTGTATCATTATGAATAGCATTTAGAGCATCATGATGAGACATCTCGCCTGTTACGAAAAGATCAGCTTTAACTTTTTGTAGAACAGATGATCCTGACCCAGCACAAACTGCTACAGTACGAATAGGTTTTTCTGCAAGATATGTAAAAAATTAATTATATATATAATTATTAATGATATAATTAATATTTCTTTTAATCAAAGTAAACTTACCGACATCCGCTCTATAAGCTACTTGGACATCCGATAAATTCGTATTAGCTTTAACAAGATTTACTGCCTCTTGGATATTTATTGAATCACGGAGTGTAAGAATTCTTCCCATTCCATAAGTTGAATTTACAGAGCATGGCTCGATTGGCGCACATGAATCGTAATCTGTAATCATAAAAATTTTATTATTTATTAATAAAAATAGCATTACTACTCATAGAATATTTATTTAATAAATAATCATATACTTACTAAATGCTTTGATTAGCCAATCGTTCACACCACCATTTTTTGCATCCCAACTTGTATGTGGAGAATAGAGAGCGATTTTATTTTCTATACATTTCAAAACAATTCGTTCCTGAAAATAAAAATCGATTAATTCGTTTTATTTTTTCACTTTTTTTTTTAAATTTACTTCCGTCAACAACACATTTTTGAATCTTTAAATTAAGTGAAAATAATTTTGAAATGTTTTTACTGCACGCTAGGTTTAATTAAAAATAATTGCTCAATTTTCCATTAATTAAATCAACGGTTATTAATTTTATTCTAAGACCATAAATTTATGTTTTTTTTTTAACGTAAAAACTATTCTTTGATAAAATTATAAAAAATTTACCTTCCAAGTTGCGGTTGTAATTTTTTTCAATGGTGCAAATATAGGTGGATGATAAGAAATAATTAAATCTGTTTTATTATCTACAGCTTCATCCATAACTTTCTCTGTTAAATCATTGGTAAGTAAAATACGATGTACATTTTTGTTTGTACTTGGTTCAATCAAAAGTCCTACATTATCCCAAACAGCAGCAAGAGATGGATTAGCATAATCATTCAATGCTGTGACTACAGTAGACAATGGAACGCCTGATCCAGACATGCTTCGATGATATTTTAAAGGTGCTATTAACTTTGTACTAAGCCCGAAACTTAACTTGATCATCTAAAACAATTCTAAAGAATAAAAAACTTGTAAAATATAATATTTTTAAATTTTATCTTTAATATATAAAAAAAAATAAGATATGTTATTGCAACATATTTAAAAAAACATTTGAAAAATGTATAAATTTTTTATTAATTTGTTCATACATAGTAATTATTTATTCTATAGAAATATCTCATTTGAGAATCTTTGACAACAGTTTAATTACGATAAAATCGACTATGAATACGATCTGATTATCAATGATGACTTTTTCCATATTTTATATTTATAATAAATATTTTTATCGACTTGAATTTCTTACGTCATAATTCATTCATATTCAATAAAATTAATTAAAGGAATAAAATATTCGGTTCATTTAATCACTATAAAACCAAATGTGAACTTTTCCATCGTCTCCAGCCGATGCAAATTGACCAATATTTACAGGGTCCCACCGAACTGCATTAACATCTTGTGAATGTGCAGTTTCATGTGAACAAATCATACTGAAGCTCGGTTGATTTATATCTGAATCACTGTCCTCACGAAAAATTCTGATAGTATCATCTCCACATGCTGTTACAATCAATCCAGTTTTTTTGCACCAATCAACATCATAGATAGTTCTAGTGTGATATCCAGAAAGAGTACAAACGCATTTCCATACAGGAACATTATCTGGTGTAGGGATCCCAGCATTGTTATCCGGTTTGTATTCTTGCCAGATTTTAATCGTTCTATCATCGCTACAAGTCACCAATCGAGTTCCTGTTGAATCAAAAGATAAACTCCATACTGTAGATGTGTGGGAAGCCAATGTTGCAAAACATGTCCAATCGTTGTCTGTTGGGTCTTCTTTAAACATTTTAACGGTGTCATCGTAACTTGCTGACGCCACGATTTCCTCATGTGGGTGCCATCGAACCTAGAATGAATTATTTATGAAAGATGTTTTACAGTAATTAAATAAGAGATTTTATCAAAAGGTTCTTAAATAAATGTTAATTAATCTTAACAGGAAACTAATATTTATAGTTCAGTTACCTTTTTAACATCTTGAGTGTGAGCATTGATAACAGCAGCACATTCATATTCATCATTATTACATTCCCAAATCCACACTGATTTATCTCTACTACATGTTGCAATCAATTGGCCGTTACTAGACCAGTCTACACTTTTCACTTCATTTTCATGGCCTTCTAACGTAGCATAGCATTCAAATTCTTTTGATTTCTTTTCCCATATTGCTGTGGTAGCATCAAAACTAGCAGACGCAATATATTTTCCACATGGTGACCATGAAACTTCACGAATAGTTCTTGTATGTCCTTCAGCAAGGATCATTTTCATAACCCATTTTGACCCGTCAAATGACCATATTCTGATTGTCTTATCTTCACCACATGATGCCAAAACACTTCCTTTTGGATACCAACAAACATTCCACACTCTCCCTTTGTGACCTTTGAGACTTTGTTTTAATTCCAGAGTACCCATTACTGTCTGAAAACAAATTAAATAATCTAACATTCTGTTGTTTTCCTCTTTTGTTTACAATCATTACACACAAAGATGATAGTGAAGAATGTTTGTTTAATCCACTCATTTAACAACAAATTTTAAACCGAACTTAGATTACTGAAATTTAAATGAATTGTATGACAACTATGAAATAACGTGACATATAAGTTATCACCATTATTGATAACAATTAAATGAGTTAGAGTATTAAACTTTCAGTATAATTAATAACAAAATATCAAGTATATACATTTTTCACGAAATAATCAATTGTTGTTCATTTACGGAGCATGAAATAAACTTAACCTCAACGGTACGGCATGCAATGGCAACTTTTTTGTGAAATTGAACATTATGAATTAAAAACATTGTGCAAGCTTACCTGTGTTATTATTAATCTCGTAACTAGTAATATTATTTCTGTTGTTTAATCAATAACTAAAAAAAATAAAGATGAATCGAATTAGAAACAAATCGAATAATAACTGACATTGATTTATTTTTATATTGTTGATGATTGCTTACCCACGTTAATCATCCTGTGTTCACTTTAATGTCAATCTATGCTCCTTCAAAGTAGTGCAAGCAAATTAGCAGCACTATCACCACATCACGTGAATGATTGTTATCTTATTCGTATCGTTTCTGGAGGTAGTGTGCACACACACACAATTTTAAAGGCTAACATACACATAAGAAGCTTCATGAAATCGACAATGTGAGAAGCCGGCTCTTAGTAGAATTGTACAAAGTAAGCAACGTGGTCATTTATTTCTCGGTTAGTTGGCGTCTCGACGCTTTCGTGATTATTTATTTATATGCATTATTCATTTTTTAATTATTTTTTGTGGACACTCAATTTTTTAAGGACCACTTATTAAATTTGATTCATCACTAACATCACATCCATTAACTCATTGACGCTTCAGGCTTGATCACTGTCAATTAAGGACTTAAATGTAAGTCAATCTTGTTTTAAATTTTACCTTATACATACTCAAGTAAATAAAAAAATCGATGATAGTTCGAGGAATTTTCAAATCAATCAATAAATTACTACAGAAGAAACTTATTAGCATAAAAGTATTTGCATCCTAAAATATTTTGATAAAAATTCCGCAATTAGGATTTTTTTCTATTTAAATTATTGTTTGTTTATATTCAAATTATAATTTTGATTCAAGTATTTATGTAGGATTACAATGTTTTAATTGAAAGGTTGCTCTGAATGACTCCATTCTTCATATAAATTTCAAATATTATTCACCAGAAATTGTTTGTTTTAAACTTTGGAATAGATTTCCATAATTATGTTATTTCTGAATGTGATTGTTATCGCATTAGTATTGCTGGTGTTCTAATTGTCAATTTTGAAGGTTAGATATGTTCTCCGATAATTGTGGGCGTAGTCTTTTTCTAATAATAAGCTTTAGACACGAATGATAGTTGTTATTCCTTGACGATTCTATTTACTGTTGGTATTTGTTTGATTTATAAATATAATTTTTTTTCTATCATCATTAGATAAAAAGAAAGAATAATCTATATAAATTTAACTTGTAATAAAAATCATCAATTTGGATTCCACTCGAAAAATATTGAGTTATATGTTTTTGTGAAAATAATTATTCTTTTCTCAATAAAACCGGCGGGAAAATGCCAAATATTTTAAATCAAGTTAGTCGTAAGAGGTCGCTTTGTGTGTTTGAATTTTTTTTAAATATAAAAAATTACAACAATGAACATTTTATTATAATTTATTAATATCAGAAAGTATATTTCATTCTATTTATGTATTATTTGTGTATTGTTAATTATTAAAAAAATTAATGATTGAAATTTAATTTATAAGATAAAAAAAATGATGTACAACTTATTTGGAGTTATATCATACTATTACAGAAGAACGATGTCTCCAATTTCACAAGAATCATTAGTTAGAAATAATCAAATGGATATAAGCTGGCTGGAAGATTTACCACCTGGAGGAGCATTAGCTGAATATCGTAAACAGGCATCATTTTGTTGGAAACGTCTTCGGTTAGTTTTGGAAGATCCTGAAAAATTACGTCTTAAAGTAAGTACATAATTATATAAAATGCAGTAACTACGAAAGTTTATATATAACAATTAATTCAAATTTATCAAAGTTTTTTTTTAATAAAAAAATTACGTTTATTTTACTGTGCCTTAATACATTCTATAACTATTATGTGTAGATAAACATTTGGAAGGCAATGGAAGAAGATCCAGAATTCCATCCACCTCACAATGTAACTCCAAGTATTGATGAACAAAAAAGAAGAGCTGCCAGGCAATTAGCAAGGTTGAATCACTTGAAATTTCTTCCTCCAGACATAGGTCAAGCAAGTTATAAAATCAAAGTAAGTTTACTTTATTATAATTTTAATTATAAACAAAATATTAACAACTCCAATTTTTCAGACGGGTGGATTAATGACTTTAAATGAAGCTACTGCCATATTTAGTCCATCATTATCAGTTAAAATTGCTTTGGGAGTTTACCTTTTTGGTAATACGATTCTCAGTTTAGGAACTGAGAGACACATTCCAATCTTCCAAGCAGTTTGGAGTAAAAAAGTACTTGGATGCTTTGCTCTGACTGAAGTTGGACATGGTAGTAATACGAAAATGATGCGAACAACTGCTACATATGACCCAACAAATCAGCAATTTATTCTTCATACTCCAGATTTCCAAGCAGCTAAATGTTGGGTTGGAAATTTAGGTAAAATAACTTATTTTATTTAAACTTTTCTACAATCAATAAATTCTAATTCTAACAAATATCTTTTAGGTAAAACTTGTACTGTGGCAATAGTTTTTGCACAATTAATAGCTCAAGGTCAATGTCATGGCCTTAATGCCTTTATCGTGCCAGTTAGAGATGTTAAAACATTCCTTCCTTATCCTGGAGTGGTTGTTGGTGACATAGGTGAAAAAATGGGCTTGAATGGAATTGACAATGGATTTATTATGTTTGATAATTATCGAATACCAAAAGATAATCTTCTGAATCGAACTGGTGATATAAATCTAGAAGGGGAGTATGAGAGTTCATTTTCTGATCCCCAAAGAATACTTGGTGCCGTCTTGGAGAACTTATCCGCAGGTCGGATGGGAATTTGTCAAGAAGCTACTAATACACTTGGAGCTGCTATCGTCATTGCCGTTAGATATGCCGCTGTAAGAAAACAATTTGCCTCATGTTTATCAGCAAAGGGGGAAACAGAGACACCAATAATTGAATATGAGCTTCATGTAAGTAAAGATACGACACTTATCATAAAAATTGTTAATTAAAGTCAATGTTTATGATTTAATTTGATATTTAAGTGAATTATGTAACATATTAACTGATTTATCATTTTTATGTATATAAATGATAAAGTATTAATTATTTTATTATAGCAATGGCGATTATTTCCCTACCTTGCTGCCGCTTCTGTCATTAGGATTTTCATGACGGAATTTACAGAAGTTTACTTAGAAAATGTAGAAAAATCAATGGAAGGAGATAACATTCCAAATCTTGTAAGTATTAATTAAAAATAAAAATTAAAGAGAAAATAATATATATTATTTTTTTTATAGAGTCAAATTGTCGCAGAAATTCATTCCATAGTATCTGTAATTAAACCATTAATCACTTGGACATGTAAGGCTGCTTTGAGTGAATGTAGAGAGGCTTGTGGTGGACATGGTTATCATAAAGGTAAAGCAAAAGTTTACGTAAAAAATAATCAAATGTCTATTTTAAATTATAATAGTTCTTTTTATTATTTTTAGCTGCTAATCTTGGTGATCTCAGTGTAAATCATGAACCAACGGTCACGTATGAAGGAGATAATAATGTCCTTATTCAGCAAACAAGCAATTGGATCCTTCGACAGTGGATGGATGTACAAACTGGTTCTACGATTGGTAGCCCATTGTCTTCAGTTACATTTCTTCTCAAGGGTCCTATGATAATTAAGAGAACATTCGCGGCAACTTGCATTGGTGATGTCAAATCCCTGAACTGTATGTCATTAAAATATTTTTATACAATATTTATTGGTATTATAAATATATTTGTTATTTTATTTAGTTGTGAGAGACTCCTATGAATGGCTCATTACATATCTTGTTATGGAAACACATAGAAAATTTGAAGCTGGCAAAAATCAAGGTCTTGATAGCTCTGCTTCGCGGAGTAAGGCTCAAGTTTATCGTGCGGCTCAACTTTCACGAGCATTTGGAGAAGTATAATATTATTTTGTAATTATTTTCTTGTATCTATTTGAATATTCTAATATTTTTTCATTATTTCAGATGATTATCTTAAAATACTGCACAATCAGATTGGATAAAGTGTTAGACAATAGTGATCATGATAGAAATTTAAGAGAGGTATCGGAAAAGATGATGCTTTTATACTCTCTATCGTGCTTGGAAAAACATTTAGCATCTTTTTATCAAGGTGGTTATTGCTCGGGACCACAATTGGCTGATTTTATCCGAGAAAGTATTTTAGAGCTTTGTGGACAACTCAAACCAGAGGCTGTCGGAATTGCTGATGCTTTAGCACCACCTGATTTTGTTCTCAATTCAGTCCTTGGAATGTCTGATGGAAAGGTAGAATTTTTAATTTTTCGATCAAACCTGTATAAACTTAACCAAATTATATTAATTAATAATGATAAACAATTAAATCTTTTCAGGTTTATGAACGTCTTGAAGAAGTATTTCGTTGTAATGCTGGTGGAATGGAGAGAGCAGATTGGTGGTATGAGCTTCAAACAGCGGGTGAAGTTCCATTAAATCGACCACGTTCGAAACTCTGACGTTAATCATGAATTTTAAATCAAATGAGAATATCTAAATAGACATTTTAATCACACAATCATGTATACGGACAAGAGGGAATATATAAGTTTTTACAATATATTATATTTTTTTCCGCTATCTACAAGCAACAATTATGAAATGTATCACTTGAAAACTAATAAAGCAGGTCTTGATGAATTTTATAAATATAATTGTGCATATAAATATTTATTTCAAAAATTTGCTAACGTATTTTTGTGAAATACATAAAAATTGCTGACTTATCATTGATGAATTGAGAACGTCGATCGTTCATTGCAATGATTGTTGCATAACATCCAACTATTTCTCAATGCCTTCATCAATTGAGAGCAACATTAATTATTATTAAAATAAATAAATAGTATATTTATTTAAAAAACATTAGTAATTAAATACATTGTTGTCGTTTATAAATAAACTTATTCGATTCAATGATGTAAAGAAATGAATGAAAGTCAAAATATAGCTCAACTTCCTGATAACATCTTTAACTTAAACACAACACTTCCTAATTAAATTGGCTAATGCTTTCAATCTGCTGGATTATAAATGAACCCATCAACGTTCTGATCAACAGACACGATAAAGATGTCAAAGAACATAATGTTCACAAATTCGATAATAATTAGTTTTTCTTTAATATTTTTACCCATTGTTTTGGGCTATCCTCAGGATTGTGGATGTCCAAGAGGTCGACCACAAGTTCCACTTTTTTTGTAAGTTTCGTAATTTTTTAATCTAATTAAGATCGGTTACTTAATCAGTATAGAAAATTTTCAATACCTATTTTATTTTTTTTATTTATAGGCAACCAGATAATACTTTGTATTATCAGCAAAACCCTGGCTATTCGACTCAACCTCAAAGGAATCGATTATCTTCCGATCGGTCTTCAGGTGGTTTTTTTCAAGGAATATCTAGATTTGCATCAGGACTCCAAAACTTTGTTGCCAATTCTAGTCCACTAAGAAGAACTAGAGAAGTAAATCTTCCTCACGATGTAAATCTTCAAGATGATGTCGTAGTCAGAGTTACCAGACAGAGTGATAATAATTCTAAGAAACTTCCTGAAACTGAACAGAAAACTTCTGCTTCTCAAGATGAGAAGAATAGTCAAAATACAAAAAATAACAATGAAATGAGTCAAAAAACTGTCAAAAAAATCTCAGGTCCGCCTGTTCCAGGTCCTAGAGTAAAAATTTCAAGAGAACAAAAAATGGCAGCTGACTCTTTGCTTGAACATGAAGTTACTCCAGTAACTAAGCATTCAGCTGAATCTGATATTGAGTTAGATGAAGTAATTCCTGATCCATCTATGCCTGGAGAAGCTAAAAAACAACTTGCAGATAATTCATCTCCACAAGTCATTCATCAATATGCTGATTTCTATAGAGAACCAGAAGTATATTATTACCCTATTAAAAGATATGCAGAGTATGTACAAACACCTGAAAATCAAATTGTCTTAATTCCTCAAGCTATCAATCCTTTTGGACTATTTCGACCTTCATTGAGTTATGAAGATTTAATTAATTTACAAAATTATGGTGCTTATGATTCTGATTACGGGCTAGAAGATGATGTAAATGATTCTAAAGTTAATGATCAAGTAGAGAAACCAATAACAGAAGAAAAAACTCAAGATGTACCTGCTGAAAAAGAATTAAAAAGTGAAGTAGATACACAGAACAAAGAAACAAATAAAAATGCGTCAAAAATAAAAGAAGTAAAAGTAGAAAATTCATCATCAACAAATATGTAAAGTATTTTTAAATTTCATAACAAAAAAGTAGAATAAATGAATAACTTAATGTATTAAATTTTTTGTTATAATTGTAAGATATTTTTTATCACTCTGTATTTAATAAATGAAAGTAATAAATATAAAAATGAATGAAATATTTGTAAACATTTTACATGCATTAAGAAATGAACTAATTTATATGTATCAAGTTTCATTGCGTATCTGATGACATATATTAGTATGCTAAAAAATTGTCAACATTTTTGGTGGTAGGGGTGAAGTGGAAGACGACTTGCATACTTTTTATACGCGTCGAAAATTTAAGAACTTCACTTGTTAATTAATAACTGTCTTTAGTACATGCGCATGATGAATAATATCATCAAGTACGTTATTTTTTATACGTGGGTGTCAGCTGTAATTCAAGTAATAGCATTACCTGCGTATTCTAAAGTGATTGAACCAACAATTAATCATGAAGTTATATCTGAAGAAAACATTCACACCGCTTCTAATGAAGAATCTAACAATGAAGAAGCAGAAGTGAATCGAAGTAAAAAATCTACAACTTTTTGTATTGAAATCAAGTCTGGAACTCCTGAATGTGTTCCTTGTCAACCAGTTCATATGGAAGCTCAACCTCAAGTGATATATATAACTGATAATAATACTTCTTCGAATTCTAATTTGATGAACAATACAGTTTTCCAACGAAGGAATGAAGTACTTCTTCCTTCAGAATCTTGTGAAAATGAAGATACCTATGTGATTATATCAACACCAGCAGCTAAACCAGTCGTTTCTATGGTTCAAGTACCAGTTGTTCTTTCAGTTCCACAACCACCTCGAATGATGTTAGTAAAAAAACCATATATAGAAGAACATTTTCCAGAGTCATTAAATAAATCTCAGGTACAGATACAACTATTGACGCCAGTTGAATCATTGCCAATAAACGATCAACAGTTTCCTCCATCGTTCCAATCTTCAGATATATATGATCTTACAAATCCAGAATTTAAATTAGTCGAACCTTTGAAGGATCAGGGAATAAATGGCAATTTAGGATTTGGAGTTGAAGCTCCAACTCAATCTCCTTTTCTACAACCTTTAGAATACCAATACACTGGTCCAAATTTTGGAAACGAAGCTGTACCACAACAGCATCCTTCTTCGATTGGATCATTAGAAAATGATGAAGTAAATACTAATTTTGAATTTGGACTTGAAATGCAAAATCAACCTCCTTTTCTGCAACCTCCAGAACACCAAAATATGGGCCAAAACTTTGCAAACAGTGCTACACAACAGTATTCTTCTTCAATTGGAATTGATCAGAATTATGGATCTAAAGTCCAGCATCAGCCACCTTTTATGATTAATCAACAAGGACCAGCGCTTAATACAAGAGTTCAGCCACTTCAGCAAAATCTGCCATTATTGAACGATTATGCATCTGGATGGAAGTTTGCTAATGGAGGAGTTGGTCAACTGCCAATTCAAGACCCTGTTCAATCACAAAGACCAGTTACTGATTTTCAAACGCAACAAGGCTATTTAACTAACATGGTACGTAATCCTTAAAATTACTTTCTGTTAAAAATATTTTTAATATAGAAAATAATAAAATTCATCAATTACCTTTTATTTGATAAACTTTATTATAATTATCTTTTATTCTAAACAATTACTTTTATAAATTTGAAGAACAATATTAAAACTTACATATTTAAAAATATTTTCACCAATTTCCAGAATTTTGTTATGGGACAAGATGGTATGGGTTATCTTGTACCAGTGATGATGAATGGAAACCCACAACTTTGTTTCCAACCTGAGCTTACAACTAATCCTCCATTAGATAACATTCATCAACAATCTTCGACACCACAACAAAAATTATCAACTTCTGATACTCAACAGTCTTCATCTATCATCAAGCAATCTAGAGAAATAAAAAATTCTAAAGAAACTTTAGAAAGTCCAGAAGTGCAGACAACAGTAGCACCTATAAAGTCTGGTCTTAAATCACAGCAAGACGTTAAAGGGAAAAGTGGGCCGTCGAGCCAATTAAATCATTTAAAAGGGTCATCATCACTCTCTAAATCTAAAACTTTAGGAAAAGGGCAAAACAGGGACAGTAAAAATAATGAGAAATTAGAGTTAAGACGAGGAATTAAGAGAGAAACTGAAATTTCAGTAGATAAATAATTATGTTAAATTATAGTTTGTTTTTTATGTTTCATAAGTACCAGATATTTTGTAAAAAATTTTACTTAATAAACCGGAATTAATATCTTATCTTTTTCTATCTAAGTATTTTTATTATTTTATTAATGTAAATTAATAGTTATTTCATTATATTGTGATGAATAATGATGGTCTTAGAATACCAAAAAGATTGAAATATCTAAGTATCTTCTACATCAGCGTAAATTATGACGTTTTTTATGATTACTTTAATTTAAATAATGAAAAATGATTTTAAAATATTCATTATTAACTGACTGCTATTGTGAAATCATCAGATAAATGCGTCGAATGACGAAATAAAATTTCGTCGGAACGTAAAAATAATCATACAGTAGAATGAATTTTTTTATCGTTATTATCAATGCTTCAATATTATCCATAAAAAACATTGATACTATCACTAGATTTCTCCATTTGATGTAAGATATATTTAAGAGTTGGATCATTCGTACTCATGTATTAAGATCAACAGTATTTTTCGAATACACTGCATTTCCATCAGTACAGCTATGGAATTTATTTTAAGATTTCAAATCTTTTTGTTTATTTTTATTGGATTTAATTGGATTGTTGAGTGTAAAAGTGAATTAAACTTAACAAATACTTATGAAGATGACACTGAAGACTATCAGATTAATGGAAACCATTTTATCTATGAAGACGTTGGAGTGATACCAGAATATTCAAATTATGAAGATCATGAATATGAAACTCTAGTAGCTGAAAAAATAACTGACAGTAATCGTCAGCATAAAATGCAAGATGATATACTTGGAACTTCAAAAAGTATCATTGGTGGACCTACAGGGAATCAATGTCCTCCAGGATATCGACCGGATAGCAATGGAAAGTGTAGAAGACCTATGGGTTAAAGTGCAGTTCAACTTCAGCCTTCAATAAATACTGCTGTTTCAAAACCTAAAACATCATTTAAAAGTTGTTAAATACTGTAAATTTTTTTTTCATATGATAATTTTATATCAATGAGAATTTACTTAGAACTTTATTAATTCAAATAATTGATATGGACTTTGTTCAATAATTGAATGTATAAATAAAATTATCTCTAATTTAGTAATAATTGAATAATTTTATTGTTCCAATTCACTTTATTCTTCATTATAATAGATAATATTATTTGGTGAAATTAGTATGCTTAAACATTTCTGATACGTAATAAAGTTGTTTTTTTTATTCAAATTTAAATAAGACGTAATTGTGATGTTCCTCATTATTAAAAAAAAAATCCAAATTTACATAATAACCTATTATTATAAGAATTCTTGAAACTTTATTTTAAGAAATTATAAAAATTACCCGATCAAAATGTTATAATTTCTTTGATACTATTTGACAGTGTCAAAATTTATGTGTTAAGTTAAATATTCATGGGAATAATAAAGAATATATTATAAGGTATTCATAACCTCGAGATCCTTGAATTTTGTTTAACTAACTCATTAAAATGTTCGTTGATTTTAATTTTACATTATGGTGTAATGTTTAGAGAACCTTCAGGGAAATTAATAGATGCTTTTTGCAACTTTAAGTATTTTAATAAATTTTAGACCTGAATATATTTATACTTTATAAATCATGTTTACAGTTGTTTTCATTGAAAGTGAGATTTATTTAGATTTAAAAACAATTATATGTTTTAATGAAGTAATTAAAATAAACTATGTATACGAAATAAAAAGCAAAATATAAAAATTAAGAAAAAAAAGAATCAGAGTACCCAACAGCTTGATTCAGGAACGCTAGTGTTTTTTATTCATTTGGGATGATTTTTATGACGTTTAGATAATAATTAAATTCCACGAGAAGCTTCGGAAAATCAAGGGAAAAGGTTTTATAGTGAGATTCTTCAAGGTAGCATAAGTTATTCTTTTGTGTATATATACCATAATTTGAAAGATAGAAAGGGAGAATGGTTAGTTTGTTTTGAGTTGCTGAAGAGTAAAGATCTAACATTTTTTACATTTCAAAAAATTGCTTAAATTTCAGTTATCGAAATTTAAAAATATTACAAATAAATAAATCAAGTGTAACACTAAAGTATGTTATAGTTCTAACGAAATAATTAAATTAGATTATTTATAATTAATTATTAACATTAATTAAAAATGTTTCAGTCATGGAAGCAGAAAAAGAATTTGAACCTTCAGCAGATGTTGATGCAGAAGCTCAAAATATTGATGAAGTTGATGAGACAGAAGAAAATAAGCCCACGTCAAGAGCTAAAAGAAATGTTATCACGACTCCTACATCTTCAGGTGGTTCAAATTAAAAACTAAAATCAATATTAATGACTCCAATCTCAATAATATTACAACAAAAATGTAACGATCATCATTTATTTCGGCTTAGATTTATAGACAAAAAGTTACTAATCACTTTATCATTGCCATCAGGTATGAACATTTAATTTTTTTTTACCAGAAAAAAAGTTTTGTTTAATCTGTCAATTTCATTCTTCATCAAAAATTAAAATGAATTATCTCATCAGTGTTGTAATTAAAATAATCCTTTTATGTCATACTAACTAGAACTTTTGGCAGATGTTTTTCAAAAATATCCAATTAATCAAATTCAAATATATGAATACTTAACATTATATTATATGAGAGAACCATTTGTATAAATAAAGTAATTTCAGCATTACCTATAAAATGACAGAAAAAAACCTTGAGAATGATCAGTTCACAAATCATCTTTAAAATTGAGTGAAATTTGTTAATACATATTTTCATTTGACGAAATGTACTCCAAACGTCAATATCACATCGTTTTTTCATTGTTAATAATTGTATTATTTGCCATATTTGTAACTGGACAATCCATAGCGTCCGAGGAAATCAACCAGGGTACGTTGATGAATTCCAATCCATCAAGAAACCAAATTGAAGTATCATTGAAAATGTTCCGACTACAGCCTAAAACGACTTCAGAACGTAGTATAATGAGTAGAATATTGATATATCCAAGATCTATGTAAGGTAAATAAAAAATTCTTAACATTCTGTGCCTACTACACTTGGATAGGAAACAATTAAATCTTCAGCTAATTGGTTGACAATATAATGAATACTGTAAATTCATTACTCAAAGAAAATTTAGAAATAGGCAAAACCAAAATGTTGTAATATATATTTCAAGGTGATATCGATTATATATTTTGTGAATACCACGATTTAAAAAGCAGAAGCGTCAGTTTATTTCAAGCTGCTGAAGAGTTTAGATCTAACACTGCTAATATCAAATAGATACGTGATTTCTACGTTCTACCAATGATTTTTAACCAAGCGCATCGCCCAATGATAAGATAAATGTGAGTCAAGTATTTACATTTCTGACAATTAAAGAATTATCCCATCAGTATTTAACGGCTAGCCACGACCTAAAAAACCTCAGACATGGAGGTAATTCCTATAGAGCAAAGTTTGAAAGAAAGTGAATGTGATACTCCACAAAAAAATCCGGAATCAAATTCGAAGAAGGACGAAGTCGATCAAACTTGTGGAATGGAGGAAAATAAACCAAAACGCAGGACTAAAAGAAATATTATTATTGCTCCAACGGCTCATCCTAACCCATGTAAACGTCAAGATTCAAAAGGGAAATGGAGATTCGTTGCCTAACAGCTTTCCCACGACTACATACTGAATACTTCTGGAAATAAAAGTCTTTGTCAGTTGTTTACCTGCGATTGCCAGTCGTTCACGTGTTAAATATTTTATCACATTTTCTCCGAGGCTTTAATTACACACTTCCTGCATCTTAAAGATCACTTTTCATCATAGGAATGTTATATTAATTACTAATACTTTTTTTTTACTAGTTATTAAAGGAAAATAACCTCATTTGTATATGATTAATTATCAAATCTTGTAATAAATGTAACATTAATTAATATTTTGTGAAAGTAATAATTAAAATAAATGTAACAATGTTATTTGATTGTATGTTGCAAATATATAATTGATTAATAATAAAAAAAATTATTCACCATCTTCATTAGTAAAACGTTGACCTATACCTTTTCCCCTCAATCGATCATGATCTTGTAAGGCTTCAAGGTAAGATGATGATCTTGTGAGTCCGGTTTAGTTTACCACGCGTTAATGCATACGTATGTTTTAATGTAAATGTACCTCAGAAGCAAAGATGCTTTCATACATACAATTAATCTCATATTGGCCGTTAGTTTGTGTTCGAAAATAATCTATCAATAGACCGTAAGAGACTTAGTTTATAAGATACACGTCTGTGGTAAATATTGAGATAAGCTCTAAGTCTTATCTATTGATGCATTATTATCTTTTTTCTTAAAAATTATCGTGAGTACGACATAAAATTGATTGTGACAAGGTCTTTCTAGTCTAAAAGTGAGAGCCAAAGAACAATGGCAGATCCAACAATTCAAACTTTTTGTTGTCGGCATACGAATAACACTGATATGGGAGTAATTATTATGCAAGAATTCAATACAGATGTTTATAATACTGTTTGTATGTTTTCATCTGCCATGGGAATATTTGGAGCGGTTTATCAGGTATTTCAACAATTTTAAATATATTGGTTCAAATGAATGATTTGGTGATGTTGAATTTTAGATTCTGCCAAGAGAAGAAGCATCACATCAACATCGTTGGCAAAGTTTTTCATCTTCTCGTGGACGTCAAATTATTATTTGGCTTGCAATTTCTGACTTATTTGCATCGTTAGGTATTCATAAACAAATTTTAAATATTTCAAGTAATTGAAAACAACTCAATTAGCGATAAAATTAGGTTAATGGCGTTTATAAATAACGTTAACAAAATACAATAAAGTTCGAGGATATTTTTAAGCATTAATCTAAATAAACTGATTAAAATATTTAGCAGCAATGAATGATAAAAAAAAATATGTTATTATAGGAGTATTTATCAGATCTGCACTTTGGATAAATAATAAAACAATAATCCCAACCGAAACAGATACTAAGAGTGTAGTTTTTTGTACAATTTCATCGGTAAGTCAAGAAATATTATTTTATTAAGAATCAGAAGGAAATGTCACCATAGTTAAGTTTTTCAGGCTTGGATACAATACTTTTATATGTCCACATGGATATGGACCCTTTGCTATGCTATTGATATGAGACTTCTTCTAGGAGAAAAAACAGGAAAACCAATCTGGTATCATGCAGCTGCTTGGGCTTGTCCGGCAATTCTTACGACATTTGGTTTGGCTATTCTTTATATTCCAGATGCAAAGTAAGTTCATATATCTGTTAGCATATTTCTAAATTGATTAATTAAAAAATTACTCTGATGACATAATTTTAGCTGTCATGAGTCAGTGTCAATGAACCTAGCAATTTTCCGGATTCTTCCTAATTATTGTGCTACGTATGTTCTTCTAACAGCTGTTATGATTGTGAATCCTTTATTATATCTCGCCTCAACGAAAGATCTACAAAATGCGGTGACTTGTAGTCTTGCTCAAGTGACTGGCAGAGAAAGAAAACTCGTTCAAACAATTAAAGTGAAGTTTGCTTTAACGAATCTTGTGTATTACATTTGTTGGATTCCTAATTTAATCAATGGAATTTTATTGTGGACGTTATGGTTTCATTTGCCAGTGAAAGTTATTATTACTTTATGGTATATAATGGTACATCATTAACAAATTACATTAAGTATCCAAAAATAATGAAAAACTATACCATCTAAATAATTGAAATGTTGAAATATATCTTTCAGGCCGTTACAAATCCTCTTCAGGCGTTTTTTAATGCTCTAGTGTATCAGAGATGGAACCGAAAAGAAAAATTTGCATTTTGGTGTAAAAAATTGTGGAGATTTAGAAGAGGAAATTCGACAAATAATTCTAGTAATGAAATGGATGAAGTCACACCATTATTAACTCCACATTACGAATATTATACACCCCACACAAGTATCAATGGTTCTTCATCAATTTAAAAACTGTGATATTTTAAACATAAATCACAAAATATTTTTTATCAAATTAGTATATATAAGAAGGCAACGCTTTAAAATTGTTTAAATATAACAAATTTATATTTTTTATTGTATTTTTCATAGATCCATTATTCATTCAAATTTTTCTATTATTTTTATTTCGTTCTGTATTATAATTTTATACAGGTACATAAACCATCATTGTTTTCATTATTCTATATTTATATACAGTATAGTACTCAATCACACGATATTATAATTCATACAAATATTATTAATAAAACGTAATTTTTTATCAATTATTTTTAGTTTTTGCAAAAAATATTAGTTGCAAAGTTTATAATGTAATTATATTTCAAAATAATTTTAGCACCTTCGAAGTTTTTATATTCTAAACATTATGATTTTTTAAAAAATAGTATCTTGATATATTTTCATTAAATAAAAGACTCATTCATACACCAGCTTTATCATCAATTTGTATACAAACTATTTTCGTTACGAAATTGACGAAATACACTTATCATCGCTCAAAATAATGATATTTACATCTTTAAAAGTTTAGTAACAAAAATCGATGTATGTAAAAAGGGGTAAAAAGTGAATACAGAAATTATTATCAAGGTCAAGAGGTTTGTAAAATTTGATAAATTCAGGAAGATTTTAATAAAAATTGTCATGGTTTTAACCAAAACAAAATCTGTTTATGATTAATTTGGTAAAATTAGTCATTATAATGCCGCACATAAGTTATAACTATCATTTGATTATCTGATTAATATTATGCTAATACTAAATTATTGAAATAACGTAAAATAGCTTGGAGTTCTTAGTAGATTTAAAAAATAATACTTTAAAATAATCTCACTTAAGTAAAAGCAATTCTGCTGTGAAACTTTAGAAAATGTAATAATAAATTCATTGTAGAGATAATTTTGGCACGAGACTGTTCTCGATTTTTGTTTTTATAACGTACGGCAGCTGTTATCTTGAAAGACAATATTAAGGCGGAAGTTCTGGTACCCCAAGAGTCAAAGATGTTATTTCTCGAATTATCATTTCAGCTATTTTCCAAGCGAGTTCTTCTTTTGCCTATCAATTCAATCATAATTATATCATTTCTGATTACATAATCATGTTTAAGAAATTTTTTATCCTTTGTTCTGAACTGATTGAATGTATAGTGACAACTTTTTTCGAATAAAATTTTTACAAAAAAAAAACAAAACAAAACGCATACTCATAAAAGTTATTAATAAATAATTTCTTTTAATACTCACCTTATCTTCTTCTAAATGTATAAGCCTTCTTACTGCTTTTGATAACCGGGATTCTGAGGATAATTATTAGTTTTTATTATTTAGTTCAAGAACAATTGATAATTTTTAAACATTAAATAAAAAATTATCTTACCGTATTTACGGCGAGGATCTGGCTCAATTTCTGTGACAAACCTCCCCATATTATCAACGTAACCAACACTCAGGCTGTAAGAATAAGTATTATAAAAATTATTTGATTTATTGATAACCTTGTAGATGAATTAGCTATGAGTCTTTTTTATTGCATAATATTATAATAAAAATTCATTAAGATTATGGTGATAATTTTAAAAATGATTTAAATACTTGATTAAATAATTATTCATACTTGTATTTGTTGCGTTTCCACAATGAATCAGGATCATAAAGTTGCCTAGTGTCAATATTCATGCTCCCATTAATGGTAGTATCTCGTGATGATCGATTTCCGTCTTCATGATTACTTGTTTGTGAAGTATCATGAGTACTCATACTGAAAATACTCACTTCACTACTACAATCTGATCCTAAATAAAGAAAATATACACGAATGAAGCACTTGTAGGTTTTAATGATACAATTATTACAAAAATAAATTTACCTGCTCTCTTTAACCGTTGATGAGATTGTGACGCACAAGCACCACTTTGAACTGTGCTTATTAATTCTGATAAGTATTTGTAATATAATTGGGAAGATAAGAAGGCAGGTAGATAGTGCTAGAATGATAAAAAAATTGATAAGAATTTCATGGATATATCCACACATTTATATTACATTAAGCAAAACTCACTTTACTCAAAAAGTTATATACAATGATGCTCGGTTTGTCGAAGCAATCGGACTCAGGACCATTTCCTCCTTCACGACAAATATTCTGTTCAACTTCAAATCGTATTTTATCAGTAAAACCAAGCGGCATCGTTGCTTGTAAAGAAAAAAATCTGGAAAATAAGATCATTATTAAGATAAGTATGACATTTTTTTTCTCATAATTGTAATATTTGTTACCTTTCATATATTATTAAAGCATCAGCTTGAGCTTCCGCTGGGTCAGTATCCCTTTTTTCTAAGAAATTCTGCTTATAATTTACCACAGACATCCAAAAGTCTAGTAATTCTCTTTTATTTTCTAGTTCTATAAACTAAGAGTTTTAATTTTTTTTAATAAATTTGTGTATTTATAATTTTCAATATATAATAGTTTAATTAATTTTTTTTTTATAAAATGTTCTTCACGTGTTTGTGTGTCAGTGATATTATAACTTTAATTGCTTTGAAGTTTTGGAAATTAATAATAATGATTATGAACTCAATGTCATTAGTTGCTATTGATGCATTGATAAGATAAAATAATTCTTTACAATAACTTTTACGTGGCATTTAATTATTCTATCTAATAACCATTATTTCAAAATATTTATGCATGGAATTCAATGCTTTTATTTATTATTAAATTTATTTTATATAAGATTTTTTTTAATCTATGTATTCGTTGAAGCTTCATGTTTTAAAAAACAAAACTATTTTATTCTAATAAAATTATTTTATAATTTCAGAGCCATTTTATTCTTAGAAGAATAATATTTATGACTAGATAACGATTACTTGTGACTTCAGTCATATCGTCTACTTCGTAGAATAAATGATAACGAAGTAGTCAATATAACTGAGTTTATTCAGTATATTTACCTCCATAAAATAGAAAAATGCAGTTTCGTTGAAAAGAATATCTGCCAGTTTTACATCACCACTTGTTAAAACATCAATCTGATGCTTACAATGAAATTCGCTTCGTAGGAAGTCATCGATGTATCTGAAATAATTAATTGAATGAAGACCAATTCTTGAGTAATTGAATCACTTAGTCTCACATAAGTATCTAATACCAATTATTCACTCACTCTTCTTCTAAAACTTTATAAACTATTTTCTGTGTTATTAATAAATTTTTGATCAAAGCCACAGTGTTCTGATTAGTAAAAGCTTCTTCTATTTCTGCTTTAAAAGCCGGAGTAATTTCATTTATTTTTAACGTATCTTTAACAATGTATTTTTTACAGAGTCTCAAAGCATCTTGAATCACACTTGATATTTCTCCTGGCTCTTCACTTATACTTTTGCAATTAGATAACCGACTAATCTTTGGTTCTTTTATATTCATTTTTGAATCATTCATATTTACAGACTTTAGATTGTTCACTTCATCTTTATTACCATTTATTTTCATTTCTTCCTGAAAACTATTGTCATTACTATCGGATTTGAATAGATCCGATGTATTCTCATTGATATTGATATTAATTAAATCATTATATTCATTCGAAGCTTCTTTAACACATTCTACTTCCATCCAAAATTTTATAAGAGCTAACTTTCCACGGCTCTCCATAAATTGAATAAAATAGCCTAGAGCTTCCTTATCAGCTAAAATTTCTGATAGTGTTTTAGATAGCCTTGAACGGGCTGATGAAATTTCGACTTTTAAGCTATCCCGAATATCTTCGTCATCTTCTTCTTCTTCTTCCTCAAGACTCCGAGGTGGTATAGATCGAGATAGAGAACAACCAACTACCAAAGCATCACTTCCACCAGACTTATCAGAGCTCGTAGATTTGGCAGGAGAGCTTTGAGATTTTGTTCTGTTTCTTGTGCCTGTGTATTTGATTTAATTATTTGGACGGATTAACGCGTGATTTAGGTTATGTACAAATGTTATTTATTTTAAGACAATCAAATATTATTATGGAATGTAAAATAAATGAGTAATCTAGTTACCTGATCTCTTAAAAAATTGTAACATCATTAATCACAAGTAAAACCATTGTACACAAAGCTGTATACATGTCAAGTCTAACTTCTCTGACGTATCCACGCAACAAGATGAATCTTTTGTAATTCTTGTTTTATAAACAGAATTTAAATTAGTTATTCTATAATATTTTAATAAAAATAATATTATTAGAACCTTGATATTTATTTTTTTAATTCAATTACGTGCAACAAAAAAGATTTATGTATTTTGGCAACATTTTTACAATCAACTGTCATACATTTCATTGCACAAGAACTCTATTTTTTTCTCTCATGCAACATATATCGATATTCGACTCTCTCGAAACATTCGAGACAACAATCGATTATTCAAATCAAACCGCCATTTGTTTTTATTTTAATCCTTTTTTATACAAGTTTATTGTAATGAAATCATTTTATGTAAGAGCTCAAGAAATTAGTCTTATTTATTTTAGAACTTTTTTAGCTTTCAAGCTGATATTTTACATTCAACTTTATTATTATATTATAGATAATAAAATAATTGAATCAGAACACTCTGAAAAAAACGATTAAACATAAAAAATAATTTTTTTTAAACGAAAAATATGAAATTAATTAAAAATGAAATATTGCAGAATTTTTCAAGAAAAAGATTAATCTAGTTACATTAATTGACGTTAAAAAAAGTTCAATAATAGTAATAATAATTTTTTGTAATCAATGTTTCATTTTTCTAAATGAATGGATTTGATCTAACATTGATCGATTTTTTTTGCAATCATGCAAATTATTATTTTGCTTTGAAAAACATTATCTACTAAGTACTTATGTTTTATGATTTATAATGCAATAGAAACTGGAATAATAGACAAAAAAAGAGATAAACATACGTTTTTTACAATTTTTTATAATTTGCATATCATGAAGCATCGACATCTAAAAAGATCAATGTACAGGAGTATAAGGCCAATGTCCGGTCGATCGACCAATACCTCGATGAATCTGTGCGTCTTTATTCGTTCGAGCCACGTAGTGACCTCAGGAGAAGAGCAAAAATACCGGTTCTCTGGCAGAAATAGCTAACAATATTGCCTCTTCTTTCTCCTTCATGACAGTCACTCTCACTCAGTGGTGGAAAGAAGCAGCTAAGACTTTTCTACAATAAATTCGTTCCAGTTATTATCAAGTTTCAAGTAGCAAGTTTACATTGATCATGTACAGTACCAGGAAGTTGTTTTTTCCATTACTGATTGGATTCTTCCTTCTAAGTCAATCTGAAAGTTCTCCTGCTCATTATGATCAGCGTCAAACAGGCGATCTAAACGTAGATGTACATTTCAAAGATGTTCAAATTGTTGCTTTGGTAGATGGTGATTTGTTGGATTATGATCTGGTACGAGCTTACCTTTATAAAAAAAATTTATTGAAAAATTGAAATTTATCTATCATGGTATATCTTTTGCAGGATTATAATTATTCATATGATTATTCTGACTTCACCATCAAACCAATCACCAAGCCAACAACTTCTTCACATTCTTCTACTGTAAAACCATGGGTTACTTGGCCAACTATTCCACCTTCGTCATCTTCATCATCATCATCATCATCATTATCATTTTCTTCACCATCTACTAAATCGCCTGTTTCTTCGAGTGCTGAAATTCCTTCGACAACATTGCCATCACCATTTTCATCTTCTGATGCATCATCAACTGAAGCATCTACAGCCACAAGCAGTCAAACATTTTCAAAATCTACCAATGCTGATCTCTTAGCAATAGACCGTAATGAGCAATCTTCAAAACCTCCCACCAAACGATGTCCTTCAGGATACATCTTAGACAAAGGACGTTGTAAAAAAGTTCTACGACGAAGATTAGCATTCTTTCCGTAAGTATCTATGTTTTTTAACTCGAATGATTAATTGTCATGAAGATGAAAATAATGTGATCATTATTTCAACAGGTTGGCAGTAAAATTAGCTCCAAAAATGAATCAAGAGGGTACTAGTAAAGATCTCCGTGTAGCATCTTGGATATCTACAAGTGTTTAAAGTGGTAATTAATAAAAATTTGGTAGATAAAGATTTTAAACACATGCAAATTTTTAAGTACTATCTTGAAATGCTTGGCTTACTTAATAGCCTTGATCATCGCGGACCTTGACCTCATCGTCTTTCTCTCTCTTTCTTGCAATCTCAAGAGTAACGGATCTTAACCCTGATACTTTTCTCATATGTGCTCAGTCGTCTTTGCTCCTTGATCACGTCATCATGCAGTTCTTAATCGTGTTTTCTGTGCTCTTCAGCATCTTTGAAGTTTCATTATCAGCCCCTACGAAGTACGATCAACGTCAAGATGGAAAAGTAAACGTCCATGCAAAACTAGAAAACTTTCTTATTATCATCGCACCATCAAGTGGTCCTGCCGATCCATCTTCAGGATCCAATAGCGTCGAGCTTTCATTTCCTGGTGTATTAGCTGAGGCCTTTGACTTCAAAAGAAATCTACTGAAGAGCGTTGCTAAAGAAGATAAGAAAGATAATTCAGAAATGACGTCCAGCAAAGAGATATTGAGTCAATCCATTGATGATCAAGATATTACACACTCTGATCCTAGTAATAAAGTAAATGGAGAAGACATTCAGCATACAGATGAATTGAAACTTATTGGAGATGCTATTGAAAACTGCGGACCAGGAAGACGTCGAGATCGCTTTGGAATTTGTCAATCCATCTCAGCATTTGAAAATTAACTTTCTTTTATTAAATCTAACTTTTATTGTTTTTCATGTTATAATATCTCTTATATTTGATATGTACTATCAGCCAAAATAAACTTAAAAATGTATGTTCGTTTAATAGCTAGTGATTATCAAGAATTTATCGTGGTTGATTTTCATGAATTTGCTATAAAAATTTTATAGTTTACATTATGTAGTTTGATAAGTTGTCATGTATTAGAACATTCGAATTATACGTCTATTCGACTAAGTAAAAATATTCGAAATAACATTGAACATCAATAATTTATATATTCTCCAATAATCTATTAAATAATAATTATTATGAAGCTACTAATGGTTTTTTTTGTGTTTATTAATATCCTCAAATGGTCAACTTTTGCAGAATTAGAGTATAAAGGTAATACGCAATAAATAGTTACAACATATTTTTATTCCTTAAAAATATTCATGAAATTTCAAGCTCTCGAGATTTTCAATTCTACTGAAAACCTTGAACGACATGATGAGCTTCGACTTCTTGGAAATGGTATAGAAAATTGTGGTCCTGGAGCTTTTCGTGACCAGTATGGGATGTGTCGATTAGAAAGTAATCTGAACGATTAAATGATAAAATTTGTTATATGCATAATTTAATTGTATATCATGCAACTATGCTGTTTATTTAGCATGTAAAATTAAAAATAAAAATGTTTAAGTACATATTGCGTGATTCTTTAAAAATTTCAAGTTCACGGCAGGTCTTTGAACCTAAATGTTTGAGTGCAGCGATCGGAAGTGACCGAAGGTAAGAAGAGAGTGGGGACAAGACCCGTGGAAACAGGATAGCACGGTCTTCATCTTTCGTAGTCCTTTGACAACGTTGTGACAAGTAAGACTGTTTCTTCGTTAACTTACAATGGTATTTATAATCAATATGAGGGTCTTTAAAACAGTTTTCACTGTGACGTTGACACTTTCGAGCATAGTGAGTGCTGGACCAGCTTCATTTTTACGAGTGGAACATAGAACATCTGATGATGACGGTCCATCTCTTGCTATGGACACTCCTAATAGTTCTGAAACTCCAGCAATATTAAAAGAAGACACTTACGATCAAAGACAAAACGGCACAGAAAATTATCGCATTCACGTGGATGGTTTAGTTTTAGTTGTTGCTCCTGTAGAAGGACTTCTTCTCGCTGGTGGAATAAATAATGATTTATTTTCGGGACTAGGATCTACTTCTCAAGAAAAACCTGAACCTAGACCAGACCCATCAGAATTTTCAACACTCAAACCCATAGAAGATAAACCTTCTAATGAACAAAAACCTGAAACTTCAATCAAAAAATCAATGTACAAGTAAGTTAATTATTGAGTTGATTAAGAAACATTTATTACTTTTTATTTTTTTTTTAGGCCTAAATTGAGATTAATAAATCTTTTGGCTCCATTCCTGAGAAAAATTGCACCACAGTAAATATTCATCTTGGCATTTGATGATCAACAAACTAATTCATCATCTTATTAAAATGATATTTATTCATTCGAAAATTAAAATACAGACAGATGTTTGTAAGCATCTCAATTTCATTAATTTATATTATTTTCTCTTTTTATATTCATGCATTTCATAGTAAAAAAATCCCTAAGATCTAAATATCTGTACAATTACTGGCAGAATAATATAACTCGGGACTTTTAAGATTACCTTAAAGTCTGGAGAATTAAATCTATATTACAATTTATCTAATCATCTGTCTAAGTTCTATTAATTTTTAAGTTAATTAATTGATATAATAAAAAAAAGTTTAATGGTAAAAAAAGCAAATTTTTTTCTTTTTTCGATCCAGCCAAATAGAATAACTTATCTTAAGAAGTGCAAAGGTAAGCGTATTTTTAAGCCGTAATCAACTTAGGAATCCAAGAGATCATTTAAGCTTAGCGTCGATTGTCCAAGGAAATATAATAATAGACTAGAATTCTATGTAAACAAATGCTTCAGAGGACGGGAACTGCTGAACCATTTTGATTGCGGATTAATTGAACATTCCTCGTTGTTTAGGAAGAAATAATTTCATTCTAGAAAATTAAGAGTATTATCAATTGTTGTAAAATTTTCATGATATTTTTACAAATAATAACTAGATAATTTTTTTACCTCTTTTATTGGCCTGCAATTATTGGAATTACTTTTATCATTATGACACTGTGAATTCAAATCATTGTGTGTATTTTTTTTAAATTCAATCAATTCTTTGACTTCAACTGCTAGTTTTCCCTCTAACTCACATCTAAAAATTTTAAATGTATTAAAAATAATTTTCATATATATTGCTGAATAAATAAGATAAAATGTTTACTTTTCATCCCGTAGTTCTCGAATACAAGTGTCATTATCCAACTGAATGATTCTCAATACTTTAAGAAGTTTAGTCACAAAATTATCAACATCAATAACTTGATCAACAAGATTGACAGCTGTACAATAATCAGCAGTTGGAACCGTTACATCAGTGTGTCCAGTAGTTTCAGATTCACTAATGGACTCACATTCGTCATCATCTTCTAAATCTTCGTTTTCTTCAACTCTTCGTCGGTTCAAAATGGCTTGAGTTAAATTTGTAAGACTAGAACATTCATCATTTCTACATAAAGTAGAAGGATCGTCAGTTATAGGCTCTGGCACACTTAAAGCTCGTCTAAGAGAATCACTACTTGACACCATGTTTCTTGAGTAAGTGTCAGGCAGGGGCACATCTTCTAGAACACTTTCCATCATAAGACAAGGCTCTGTTTCAAAATCAAGAAGATCTGCTGATGACTCCATACTTAATTCTTTAAATAATTGTTGCTTAGATGCTTCTGTAGATTTTTTTGTTGTGGGTCGAAGAACGAATGGATGTGTTGCAGCATTTCTAATAGCACCAATAACAGCAGAGACAAAAGAATTTTGTTTAGGACTTGGTGAGAAATCTTTAAAACTATGCTGCTTGGAACTTATTGGACTAGATTCACCACTACTATTACTTCTACTGTAAGCTTCATTATGGTACACAACATCTTCTAGATCTTTTTCAGAAATATTATAAGATTTAACAAGTTGCTCCACAAGTGCTTCTAATCGAGATCCAAGCCCTGAAAGTGCAACGGCAGCTCCAGAAACAGCAGCTCCTTGTGTTAATAGTAGTTCTCTGCTTTTACGTTCGATAGTATTTAATTTCATTTCTAAAGATAAATTTTCTTGGCGCCTCTGTTCACTGATTCGAACTAAATGTTTACATTCTTCTGTTTTTGTTTCCAATTCTTCAGTTATATGGGCCAATTTTTCCTCTTTCTCTTTCAAATCTGCTTCAACTTCTTTCATAGCTTCAGCCATGGCTGTTTTTTCTAATTGTAAAAATTCTTGAAGTTCCATTGTTTCTGCTTCAACTTCTTGTTGATGCTGTAAAAGTGCTTTTTGTGCAGCTAAACTTTTCTCCAAATCACGATTAAGAATTCTACAGAGTGATTGAAGATCTGCAATTTCTACCTGCTGATTAGCAACAACTTGACCAGATTCTTGGAAGTGTGATTCAAGCTCTAAAAGACTATCACTGCCTTCAGAATGTTCTGAAGCTGGAGTACCGAGAATAGCAAGAATTCTCTCAGCGTTATTTCGCAATTCTTGTTTGGCAAACATATGATCTGCACGCTCTTCAGTCAAAAGTTGTTCAGTTGTTATTAATTTAGTTTCTAATTTTTCTTTTTCTTGCTGTAAACTTGCTATTTCTGCTTCGAACTTTTTTACTTTATCTTGAACACTCTTTAACGTTTCTTCAGAAACATAAATAGCTTCTGTTTGACAATAGTTTTCAATTCTATCAGGAACGTCTGGTCCATAAATTTTAGTCGGTAAACCTGCTAAAACATGTTCAATATCCTGCCCAGTTAAACCAGTCTGAACGCTTGTTTCATGATATATAAGAGTTCTCTCAGGATACTTTGTTTTGGCACCACAATGTGACAGACTTTTTTGATGAACTAGTGTAGATTCTCGTGAGTTAACTCGTTTTTTTGACTTATCAGTTCTTGTAATACTTTCATCTCTCGACAATGTTTTTCTTAATTCTTCCGGCTTAGCAATACTCATTCTACCTTTATTTCTTCTTGGCATTGTTGCATAAGTATCTAATGTTTTATTTTCCATGTTTTTAATTTCATTGGACTTTTTAGTATCCTGTATTGAGCGAGTCAATGTCTTATTTATTTTTGGAGTAGATAATGATTTTCGACATTCTTCAGAAGGAGTTGAGCTTGGTGTGGTACGTTTTTGAGATGCTGATGAAGGACATCGGGATAAACTGGAAATAGTTCCTCGACCCCTTTGTGCTAAATCTTTGTCAATTTCTTTAGCCAATGCTGATGTTCCTGATAATGTCAACGAATCTGGAATTGGTCGACTTCTCGTGCGACTTTTAACAGTTCCTTGAGTATTCCAGAGTTTTGTATTGGACTCTCTGGAATTTTCAACGCTATTTGCTCGAGTAACAGACTTTTCTCTTGGCTTAGTCTTATCTTTAACAGACGTTTGAGGTTTAGAAGAAGGTGTTCTAGTTGCTGGAGTGCGAGACTTCGACCTGGTATTTGATGGAAGTCGATGAGATGCATCTGCAGGTAAAGATGGTCTTCCTCTAGATGTTTTCGGTGTTTCTACTTTAATAACTTTCTTTTTACTTGATGAAAAAGCTCCTGCACTTGTTTGTGCTCTTTTTGGAGTTGTCCAAATCATTTTTGCACTAGTACTTCCTGCTATAGAAGAACTTTCACTTCCTCCTTCACTTGTAGCTTCGCCATTGCCTTGTGGAAGATTTCGTGATGATCCATTACCTTCATTGCCACTTCCTCCGCCCAAATTAAGTCCCAAATCGTCAGGAAGTGTTGTACATGTGTCTTCATATACAGAACAACAGCTTACTAAGCTTGAGTCACAGCTCACTTCATCTAATCCATTGCAACTACCTGCGTAGCCATTCGTCTGTTAAATTAAATTATTTATGTATTATTTATGTATGTGATAAAAATAGAAAATAAATTATTGAATAATTTTATCAAGCCTACATTAATTTTAAAATGACTTGTTTAGTACAAAATAATAATTTTGATGATGCTTAAAAATGTTCTTTATTGACTTTTACATATTTTCTGAAGATTATATATTGAATTAAAATAAATATATTCATTATACCTGAACAGTTTCTGCAGTACAGCCTTCAACGCCACTGTCACTACCATCTTTGTTATCTTTACTTTCAGCTAAAGTTTCTGAGATATGAATAACCGTGACATTGCAATCGCTGTTGATAGTATCATCAGGATTATCTTCGTCACTTTGAATTGGCGCATTTACGCATGGTGATGAAAGATCTTCAGGTACGCCAGAGTCCTGCCGAGTGACGTATTGAGGTGGTATTGGCAAATTCTCCGGCTTTTTAATATTATCATCAAGGACACTGTCCACTCCATTTTCTAAATTATTAATCGTCACATCTCGTCCTTCTGTCGTATTCTAAAAAACAAATCAATCGTTAATTATTAAAGTTTATTTGGCCTTAACATGAGTCTATTTTAGCCCGGAAATAGAGCAGATGATGAATTATTAGAGATAATGAAGGAATGGCAGACAATTTTCTGTAATAATTTGATTTTGCTTTTAACGTCCAATTATCTCGTTCTATTAAAGATCATCTACATGTGAACTAGTCTTTGTTACCATCACTTCATATCGGGACTTCCCACGATAGTCAGTACGGTTAAATTATCGTTTAACAGCTGTATGCCTCGTGCCCACTTCCTTGCTTTCAAACAAATCATGTTGATTACTTATCATACAATAGGATGTATCTACATTCATTTCAACAAACTATGATTAAGCTGATATTAAATACACGGTTTAATGACTTTATTATGACAGTTAATAATTAAAAATAAATAATTTCAATAAGTGTGATAGAACATATTTTATCATATTCGAAAATTCTAATCTAATATTTATTAATTTATTCCTATTAATCTAGATTTAATGGAACTAGTAATTATTTAGATTTGTTCAATTGATTAAGATAATTGAATATTAACAAGTTAGCTTATGAAATTATAAAAACGACAGAGAGAAAGTAAGTGTATCATTTTGATCAGTAATACACATGACGTAAAAGATTAAATATAAAAGTAAAAGAAGAGAAGAAAAAAAATATAAGAGTGGGAGATAATACGATGTGATTAACTAGAGAGAAACTGACGTCTCGGATTCAAAGAGACAGGGGAATAACCGAGTTTATTGAAACTCATTGGTCAGCGAGAAACGTCCTCGTGAGGTTGTGACTTTAAATGAACGTGAGTTGCCGATTATGGAATCATTAAAGCAACTGTTAAGACTCAGGAAACACTTATTTAAAGTCAATAAGTGTTGAAGGGAACACAAGGCCCTCAAATAGCTTAAAGAAGTCCAATATAACAATTTTTGATATCTAGCTTATTTGTGGGAAAGCTATAAAATAATTCAACAATGGAATCTAACAGTAAACATAAAGATTTTAATATCACAAGATTAAAAAATGTAAAAGTTAATTCTAATTCATCAAAAAAACTTCTTGAGAAGTCTGTGGGTGTTGATAATAAGGAATTTACTTCAAAAATAAACTTTAATTATCGTCAATTCGAGATAATTATAGATGGTCATCAATTAACTATTATTAATAATTATAGAGATATAAAAATCATTGGCGATGGTAATGTTTTGAAAATTACCAATAACTTAGGTAATATTAAATGTCATGGAGATTGTAGTAAAGTACTTTTGGAGTCACCGAAAACTTTAGAAATGATAAAAAATATCAGCAAATCTGATAATCAGCCAGATAATGATGTTAAATGTAATAAAAAATTAAATAATCAACCAGCCAAATGTTCAGAGAAGATCGTTAAAATGAAAACGTGCCAGAAATTGAAATGGAGTCCTCAAAAATTCATTTATACACCTGATTGATTATTAGATTTGGCTTGGTATCTATGATTATATGAGACACTCGATCTGCTCATTCTTCTTACATTTCTATAAAAAAAGAAAGCTATTAATAAATAAGAAGGCTGCGAAAGTGTAAGTCTACATACAAGTATTAACGCCGTATTAGTATTTAATGTCAATAAACAGTTACCATGGCTCTGGAAAAAGGCTTTATTGTTGATTACTGTGGAACGTAGACGGTTATATGTGTGTCTGTTGAAAAGGAAATTAACGAGACATACTGAGAGTAAATATATCCCTTGGCCCCGGGTGGATGGCACGCGCTCCACGCGGACTGCATTCTATCGCGGACACTTAACCAGCGAATATACTAAAGGACAGATGCTTTGGATGTGTTCATGTTAAGATTATGCTCCGTTTCGAGGTTGTCATACTGAATTCCAGGAGATCGGCAAGAGACGAAGAAGATCTGATGCCAGATGGGCCGGAAATTATCACGGGAGGTCAATTTGCGAATTTTATTTTTGTTTCATTTCATTCTTCTCAAATTCTCACTCTAACAACTCTTTAACTTAAGAATTTTCAACTGGTTTAATTGTGCTATAAGGTACTCTACTTATTTGCCAAATGAATTGAATCAATTGTCAAAGAAAAATTAGTTATTTGCATGTCAATGGTACACGATAAATGTAAATATTTGATGAGTTGTGAGTATACCTAAGAAAAAAAATTAAGGTAATAAATAAAGTATAATAAATAACATAAAAAAAAAATTCTGTTACGTATAGAAATACATGAATATACAAACACAATCCAATCTAACTTTCTCATGGTACTAAAGCGTATTTTATACGTAACCGCATGCAAAATCCAACTGTCTCAAAGCGGATCGATAACCATCACCACCTTTTTTTTGCATAAAAATATAAAATTTAATCAAAAATAATTTGTAATTTACCTTCAATATTTTTATTCATATAATATTAATAATAGCAGTGCAAAATGGTCTATAAATTACCTGAATTGGCTGTAATGCCACTGAGTCGCAGGAAGACATCGGTGATCCCTCTGGATCTTGGCTCCACCTCGTCTCGCATAGAATCGCAGAACACATTCGCCTTTGACGCTTTTCGTCTAAAAATTCCTTCGATGCTGTTTAAGCTTTTCACTTAATGTCAAAATTTCAATATGAACGTCTACATGAAAAAATAATATGTATGTGATGTTTTTATAACACGATACTTGAACATGAAACACTAGATCAGATAGTAAAAAACAACTGAGCGGTAAGAATGAAACACACTAACGTTGTGACTGGATAGCCTAACTGCCCGCCTAACAAGCTCCCTAACAACTGGTAGAGGGAGTCGGACCTGTGGGAAAAATATTCCAGCGACCAAACTGCCCTAAAGGTCAAATAGGAATACCGACAGTTGATTCGAATGCATCGATGGCAATATGTATAGAGAAAGAGACGAAAATCGCCTTTTCACTTTACTTTCACTGAGTTATTATTCTTATTGTTAATTATTTACTATTGTAGCATGCAAAAATTTTTTGCAACAGTTTACATACTTTAATCATGTATAACTTTGCGTGAGATCACTATAAAAAATTAAATTCATGAAAAGCTATCGTTAATAAATTTAATTACAGTTAATCACTATAAATATGTATTTTGTACTAAAATTAATGTTTAATGATGAAACAAAAATTATGAGGAAAAGTATTTACAATCTTTAACGATTATTCATGATATGATCAATAACAATGATCGATTATCTTAAGTCTTTCGTTGCAGGAGTTAAGGTCATAAATGCTTCAATCATTTTTTTCCTTTCACTGTCATTTTTCAAAGTGGCCCACATTAATTCCAATTGTTTTTCTTGATATTTCTAAAGAAGAAAGTTTATTCATAATCAATATAAAATTTTGAAAAATTACACTCATTACCTGTGTCATTATACTTACTTTGACAAATGAAAAACAATGCTTTAGACTTGCACCAATATACAATATTTTAACAGCCACATACTTTCCATCGATGTCATTAATCTTTGGAAAGGCATTTATCAAAAATTTATGAGGTCCATGTCTGCTTTTGATCAGGGCTATTTTTGTATGAGTATTGCAATATTTAGCTAGATAAATTCATTCAATAATTAGTTTTAATTATGTAAAAAAATTTAATTCTATATATTTACCATTTAATCCAGATTTTATTGCAGCTACTCCAAAATCGCCATACAATTGTTGAATTTTTTTTATTATAGCATTATATAATGCTGAGGAATTTAGTGTTAATGGTTTTTCATTTTGACTATTTGGTATTATTTCAATAGTAAAATATCTGAAAAATTATTTAAAAAAGACAATAAAAAGAAAAAAATGTTAGAATTATATTGTACAATTGATTACTAACCTATTTTTGAACCTAACCATTCTTAAATGATAAATTAATTCACAGAATAATTTATATCATAAGTTAAGACTTAAAAATACTGTTTATAAAAGCTGCTGATGTACAGTGATACCTCAAACAACATTACTCCGATTTACACAAACCCGAAGTTACGTGACTTTTTTAATCTCATTGTCGTCTTGTTTGTTTACATACAAGGTTAACTCAAGTCAGAAGATTTCCTCCAATGTGAAGTCTCTTAAGATTGAGTCTGGCAAGACAGAGTCCGGCAGGACTCGAGTCCCTTAAGTTCTTATAGGAATTTAGGCAGGACTCGAGAAATATGGCGTCGTCTTGCCAGACTCTGTCTTAAGGGACTCTATTGGAAAAAAGGAAGAGATACAAAGGTAGGGGCACTCACGAGTCCAAGCTCAGCCCAGATAACCAACCATGTTACAAAGAATACTTACATCCTAAAAACAGACTATTGCTACTTAGAACTATACAGTGTATGGTCTATACTAAATTTCCTGGCGCGATTTACAAAAGCTTTGTACTTATTTTAACCATTTTATCACAGTACAGCAATATCCTTAACTTGGTCTTAACATTAAGTTTTAGCTTTAATTAGATTTAATTTTTCTTTAACACCTTCTATAACAATTTTTCCAATATTATATAACATTTTTTATATATGATTGAACCAGAAACAAAACAAAAACTGAAAATAAAAATAAACGACAAACAAATATACATTTTTCTTTTTTTCCTTTTAACTTATTCAATGTAACACCTATAACTGTATAGACACTTTTGCTTCCTGTTTCTACAGATTACCTTAAAAAATAGACCTCTTATCTTTAAATACTTAACTCAATACTGTTCAGAAACCTGGCCACCGCAAAGATGACTCCTCGGTCCATACTATGTAACATAGATTCAATGCAGTACGGAGGAAAGGATTTTTGTTTCCTTAAATCTTTGCAAAACAATGCTCGTATATCCTCGTACTTACTACACTGAAAGAAAACATGGTTTGCTGTTTCCTCGGCTTCGCCACATTCACAAATAGCAGATCGAATGATATTAAATCTAGCAAGACTTTCTTTAAGACTAGAGTGATTGCATCTAAGTCTATTAATGGAGACCAGAGGTTTCCTAGCTAATTGAACTTACCGAACCATGGGAGTGCGCTCTCTGAATAGTAATTCTCGTGGTAGAATCTTCCTTTATTTAACCCTTCACATTTACACCAGTTAACAAAGTCATTATGCATTTTTCCCTTCCAAAAGGCTTTGAAGTCGGAGCTTGGGAGCAGAATCTGGGAGTCGCGACCCTTCATAACGCTATCTTTCGCAGCTGAGTCCACTTTTTCATTATAAGAAATCCCTACATGTGCAGGAATCCAGAAAAACTTTACTACCCTACCAGTTACCTGTAGACTGTACACTAAATGTTTAATTTCACCGATCAGCACGTTCAATTTACCCGCGGATCTAATGGAGGCCAACGCCTTCAGGACACTTAAAGAGTCCGAAAATATAACCAGTTTATTTAAATCCGTGTTAGCAAATTTTTTCAAGGCTGCAATTATCGCCATGGCCTCAGCAGAGAAAATTGAAGCGTACTTAACCGTTCTGTTCAGGCTCACACTGCTTGTGGCGACTTCTAAGTAGGCGAACCCTACAAATTCTTTACCTATCGTCTTTGAACCATCTGTAAAAATTACTACGGCATCACGAAACTCTTCACGGAATAAATTCCAAAAAGATCTTTCAACACTTAGAGGCTTGGACTTATGAATTTCCTGAATTTCTTTCCTTCTTCCCAATGTACCTTGGCTGGAACGAACATCGATTGAAATGGAAACTTAAAGCAGTTAGGGCGTGAATCACTAGAGATCAGATGACTTATTGGTTCTATTTCCTGAAAACCAACGTACTAACCCTGGAGTTTCAGTACTAAAGACCATGGTAGGACACTCTCTGAGTTCGGATATTTCACTGAGGATAGCAATAACTTTATGGTTTGAGTTTGAGAAACAACGAGTTAGAAAATTATGAGTCATATACCTAAATCTAAACTCCAAAGGTGGTTCTTTAGACTCAGCAGCTATCACATTCAGCGGAGTTGAGTTTCTATACCCCATTGCTAACCTCAACGCTTTGTTTGGATTCTATCTAATACTTTCAGAAGGGATTTCTTGAGCGACACAAACAGAAATGCACCATATTCAATTCTGGACCTAACTAGGCTTTTATACACCTTAATCAACGTTGGAGGATCAGCCCCAGTCCATGTCAACCTTAAATAGTTTATAATTGCCATAGGATTAATGCACTTTGACCTAATAGCTTGGACTTGGTGATCCCATTTTAGCGAGCTGTGAAACAGAATGCCCAGAAATTTAATCACTTGCTGAGACCAAATTCTTTCTCTATTTATTTTTATACACCAAGACTTAGTCGCGATTTTAGGATCGGAGCTAAAAACAATCAACTGGCACTTTTCTGGAGCCAACTCAAGTCCACTGTCATTTAAAAAAGGAATAATCTTATGTACCGACTCCGATACAGCTTTTAACACTTTTTTTGGATCTTTATCAACTGCATAAATACATACATCATCTGCAAATTGAAGAATTTTGCAATCCTCCACAATCCAAGACTCTAAAGACATCATGTAAACTGAGTACAAAACTGGGCTCAGTACGCTACCCTGAGGTAACCCTCTGAAGACTTTCTATGACAGTCTATTGTGTCGTATTTGACTGATATTACCCTCTCCGACACTAAGTTATGCACAAATTTCAAAATTAATTAGGCCATCCTACACTAATTAGTCTACTAAGTAACACATCTCCGAGCACATTATCATATGCGCTTCGAATGTCCAAAAAAAGAGCACCAACACACTGCTTCTTGTCAAAAGCTCTCAAAATCTCCGCGTTCAGTATAGCTAAATTATCCAAACATGATTTACTTCTTCGAAATCCAAACTGCGTTTCAGGGAACTTATTATGAAATTCCAACCACCATGATATTCTAAGATTCAGAATTTTTTCCAAGATTTTTAACAAGCAAGGTGCCAACGATATTGGCCGAACAGCGTTCCCTTGACTCTTAGGAATGAAGAAAATTGAATACTGGCGCCATTCGTTTGGGAAGATTCCCGAAGCAAAAATTGAGTTGTATAACTCCAAGAGGGCCCCTCTGACTTCTTTAGGAAACGATTGAATCAACAAATAATCGATCCCGTCCAACCCCGGGCTAGATTTAGTCCTCGAATTCTCAATTGCGACCTCTAATTCTTCCACCGTGATAGGCAATCCAGAAATACATCCCCTTCCACATTTTCTAACATCGGATCCCCTCTTGCTACCCAGGATGGGCATAGAGAGTCTATCCCAACCTTCACCCTCTCCACTACCTCTTCACTAAACTCGTTCGAGCAATGCGACGAATTCCAACCTTTTTTCAAAGCTTTCAGCTTCTTCCATATGTACGACGGACTTGTAAACTTATTGATACTATTTAAGAAGGACCGGAAGTAGTCCTTTTTATCTTTCTGATCCCCGACTTAGCCCTAGCCTCTGCCTGTTTATATTTTAAGAAATTTTCCTCCGAAGGATATTCTTTTTAAAACGAAGAAAGGCAGCAACTCGTAATCTTACCAACTTATCACATTCGCTATTCCAGAAAATTGCAGCTTTTCTACGCTCTTTCTCCTTATGAACTCTGCTCCCTGTATTTAGATTCCTACTACCACCCCTTCCCGGTGTAGCCACATTCACACAGTCCTCTATAATTGCTGTAAACGTCGTATATTTGACCTGAATCTCGAGATCCTCGTTTTGGACAACTGACCTAATTTCATTACTCCGAAATTCGAGTTCCCTGACCAACCGCCCCCAATCAGTTTTACTATTGTAAAGCCTTTTGGAGCATGATTGCTTCCTTTTTTCTCAACTACCTTGTCAAAGTCATAAATATTGGGAAGTGGTCACTGCCCCACGTATCCCTACTAACCTTCCACTCAAACAGCGACAACAACCCACAACTTGCGAACGATAGATCTAGAGCGGATTCTGTTCGATATTGACGCGAATAAAAGGTCTTGACTGCCCCATTCAGCAACCCAACCTCCGACTCCTCGATAGCTTCAAATAATTTTGTACCTTCTATAGAGTTCGCATCACTTCCCCATACCTGGTGATGAGCATTGAAATCCCCTGTGACCAGGAAGTTTCCACTGAATTGGTTCAAAAAGCGCACCCACTGGTCCTTCGTCATATTTCGATCCGGAGGCCTGTAACATGAGACTACTAGAAAAGGCCCTTCACACGTAAATAATTCTATAGCACACAGCTCAATGTTATTGTTACAATTATACAAACCATGTTTTCTCTTATATTTAATATTATTTCTCACCAGAATAGCAACTCCACCCCCAGGGCGCCCTACCCTGTCTCTACGCACCACATCAAATCCCTTGACCGAGATTGAGTCATCATCCGTTAACCAGGTCTCCGAGAGTAACATCACATCAAAATTGGAAGCTCTATATTGTAATTCAGGTAACTTTCTCTTAATGCTGCAGCAATTCCATTGACAAAATCTGAAAGTATTCGCTTTATTCGCCATTGTTTGATAAAAAATGCAACTCAATTGTTCTCATCACTCTAGAGATCAACCTGTCCACGTCTGGGATCTTGAATACTAACTCCTTAAGTCGCCTGAACAACCTGTCACTACAGTCTCCATCTTCTTTTTTCTTAAGTTCGTGTAAAAAACTGCAAATCTCGCTGTTCAGCTCTGTTGGAATTCCTTCACCTTGGAGATTACTTTGTCTTGAGTCTTGTTTACCATCAGCCTTTGGTCTTTCAATATTACCACTAACCGCCTGTCTATACGATCCATCTCTTCTAATGTTATGCACCAGGAACCTATTCTCATTTCCCAGGACTGGAAAGTTCAAAGAGTCCACCGAAGGCCTCAGGTTTTCTTGAGCATTAAAATGTCTTTTGAAATACAAATCCCTTGCTGTTGGGAATGACACATTCTTTTCTGCAATGATGCGACTGATCTCATAAAGTTCCCGAAGTTTCGGGCACTTACTGTCCAAGGAAAAATGTGAACCTTTACAGTTGATGCATTTAAGCATGCAGCCATTTTCTTCATCATGCTTGTTATTACCGCACCTGAGACACTTCTCCTCCTCCTTGCAAAACTTTATTGAGTGACCAACCTTGCCACACCTGTAACACTTCCTGACTGCTGGGATGAATGGACTTAAACCAATTCTCGTTTTCCAAAAGTAAACTGCGTTCGGTATTTCTTTAATGCGCATCGTTACCTGCACTGAAGTGGTGTCCTCCCATGTAACGTTACCCCTTTCTTTGACTCTTCTTTTCAAACGAACTGATTCTACAACATTTAAGCCTGGGTTGCCATTATTGAGTTCTGTGGTAATTAATTCTGGCTCAAAATCTATAGGAATGTCTTTAATCACACCTTTCCTGAAAACTTTCCAGAAGGGAACAAAAGCGTTGTAGCCCCATTCTTGCAAAAACTTATTCCTCAACATTGGTTGGCAGCATCTCGAGACTGAAAAGTAACTTCCCAGACCCGCTTAGAAATGGGAGCAAGTTGGTCATATTTAATTCCTGCTCTAAACAATATTCGAGCCACTTCCAAAGCCAATATAGGTTTATCATTTACTTCTAAA